TATACATTCATTCAATCAAAGATTGTATTATTTGAAAGTCGACAAATGTTCAGTTTTTAAGGTGTGAAAAACTATAGACGCACTTTCAAATTCGTAGTTATTTATCAATTGCTGCACCATTCCGAAGGATGACCTGTGCCATTCTAGTTGGCATACCATCGACCAGTTGACGCAAGTATTCTTGTAGGTCCCAAGAAGCACGAATTTGGGTCTTCAATTCAACGACTGACTCAAACTGACGTCCACCTTGGTAAACCAAATAGGCCAGTTGCCCCCAAACGTTTTCAATAGGGTTGAGGATATCGCCGGTAATAGTAACCCAGCCGCTCTGATTTGAATGGATTTTGTTAAACCGCACTATCAGCATATTGCTATATATAAATGCTTTGAAATGTAGATGGATTTTGGCTGTTGAATCTGACATCCAAAACACGCATTCAGAGCAAAAATCGACGAATTCGTTGTTTGGTCTCCCCATCATTGGTTCAAATCAGCATTCGATGCGAATTGCAACATGGATCTCAGAACCCTGTGCTGTGAAGAATATGCTGGCGCAATATCATCATTCGAATGTCTGTGCTTGCTGATGTATCGTCCTTTCTACAAGGTCATTCGGGAGGTACAAATGGCATTCGCCATAACGTTAATTGGATTTCATCTAGTAGTTTGTTTGAAATTCTCTGTAAGTACTAGCACGTTATATTTTACTTCATTGTAAAATTGTAGTATTGGGTTTTTGCCTTAAAATATGCATTATTTACATCGACATTACAACTATCCGGATACGTCAGCAAGCGGTCAAGGATTTGGTTCTAAGTTTTGATCCAGTAAAACAGCATACGAATCTGTCGAATACCATGTTTCCTACCGGTACGCATGCACAAGTATACAGTAAATCGTTTTGCAAAACGTAAATAATTATGGGGATGAATAAAAATACGCATACTAAATACAAATATCAGCATAAAGATGTTCAAGCGAATAATAATATGTAACTCTGTAGCGCATGTATACAGTACACGCCGTTTGTTTCCGTGGAAGTGGCAGATTCAATTCTTGGTTGACTCGCACGTGACAACTTGAATAAAGTTGCATGTGTTCTCTCGACAATGGTACACCATAATTTGAAGTAATCAAGGACCTTTCATTCTTCACAGTGATGTGTTTGTGTGCTGTTCCCGCATCTCCATGGTACTTCGAAGTAGTTTTTAGCGCTAACGTTATCGCTCGAATATTTTATTTATAACGTTATCACGAGGTCGACCAATTTCTATAGCGTGTATTAATATACGTAAACTTCGAAGTAGTAGAGGACACGAGGACCGGCGTCGCATTGGGTGCTGTTTGACCCGATTCATAGTGGCCATCTTCACACCAAATCCAATGTCCACGACGGATAATTAATCATATGCTCATAAATGTCAAATCAACACCATCACACTTGGATTGACAGGTAATTACAGTACTGTCCATGTAGAGCCTCTACATTGAAGTCGAGTAATTCCATCACAAATGGCTATTCGGCCGTTTGGACTGCCGACTTAAACTACTAGTAATACTATTATACCGTACACCCGCCGCTTCAGTACTGTACCTATGATTTCTCTATACTAATATAGTACAGTACACATAGCGAGCGGATCGGCAAATGTCGAGGCGTGTATCTAGTTGCCTCTAATTAGACAGAATTACCCAATCACCATGCGTTAAATAATTGTATCCAATGAAGTATAAGTCCCGGGATGGGTTTAGACCAATGCACGTGCCTCAATAGTCTTCACCAGTTTTGATCACATTTTCATAGGAAGCAGGGGATATACGGTTAGTAGGTAGCATTCCGTACTACTGCACACACGTAGTTCCACTTTATGGAACTCATCGTGATCACCATAAAACATCAGTGTTCTCCTGAAGCCATCTGCCCTCAAATGCACATCCCCATGCCACGTTTCAGCTGTGGATAGTTATGTAATTTGGCCTTAGCAGAGAAGCGACTTCAAGGGGAGGACACAACAGTAGTGTAAATGTGTCCCCACTGTACTGGGAAGTGTTTGGGCAATGATATGAGGTGTAAAACAAGTATTTTATATGCAAATCAAACGAATGGAACTGAATAAAATGTATGAACTAATGACAGAAACACGTCATCAAAATATACACATAGTTCAAGCTAAATTAGGTTTTGGTTTTGTACACATAGCATGTCCACTCCGTTTCGATTTACACGAATCAAACTCGGGTTTTGTCAATTGATTAGATGAATGCCTCAATGAACGATGTCGCACTTGGTTTGTGTCGTGCCTGCCATGGATGCACCGGGTCTTGTGCAGCTGAATTCGCGCGTTTATCAACGACAGCATACGACATACGAAACCCCACGAGTTGTGCTACCGGTAGTTTACAGCGAACTGTACTAACAGTATACTAGTATTACTCCGAGTAATACTCGCATTGGCAAATAACATCCGATTATGACAAGTTTTCTCTTCACCCAACACTCTTCCTTTGGCATAGTAGATGGGTGCAACATCGAAAAGGTGGCGGCGAACAAATGGACATTGCAGCTTTGGATGTCTGGTGCGGATGAGTCGCCGCTGCGGGAGGAGTCCGATCCATGGCTCGGCTCACCAGACCCTGCTTGTGTGGACTCCCTTGTAGCATGCTCGTCGATCACACCCGACGTCCGCGCGACCATCTCGGTGTGGTCGCGTGGTGCGCCATGGCTTAATCCACTGACCGAAGAAGCATCTTCAGTTCCAGTGGACTCATCCGCGAGCCTCGGCTCAAGGAAAGCCCGGCGAAATGTATGGGTATGTGCCGTGATTGTCTTACTGGGGATGCTCGGAGCAGCCATTTTGCTTGCATATGTGGCGTTTGTTCCTTCCCAGAAACATTTTTCGCCACCGCCGTCGCCGACAAGGACGATTGCACCTGAACCGGCCATTCCACCGTCTCCAACGACAAACCTCGCGCCAGGAACCACCACCGCTGTCCCTGCTTATCTGCTATACGAACCTGGCGCTTTGGTTTTGGTGAACGAATGTACGACCGAGTCCACGGTCTACTTCACACGAACGATGCCCAATGCCGTCGCCGAAGTGGGTCAGCGCGAGATGAATTCAACGCAGTACGTCATGGTCGTCCCCGGAAAGCACTGGGACGACTTCATTGCCGCAGACTTTCGTTTGGGTGAATCCATTTTCGCCACAAGTGAGTACTAGTACATATTGTAGTGGAATGATGGCCAATGAAGGTCTTGGCGTAGATTTCGCTGTCAACCGAGACTACGGCCAAGTGTTTTACTCGATTTCGACTCGCAACGGGTTCAACGTCCCCGTGGAAGTCGCGCCCATGCGCGAAGGTGCCACTCGTGACGGCTGCCCGGTCCTTCGCTGCGACGCTCATGATTGCGAGGGGCGCGTGCACGTGCAGTTCGACTGCAACTGGATCGAACGTCTCCAAGTCACGTTCTGCCCCAGCTCTTCTTTATTTATATCGTAAATATAAATGATTCTTATTTATCACTGAGGGTGAGTCGGGATGTAAAAAAAGGCCAAAATCTTCGAGTTTTTGGCAATTTCTAAGAAATCGACAAAAAATAAAATATTATCTGTCTGGATCTAAAATTTGGAGAATTCAATATTTTGCCAAATTTCGTGTTTTTCGCCAAAAAATAGAAAAGAAGCTCTAGGGACCTTTATTCTAAAAATTCGCAAGAACTGAGAATCGTCGAGTTTCTCTCAAAATCAGTTTGATCCAGACAGTCAAAAACAGGTGACAACCAAATTCTTCGATTTACTTTGAGGGTGGGTCTGGATCACATCCCAAGTTTTGTCCAAGTAATATTTCGAAAATTTGGTTCAAAGTAAATCGAAGAATTTGGTTGTCATGTATTTTTGACTGTCTGGATCAAACAGCTTTCAAAAGAAACTCGACGATTCGCATCTCTTGCCAACTTTCAGAAAAAAGGTGCCTAGAATTTCTTTTTTATTTTTTGGAGAAAAACGCGATATTTGGCAAAATATTGAAGTCTCTAAATTTTCATGTTTTGCCGATTCATAGAAATTGCCAAAATATCGACGATTTTGGCCTTGTTTTTTCATCCATAGAAAATTTTATGTCAATTAATATTCTGACAGAGAATTCCCTTTTCAAACGGGAGGTGAGATAATATTTTCAAAAATCTTCCGATTTTACCTCTGGATGCCATGACGGAATGAGATTTATTGATAGATTATCATGTTGGTGAAAACTGGACAATTGCTGTTCAAACTCTTTTCTGTCAGAAAGCAGTAAAAATTCGACGTATCATGTCAATTTATTTATGTCAGATATTGGTAGCCAAACACGCAAAAGTTGTCGTTTGAAAATTGTCAAAAGATTTCTGAAAAGTTGCAAAAAGCGGTATTTTCTGGCATTTTTTGTGGCAGCTAGAGTGGCCCACAGCGAAAATACCGGTTTAGAACGGCCAAGTTTGAACAATTTGCACAGTATATTATGTTTTGCGGTTATATATTTGTTGGAACGGAACACTAACTTGGCAAGGCGATGCACTCGATGTTGCTTGACTGAACGGAACGAATGGTTGACCAATGCCGTATAACAAATACCTGCGCAGAAGAAAGTGATGTTTCTTTTCAGTTAGTACGGCTCTGTTTCTGGCTTGTTGTGCCGGAAAATTAGGCGTTAACGAGGATTCGTGAATGTGGCTGACTTGTAAACGTTACGATGCTAACGTACACGCATCCCATTGTACAACTGACATTGTCAAGTGCGTGTTGAAAGGATTACGTGGCATCGGTTTTTTGTAAGATGACTACTCGACATGGCGGTTATAAGTAACGATTGATACTGGCGCTCGTGCTCTGAATTGGACCATGACTATATGTTGAGCGTACTAGTATCTCCATTTCCTGGGCCATTATGGCGTTGATAATGATACAAGTTGGCGGCACTCATACAATATGATGAGATGACAACATTGAAGAAACCTCGATTTCTTATATTGTTAATTTATATATATATTTTTGAAAATAGCCCTTTTGAAACTTTGAAGTATACCATGATTAGTGGAAAAAAAAACAGAAATTAAGAAGGTGCAGTAAGTTACTAGTTATTCCCAGCAATATGAAGCATCATTGTGTCTTGCTTGCTGATGATCTTGAAACGTTACTGTAATAAATGGGTTTCATTTTTTAAATATATTACGCACCCATTTTACAATTCGGTGCGTATATAAAGCAACATGAGGTGCAGAAGCTAGGATCTGTTGCAAAAACAAAGAGATGGCGAAGGACGTGTTTGTGCGCGTCGCCCTCTTCTGCGGCCTGTTTGCCATCCAATGGTACATCATTGTCCCCACGTGTCATGCCTCATGTGCCTACCAATTTCCAGCAGTGTAACAGTCTTGGGCAGCGTCACCCGCGACACGATCTTCCTGCGCGTGTATGACTCGCGGTACATCTCCCACATGGTGCTCGTCATGTCGTTTGCGACGGCGTATGCGTCCACAGCGATTTCCCAACTGCAGCAGCGAGGTACGTTGTTGGTGAGTGTTGAATGCGATGCAACGATCCGTAGGTGTCCTTGCCAGCACGATCGCATGTGCGTTTCCTGCCGTGTCGTCAGTCGTGATGCTAGTGTTTTGGGGTGTCTTGATTCACGTGCCGGCGTTGGTGCACGTGACAAGCATCCTCCTGTACATGTGGGTCGAGATCTCGGGGCAGCTTCTGGCCCAGCAGTTCTGGGACACGTGCTCCGGTGCGTTCAACGTGACCGAGTCCAAGCAGTACTTTGGCGCGATCACATTTGGCTCGACGATCGGCACCCTCTTCGCCAGCTTTGGACTCATTCCCATCATGCGAACGTACGACGTGTCCACGGAAGGCACGCTGGTGGTCGTGGCGCTCCTACAGGCCACGATCGGGCTCTCCATGCTCGTAGTCACGCCGATGTTTCGAGCCAGACCATCCAACACGACGTAACAAACCAATCCCCGTTTCCACAGCGCCAAAGTGTTATATATTCGTCCTTTGACTAATAGACCGCCGCCAAGGGGGGGTCCTCCCACGTCTGTGATATCGGAGATCCAACGACGGTCCTACCTCAAGCACGTGTGCTTCTTTGAATTCGGCGCCACCGTCGCCAGAGTATTTGTCGACTACTCGACGTTGGCCATCCTTGGCCAGTACCCTGAAGCCACTGTGAAGGCCGCGCTCGGGTCCATCAACGGCGTGCAAAGCTTCCTCATGATGCCACTCCAGGTACGTACTAGTTAGTACCTAGTACTCAATGCCGTTGGACGAGTAGGTAGTAGGTAGTACTCAATTTCTACGGTGTAGGTCGTGGCCGGCCCATTGTTTACGTACTTTGGTGTCATGTACGGAATCAGCACGTTGCCGTTGGCCGTGCTTTTGTTTGGCGTGACGACGTACATGTCATCGGTATGTTGTTTTTCTTACCCTTCCAACCACAGAACAAGGCATCGCTGTCGTCTTCGTCTTATCTACCCTTGCATATATATATATATATATAAATATGGTGATCGATAGTCGTCGATGCTGTTGATTGCCAGTCGCGCCATGTACAACAGCGTCACATATGCGATTTTCAATCCGGCGCGGGAGCTGCTGTGGCTGCCGCTCCATGCGCAAGACCGCAGCAAGTTCAAAAGTTTCGTCACGGGGCCATTCCGGTCCCTTGCACGAGTGCTCGGCGCCCTCTTATCCATGGCGCTGACGTCCGACGTCGTGACTTCGTACTGCGGGTCCAGCGCTGTCAGGTACACTGATCGATTCCAGCTACATCGATCTAAATATATATTTAATATATATATATATCTAGCATGGGCGTGATCGTGCTGGGGCTGGTTTGGTTTGGGGATGCGCTGGCAGCACGCCAAGCGTACGCGGCCGAGTTTTATGCGTCGCTAAAGAAAGGGCACATGGACGTAACGTCGTCGCATCTCGTGGATTTCACCACCGATCAGGTTGGATCATTTGAGATTTGTATGGAATCTCGCTGGACGTTGTGATTGGTTGAAATCTCCTTGTCTTATCTGTAAAAGAGCCAATCAAACCCATCCACTCAAAAGTTATATGGATCGTCGATTCGATTCGACGGGGGTTTGGAGAAACTTGAATCCACAATAGGTTGTAATTGCGTTTGTCGTACTAGTAGTACTAGTAGTACTACTAGTATGTTGGATCCATGACTCATGATTTCATTCTAATAGTTTGAGCCTTTTATTTTCTCACGTGGAGGACGTTATATATATTTGGTTCTGATTTAGATGCAGCAACTCAACAACAAATACATAGAGGAGTTCGTTTAACTGAAATATTAAAACAAGGTTTAAATGTTGAAGATCATATTGTTATTATTTTTTAGGTGTAAGAGGTTTTTTAGATAAAATTGAAGAAATTTTTTCTCCATTTGAAGAATCTTGGTTACAATTTATTAAAACTAAACATAATAGTATTTTAAATGAAATTCATTTTATATGGAATTAATTTATTATTATTTTAACAATAAAAATATTGTTATTATTTATTATGTTTTATGATCAAACTTTTATTATTATTTATTTGATTGTAGATCGATTTGGTGCACAGTACGCTGGCACAAGGCGAGCCGACCCGCATTGCGTTTGTATTGGGGTTCATTCGACCTCCCCATGTGCCAATGTTCCACAAAGTATGTACTACGCGAGAAATGTCCACTAGTAATACTAGTCGTGCTACTAGTACTACTACTACGATGTATATTGTAGGCATTGCGAAGCGTGTTTTACCGCGCCGAGACGTCGCTCCCGACCAAGCTGAAGCTGCTGCAATTGCACGTGGCGTTCAAGACCCAACAGCCCCATGACACCGCCGATGACTTGTGTGACATGTTTCAATTGGACGACCTCGTCACGTTGTACGATGACCTCGCCAGTCCCCGGCAGTTGCGCCTCGCCGCTGTCTTGGCCTGTGGCTCCTCCCCCCAGGCGCTGGGCCGACTGCAAGCGCGCTTGGACTCGGAGACGGACATGTCGCTGCGGGTGGGGGCCGCCATCGCCGTGCTCCGGGCGTCGGAGTGGATGGACGAGAAAGCGATCATGTTGCTGCAAAAGTTGCTGCACGAGCCGCCGGACGTCAAGGCCAAAGTAACGTGTCTGCGCATCGTGGGCAAAGAGTTGCCCGAGCTGCTCGGCAATGGGTACTTGGTGTACCTGCTCCACCAGAGCCAAGAGTCGCGCATCGTCCACGCCGCCCTCGAGTGCTGCCGCCAGAGCCAGCGCACGTCGCCCATGCTCGTGCCGGCGCTGGTCAAGTGGCTGGCGGAGGCGTCCTTCCGCCCCCAAGCGCTCGACGCGCTCGTCACGTTCCCGCCGCCGGTTGTGTGGGGCCCGCTCGTGGATTTTCTGGAGAAAGCGCTCGACAGAGTGAGCTTGGACGGGACCTTGGGCGGCGTGCGGTGCCTCGAGATGGGTCAGTTTCCGCCGCACGCCAAGGCCGAGGTGCTGCTCAACATGATGGACTCGTTGGTGGAATTGGAGACGGAGATGACGTTGCGGCGGGTGCTCGAGCTCCGCCAACGCCTGCCGCTGTGGGAAGTGCTGGCGGACGCCCTTGTGGGCACGGACACCAGTCACAACGAAGGGCACCGCGTGGACGGCGTTGCCGCGGCGTGCATTTTCACGGCATATCAACTGAGTCATGTGCGGCGGCAGTTGGCGGACGGGGGCGGACGGGATGGGCTGCTGGCGCAGGTGCTCGAAGAGGCGCTCGACACCCACCTGCGCGTGGTGCTGAAGCTAGTGTCGGCCACGTTTCCCCGTGGCTTCAACATCCACGTGCTGATTGAAGGGTTGCATTCCGATGTCCCCGAAGTGCTCTCTGCCGTTCAAGTAGGACCTATCTATATTATATATCCAATGGGATATTCTGTACCTTAGGAAGTGCTGGAGACGCTGCTTCGATCAACTGTCAAGCACACCCTAACCCCGTTGCTGTTTCCCCAATCCCCCAAAGCCCCCGCCGCCCTTCAAGTTTGTACTGTGTCACATATTTACCGTAGTGTTCAGCGCACTTTGTATGAAGTAGATTCTGAAGCGCGTCGAGGGCGTGCAAGGGCAGAGCAGTCTCGAGATGGTTCAACAGGCCATGACAGACCCGTCAGTGGACATTGAGCTCGCTTGTTTGGCCCTCGAACACTACTTGGGACTGGCGACCAAGGCGGTTGATCTGAACGACGTCGTCGTCCTCTCGGAAGCCCACGCGTTGAGGCTGATGCAGCACCCGATTGCTCAGGAAGTCGTGAGCCGCACGTTCCTGTGGTACGTGATGCTAGTATTGTGGTATATTCGATACGAATTTCCACACCCCGTCGAATCGAATCACGAATCGACGCGATTGGCTAATCCAATTTTGAGTGAATTTGATTGGCTCTCAGAAAGGACAAATGTATATTGAACCAATCACAACTCCAGCGTGATATTCAATATTGATCAGACAAACCACGCGAATTTTGAAAGTTTTTTTATAGCGAATATTCACAATATATTATTGTCTTTCATTTACCCAAAATTTGACTGACTTTTTTGCTGATTCGCCAAATCTATCGGTCGATTCTTCGTACTGACGTTTGTATGTAAAGATCGCCCAGTATCACACTAATTTCGGTCACACACTAATTCGATGATGAAATGGTTGAAGAGTTGATTTGATTGGCCACTTGATTCGTGTTGTGGGTTTTGATTGGTCGTATATCGATTGTCTGAATTCGATTTCGTGATTCTGCTCATTCGATTGAGCACCCAAACACTCCAATTTCGATATATATCGACTTGGCTCAATATTTTGAGGTGTTCCTATCATGTCCAATATGAATGATTGAATCCTCCATGGTAGTGACTCAACTGACCGAGCCAAGACGGCGTTGCAGCACATATTCCAAGCCATTTCGTTGCCAAGCCCAGACACTGGAGCAGCTGCCGTCGCGCCCCTAGCTTTTGTCGATGTACGACGTTCAGTTATGCAGTCGATATATATATGTATATGGCCAAACAGTCATCCCTTATCCTTAGGTCGTGACGAGCTTGCGTACTTGCGCCTTATTTCGGTCCATCAACGTGCTCGAGTTGATTCAAAAGATCGCCTCGCACTTCTGCCAAGTGGTCGTGTCGGGTGGGTCGGTGGTCGTGGCCGAAGGCGATGCGGGTATATCGATTGTACAGTGTCACATGTTTTTGTGTTCTCCATTCATGTGGCTGTGTGGTAGCCACCCACATGTACGTAATTGCGACGGGGTCGGTGCAGTTGCACCAGAAGTGCCACGGCGCACTTTTAACGACGCTGCACCCTGGGGCGTGCGTGGGGGAGTTGGCCCTCTTGACGTCCAAGGGCACCCACCCGACGACCGCGACGGCGCAGTCGGCGTGCGTCCTCCTCGGCATCTCCCGTCAGTCCTTCAACTCGCTTATGCAAACCCACACGGCCGTCGCGCGCGGGGTGCTGGATGCGCTCGCGTCCGCCCTCCAGTGGTCATATGTTGTGAGTCGCCCCCAGGAAAAATTCAATAGTACAACCATGGTGAACGTCGTGTGGGTAGGTACGCAGTTCGACCGAGGGGGGGGTGGACGACAAGGCTGCCAATCGGCAGTGGCTCAAGCGGCTCGTGTCGCATGTGAGCCACGTGGACAAGGCCGCGTCTGCGATGCTGGCGACGATCGGGCGGCATCGGTCCAAGTCGGAGGTGCCGCCGACACAAGCGCGGAAAGAGGTGGTTCCGCAAGGAGAAACGACGGAGGAGGTTGTTCCGACGTTGAAGCAACGGGGAGGACGCCGGACGAAGAGTCACCTGAGGGAGTGCTCGACGTTGTTGGACTTTGCCGTTTCAGCCGCCGTCCAGACACACGATCACGACGACGACATGCATTGTGCCCGTGTGACCATGACACACTTGGAAAAGTGTTTACACTTGAAAGCATCCCAGTTTATGAAAGACATGGACGATGACCAAGTACGTTTGTTGCTCAGTGTCACAGCAACGATGGATGATTGTGGTGGTAGATTGCGGCCGTGGCCCAAATGGCCCAAGTCGTGGTCTTGGCCAACGGAGCAACTTTGTACGAGGACGGGTCGGCTGCCACGAGGATGTACGTGGTCGTCCAGGGATGTGTCGTGTCGAAGGCTTCCGACGGGGAAAATTCCCACCACGAAACGTTTGAACCCGGTGATTCGTTGGGCGAATGGGTACGCTCCCAAAGGATGAATCCCAATCATATATAACATGATGGGATTCTGATAGTCGTTCAGCCGCGGGGCCACGCACATGAGCACCGCCACGGCGCTGTCGACGCACTTGTCGGTGGTTCTGCTCGACATCCCCGCAGTGGAGTTTGTCGAATTGGCCGAGAAGCACGTCAAGTTGCTGCACTTGGTGCTGGCGTGGCTGTCCCGAAAGATTACGATCAAAATGAACCTTCCACAGGACTTCCACCTGGTGACGCCCCAGCCGCTGTCGCCCATCGGCAGCCCCCGCCACCCCCACTCGCCGCCGCGGAAAATGTGGTCGGACGAACACGCCAAGGGCAACGACAGCCAAGAGTGGGGTACTGTGACCTCCATGGCACTAAGACAGCGCCAAATGACCATCTAATTGCAAGCAACAACATCACGTTTAACCCGAAAGGAGCTCATGGGAGCTTGTTAGGCTAACCGGTTGTTGTTAATAATCCAGACTTCAATTTATGGTTAATTAACGTTGGTTAGTTTTTACTACTACGCATTACGCTTACGCATTACTAAAGCTTACGTGGATATATATATTAATATTAACGTTACGTATTTACTTCGAGTGCGTATTACTATTAATACGTAGTACTACGTAGTACTATTAATAGTATTAATACTATTATAGTACTACTCCCGAGTACTACGTAGTACTAACTGTAAGTACAGTATTAATAGTACAGTACTATTAACGTTATGTAAACTTTGTAATGCGCAATTACTGTACTTCGAAGTAAGCGTAGTACAAAGTACCTGGTACTACGTAGTACCAGGTACTTTGTACTACATAATATGTATCGATTATGAGAGGATTGTTCTCAGTTCTTCACCTATTTTTATTCAAAGAATGAAAAAACGCGTTTATTAGATATGGAACTATATTATGTAATACGGTGATAAATCACTCATGTTGAAACTTTGCAACATCGCTTTACTGTTAACGTTAGCGAGAATATCAACATGAAGATGTGTTTAACTGTAAATGCTCGCTTTGTAGCTTGGCCTGTGAGCTACAACGCTCATATTAACTGTTTATCGCTAGCTAGCATTTATGCAGCAAAAATTATTACTAAGGCTCCCTCACAGCTGTCGACCACTTCCAGTTAACGTTAACTTATTGTTAGTATGGTGCACGTCATCTATAAACTACCAACTTTTCACAAAATTTTCTGACTTCTATTTCATATTCATTACTCAAATTTTCAGCAAATTGAGACGTAGAATCGACAGATCTCAATGTGGTGAAGAAATTCTACGTCTCATATTCAAATTTGGTGATGAATTGGTCCAGAAATAGATATTTAACCTAGCGGTATTTTACATGGGCGCTAGGATATTTGGCCATAGGGGTGGCCGCTGAGATGTATCTTGATTTTTGTATGTAACTCTTATCCGTATATAATATCCGGAGGCAGTTTGGACCTTTAACCTCCCACTCCAGTGATAAAACGCATGAAATCGGTATTTAACGTATCTGGAATTTGGGTTTAACTACATTAATTGCACGTTAAATAATAAAACCTTCACTCTTCAATTTGGCCAGCTGGAAGTTTTTAGATGAAGTGCACCATAGGTTTTTCACTGATTTGTTCATAACATTATTATTATCCCGATTTACGTATCCGGATAATAAATGCCATTGTGTCACAGGTTTCAGCCCAACAAAATCTCAGCGCCAAAATCATGTTGGCACGGTCCATGACTCGGTGGTTTGGCACGTCCACCCGCTTGCAAGGCGTGGTGGTGGGGCATATCGTCAAGGTAACGAGCCATCCGCAAGCAGAGCGACTGAACATCTGTGATGTCGCAATTGCAGTCGGCGCCGACCCGGTCCAAATCATCTGCGGCGCCCCCAACGTGCGCGAAGGCATGAAGGTTCCTGTGGCGACAGTCGGGACCAAGTTGACTTTCCGAGTGCCTAACCCCGAGGATGCAGGGGGTGCTTTGGTGGACAAGATGGTCAAGATCAAAAGGTCCAAGTTGCGTGGCGAAGTCTCGAACGGCATGATTTGTTCCGAGGAAGAAATCGGCGTCGGCGAAGACAGCAGCGGCATCATGGAGTTGTCGTCAGCGTCCATCGTGGGCACACCTTTTGCCGAGTACTTGGCAGAGCTAGAGAAGTTACACGTCATCCAAGACCAACTCCACCACGATTGATAGATTAGTCGACCTTAACGTCATTAGACTTCATGTCAATCTACGACCATAGCAAGTGTAGCCCCAGCTCATGCGTCGTCGTGTGGCCTTCATGAGGATGCCATTGCATCATGCTAATGTGCGACTACACTTTGCGGTCAAACGTTTTCCCCGTGATTGTCTTCTTGGAGGTCTTGGCCGGATCTTTCGCTGGCTGGGCTCGGTTCAGCACTACATAGACAACGTGAACGTCTTGGGTTTAGTATGGGTACACGACGACAATGGGGATGAGTACACGACGATGGTGATTACCTTGCAAGAGCAAGTCCACGCGTTTGCGCATGCGAATATGCAGGTATGTTTTGGACGCTTTGATATGGTAATGCAAGTAGTTGCGGAAGCCTTGGAGCAACGTGCACGCGTTTTCACGCTTCGCCTCCGAGTCAATGTGGCTCTTAAAGATAGCTACATTGCCATTGAGATATACAACGATACATGCGAGCGACGACGTACCAAAGCTGAGGTAGCCGACGTGGTCGGGGCTCGTGTGCAGGCCAGACGCGGCGCGCAGCTCAAGCGGAGGGTCCTTTCCAAAGCTCACGGGCGGCGCATTGTTGACATGTCGACGGGCTTCAGCGAATTCCTATGTCCCAGTAAGTCATGCTTGGGAATTTGTGGTATAGCAAGGGTTGGAGTACTTGGAGAAAGACGCGCGCAATGGCCTGGTCCGTTCGGTCTTGAAAGGCCACGGAAAACACAATGACAATACGGTCTTCCTGCGGGAGGACGTAGATGGTCTCTTGGCGTCGGAAAGGGATTTGGATCGGGCTCAGCACCTTGGCTTGGCCGGCATGCAGCGCGAGGAAGCAACTACGGTAGCAACAACTCAGCAACGAATAGTCGTTAAACATAGAGCACGCACTGGTTTAATGGCGCGCTCAGAATGTTTCGCTTGAGGGACGCAATGCGATGCACGACGTTGGCTATTCAAACAGTGGGAACGCGTGGTCATGACCAAGCGTGTACTGTACCGGCATCCTGGGGCGAGATGGTGTCGACGTTCGCGACCAACGTCAGCTCAAACCCAGGCTTGGGCGTCGTGATTTGGAATTCAGGATACACCTTGGCCAGCATGTTAGCCGCGCCAAACCTGTCCATTACCCATGAATCCACCATACTCGGACTTGATGTGCACGAGACGTACTTTTGGAGCTCGATGTACGGGCGATAGGCCATCGACACAGCCAACGTCGTGCCTTGAATAGAAATGTCGTATTGCACATCTACGAATGCGCGTTGTGAATCACATGAGCCGCCAGGACGTGTCAACGACGATACCGTCAAAGTCACACAAGCGAATCTCCAGGGGTTCCACCGGTCGCGGCGCCCTATTCCATGATGAGATCACACATGTGTGACGCCTCCCCGTCAGTCTTACGTCTCGCCCAACCGGCCCAGGAGTACTTCTTGGACGATCTTGCTCTCGCTCTCAAGGAAGATCATCGCAGCCTTTTTTGGTCACGTGGATTGTTGGAATCGCTTTCCGGATATATCCGGATACAGACCAAACTCTGCGGTCGAAAACACTTGCCCATTATAAATGCTCTCATTTGAGAGTATTAGATTCACATAGCATACAAATATCAAGTTTATTCCATTGAGAGTGATTTGAGAGTGTACTTCGATCGCAGATTACGTCGAACCGGATACGTCGAGATTGCATATATAAAAGCGAAGTTCGAAGTTCTACGTCCAATTCAAAACGTTGAACTTCGTAAATAGCTCGTGAAATTGTATTACCTTGCAGAATGTATGCCGAATGTCCCAATACTATTGCCGCCGCGTACATTGGCGTAAGACAGGCGTCTGAAGGTCCGACTGCGCAGGAGGACGAGAGGCGAAGGCGCAGCGATAGAGTCTGGTCATGCCCAAGCAGACAGTGACGCCCTTTGGCAGGGTGCAAAGCCCCGAAGAGAGGGAGACCGCCATGACCGCCGCCGCAGCACCCCGGCGGATCGAGTCGTCGCGAAAGCACACGACATTTGCCACACCAAGAGGTGACCTCACCCCACATCATGCAGGTCCTGGCATTTGCATGCACACCCCTATTAGCGAGAAAGACGAGTATGTGTTCCAAGTGCGCTGCAAAGCCATGGAAGAAGTGAACGTGATCCTCAGCCACGACGACAGTGACTCGACGATGAAAGCACGGCAAGCAGCAGCATGCGACTCGATGAAGCAGTTCTTTTGGCGGACAGCGTCGACAAAGGAGAGCACCCTCATGACAATGTTCAACTTCTTCCACAACTCCAGGACCGAGGAATCGTACCAACTAGACGCGAGCCAGCAGTCCATCAACCAATCGCAGGTGGTGCTGTTCCTGCTGATCGTGTCTCGCGTGGCGATGGCCGTGTGGTGGTTCCACACCAAGAACGACGCGCCCCTTGTGGGCATGGAGCTCATCGCCGACAAATATGCAGATCCGTTCCATTGGATGTTCCTCCCGTTCGGGCTCGTGGCGGTGCTGCCGTTCCGGTGCTTCAACTCGTGGGGCAAGACCAAGTTGATTGCGTACTGGATCCGTCGGTACTGGAAGCACATTGTGACTGTCATCTTGATGCTGTTCTGCGTCGGGTACTTGATCTACTACAAGATGGTGCACCGGGCCATGGCGGACGACTTCCAACGCCGTCATAGCCAGACCACGTGTGGCCAAGACGCGCCGAGCTCGCTCAATGGGGTTGCGACAATGTTCGACCTCGTCACAGAGTCCATCTCGGGCCTGCAAGACCATCTGTACAACATGTTTCTCATCAACGTGATCGCCACGTCGTTGGTACTGTGTCTCACGCTCAAGCTGGACTTTCCGCAGGTACGTTAGTTGCATCCAACTTGTATGCTGTATGGGGGGAGGGGGATTCTCATGTGTATTATGTGGGGGGGATGGTGGTGTAGGCGGTGCTGGTGCTGGGCAGTTCGTTTCTGTTTTACTTGTTGGACTGGGCGTTGGACGCCCCCGTCAACCACGTGTACCGGGCGTGCAATTACTTTGTGTTTGCGTTTGCCATCGTGTTGCCCATCGTGACGGGGCTCACGGCGTTTTACTTCATCGATCGAGATGCCCGCATGGCGTTCTTTTCCAAGGTCGACGCCGAGCGGGTGAACACGGCGCTCAAGCATGGCGTGACCGTGAATCGTCTGCAGTACCAAACCCTGGGCCGCGTCGGGCCGTTCGAAGAGCAATTGCTGCTCGAGGTACACACATATAATACCTCTCTGTGTTTTCTCATATTGATTCGTTGCTGGGGTAGTTGCTGGCCAAGACCCCTGAAAACGCGCTTATCCACAACGTGTCGATTCCATTCGAGGACTTGACGCTGCATGAACTCATGACTGAACATGCCAAAGGCGACGTCGTGCGTGGCGAGTACACTGGCCTTCGTGTAGCTATCAAACGGTATCCACACACTATATACTATATATATATATATATATATACATTTATCCATGATACAATACATTTATATATATATGATTATAATAAAATATTTGTTCAATATATATATATATATATATAAAATAATAATAAAATATGTGTTCAATATATATGTATATATCATTATAATACAATATTTGTTCAACTTTTATACATACATATATATCATTATAATAAAATATTTATTCAATATATATATATATATCATTATAATAAAATATGTATTCGATATATATATATCATTATAATAAAAACATATTTGTGTTTGTGTGGTGGTAGGTTGAGTGTGTTGACGCGGGAAACGGTGGTGGAATTCAAAGCGCACGTCGAGTTGCTGGCGTGTCTTCGGCATCCGAACGTCGTGCAGTTCATCGGCGCGAGCTTTGACGCGCTCTTGAATCTGTGCGTGGTGATGGAGTACATGGAGAAGGGCGACGTGTACACCCTTCTGCGGACGCCCATGGCTCTCGAGTGGAACGACCCGCTGCTGCAGATCGCCATCGACGCCGCCCAGGGCATCGCGTACCTCCACCACAGCAACGTGATCCACCGAGACTTGAAGAGCGAGAACCTCCTATGCACGGCCACATATGCGTGCAAAGTGTCGGACTTTGGCGAGTCCAAGCAAGTGCAGACGCAAGAGTGCCTCGAGACGATGGTCGGTACGCCGTACTGGCTCGCCCCAGAGATTTTGAGGGAGACGCCGTACCAGAACAAGGTGGACTGCTACAGCTTTGGCATTGTGCTGATTGAACTCGAGTCGCGGCGGGACCCGTACTTTGACTGCGACGACATGAGCACGATTGACATCATGATGCAAGTGGCCATGGGCACATTGCGTCCGACGATCCCGGCGTCGTGTCCGCCGCGGCGCCGCGCACTGATCGACCAGTGCTTGGCCGACACGCCCCAGGACCGGCCGTCCATGGTGACCATCTTGAAGGCGCTGCAGACAGACATTCGCGACGAAGTGCTGGGGGTGAATTTCTCCGACCCGCAGCAGAATCGGCGCCAGTTGCTGCAAAAGCACCAAATGCTGAATCGAAGGGGGTTGCACGAAGTGCTCGCGACGACCGACCAACACTCATAGTAGACAGGCCTCATATAAAAAATCGTAATTATTGTGAATTCGCTATAAACTTCCAAAATTCGCCTGGTTTGTCGAATCAATATTGAATCACGCTGGAGTTCTGATTGGTTGAATTTACGTGTCCTTTCTGCAAGAGCCAATCAAATCCACTCAAAAATGGATTAGCCAATAGCGTCGATTCGTGATTCGATTTGGCGGCGAGATTCGACGTGGTCTGGAAATTCGTATCGAATCCACAATATTTTCTCGCTTATATATTATAGCATCATTCTAACTTCGGACGGAATTCGAAATCGACCTACAATCGCCCCGGACTCTGCGTCAACCGACTCGATGTACACGGACGCGGCGTCGCCCACATGCAGTTGGTGCTGCATTGCGCTGTCGGGGAGAGGAGGGGCCCCATGGGGCGGCACGGCGACGGCGGCGACATGCGACGGCGAGATGCTCACGTACACGGTGTGTGGGGTGACGTTGTTGATCCAGCCATCGACATAGTGTCCAATTGGAACCACGGCATTGTCAAGCAAGGAGGAATATATCCACTCGCGACAGGCCACGTACTGCGCCGTGCGGTGCTGAGCCAGGGCCAAAGCGTCCGCCGAAAGCGCTTTCACGAGCACGCGGTACAGCACAGCCAAGTACAAGACGTCCACGGCGGCGTAATGCATCAATTGGGCGGACAGCGGGCGCTGCGTCCACGTCGACGTCGTCATGGCCGCCTTCACATGGTGTTTGTCAGGTTCTTCAATCGACAGACACTGCCACAGCAAGTCCCCAAACGCAATGCACTCGTGGTTGGCGTTTCCCAGCGGAATCACGTGTGTACTCGACACCTAATAATAAACTATCGACCCTTCAACTTTGTCTGTTGACTTACCTGCATGTACTTGGCCCCTTGCTTGGCTTTCTTGAGCCCCCGTTGGCGTTGACGCTCTGCGTGGCCCACCTACCAAGCATGGGTAGTTAGTTACTGTATCCCCCGTCTTGCCAATCCAGAAACGAATGATATTTTGGAGTTTATTTATTATTTATCATATACAACCACATACTACTTTTTTTAAATACCATTTGAAGAACGATATTTCTGTTTTTTATTAAGTCGATTCGAAGTTCTGCTCTTTCGATTTTCCCCGCTCCAATACACGACCAAATCAATCGACCGACCAATCCAAAGCCAGAAAACACTTTCAAGTGGCCAATCAAACTCCAGCAATCATCGACGTAGGGTGTGCCTTCAAATAGTGCGAATGGCTTCAACATTCAGTACAAAAAACTCGACCCATGGATTTGGTAATATATATAAATATCCACCTGAAAGCACAATACATCTACCTATTGTCGATTTGATACAAATTTGGGGAGGGGGTGCAATCGAGTCGCGCCGACCAAACCGATCCACAATCGATCTGATTGGTTGAATTTCATTGAGAAGGTTTTGATTGGCTAATAATTTTAAGCTCATCTGAGGTAGCCAATCAAATCGATTTAACTTCCAACGAGAAACCACGCCACAACACAATGAAATCTCACTCGAAAGCACAAAATACCTGGGTATCAAACACGTTGGTCAAGGCGATGCCAAACTGATGGTACAGCGCGTCGCTGTCCTTGCGACAGTCGTGCAGGACTTTGAGCGTCGTCGGGTCCTCCAACAGCGGCTTGAGCACGTCCATCAAGGCTGGATTTGTGTAAATGTCAAACAGGGATACGTGGCAGCCCACGGCAACCGCCACGAGGCAAATGGGTCCGTGCCGACCGAGCGCCACTCCTTCGCAGTCGACGCCAACGACGCCGAGGCGGACGGCGGATGCCACGACGCGGCGCGCTTCGGTTTCGTCGCTAGTGATGGTCGAAATGTGCAGTCCATGTGTGCGTTCACGAAATACAACGTCCCCAGTCATGGTAAAGCATTGGGAATGCGGCGCTCGGCGGCGCAGGATGCACGCCGTCAACGCGTCGGGGTCGTACTGCGACTCGGCCGAAGTGCCAAAGGACACGCTATGAAGCAAGAGCGACGGCGACGGCTGGAGCTGCTGCCACTGCCGCACGAGCACGCACACGCGGACCATTTCGTTGCGGAGGACACGCTGCGAGTCGCGGTTCAAGTACGAGCCCAGGTTTCGACCAGTTTCGATGGGATCTTCCAAGTACAAAAGTGGCTGGTTGTGACATGTCTTGGGTTTGGTCAAGTCGTGGCGACGGAGACTCGCAATCGCAGTTGCGTACGGGAAGTCGCTGGCCCAAAACACGAAAAAGTCGACAAGGAGCTCCGACACCGGAGGCAGTTGGGTCTGTAAAGCAGACGGCGGTACGGCGTCATCAAACGCGCGGGCGATGGCGCCGTGGATGGCGGACACGTCCAGCGCGTCGGTGTACGCGACGTCCACAAACGGCACAACGCGTCGGGATTGAAGCCAGTGGATCACCAGCAGCACCATCGAGTAGCTCGACAGCATGTGCGACGTCCCCACGAGCGCTCGCGCTTTGGCCCAGAGGCGAATGCACTGGCAGAGCGGCCTGAGCACGGGAAATCGCGCCAAATACGCCTCGAGGAGCGCCGTGTTCCACAGCGCAGCCATGTTGTTGACACACAGGTCCACGCGCAGGTGGCTGTCGGCGTCTCTGGTCTTGATCACGGGGATTCGAGCGTGGCGAACCACGACGGCATCCGGGGCTGGAAAGTAGAGCGCCAAGTGGCCGTGCATGTCGGCCGCCAAATCGGCCGAGTCGGCGCCGCGGACGTCGCAGGATGGCACGAGCACACACAGGTCGACGTCGTCGTTGGGTTGGCACAGGTTTGTCTTGGACGACCCAAAGAGGTGGACGCTGGCGTCCGGCCACGCCCGCTGCAAGGCGGCTTCCATGGTGTGTCGAATGCGTTCCCTCGTGTCGGCGGTGGACACGTCTGTGAGCTCGCTGGGCCACCACGGAGTCAACGAGGACGACGTCCTCTTGAGTTCCTGACATACGTACGCGTACTGATTGACCAAGTGTCGGCCTTGCCCTGTGACCAAGGCGTGCTCGAGCAACAACCACTTCAACGGGGAAAAGTTGTGCAGCAATGTTTGAAGGGGGGCGTCCAGTTCATTCGCAATCCACGGAAGCACGAATTGGTGCAGGATGAAGTACAGGGACTGCGAGGACAAGGGGACAGGGTTGTCCGCGCAAGTATTCAGAAACGTGGCTGCCGTGGAGGCATCGGCATTCAATATGGCCAGAAGCGCCGGGGTTTTGAGCAACGTGGACAACTCGTACTGAGGAGGATGGCTCCAGCGCTTCATGTAGTGTGCAGCTGCCCGTCCTTGTTGCTTCCGAAGCAAGCTGGACAGGAATAGGACCTGCGTTGCAGGCGACTCCACCAGTCGATTTGCAGAATCCCAATCTTCGCTCCGGTTGCTTTCAAGAAGCGGTTGCATCTGCCGAAGCCGTTGCTCCTCAGTTAAAGCACCCGCTAGAGCCTTCTTAGCCAGTCGTTCTGCCTTAGACACGCACTTGCGCCGCTTCTTCACGCTTTCACCACCTAACGTGAGCTCGTCCATCACGCACTTTTCGTGTCCGGATATACTACGTAGTACTACTCGTAGTATTAACGTTATAACCGGTACTACGTACTTCGAACGAGGGAATTAATCGAGCACAAACAGAGCTGAGACATCTGATTGGCTAATACTCCGGAGTACTACGTAGTATCCACTTTGCCCATTTGTACTTTCGGAACGGAGAAATGTCGCATTTGTACTTATCCAACGGATTAACTCACTCTTTACGAGTACTATTACTGTACTGTACCAGTACTCCGTTTTGATTACCTGCGCTACCAATCACTCAGCATTAGGGATTTGCTCCGAATTTTCGTGGAACCCTATCTTCTATACAAAGACGAAAAGGTCCTAATCCCAACCCAACTGTCAGAATTGTCATCCGGATAACCCGACTTCAACCGATCAATTGTTCTTTCTACAGTGTATCCCAACTAACAGAACACAATGGGTATCCAGGTGCAGAGGATTACCTTTAGGAATGAATAGTCCGATGTTGTTGATATTGTACGATCTTAAAACCTTTCAAATACAATGCGGGGATATAAACAACGGCCAATAGAATTTGGCCTCGTTGGCCATGTCGCGTATAAAACTTGGTCATAATAAAATACCCTTTAAACTACGGCTACGTAGTATTATTAATAATATATGATATAATGTATGCAATATTATGATTCGACATTGAATGACGATGAATATATAATTCGGCCGAGCTGACGTATGTGATTGATCGAGTGATATCTGACCATCCAATCAAACGCGTTCGTTTGAGTTTGACACATTAACGTTGTAAGTTCACCGCAGCGGCATGCACGATGCGCCGAGCAGTCTCCCCGTACTTTGCGGCTCCTTGATGTTCTACTTCCTGTGGCTCACGGCGGCCAGCGCCTCGTTTATCCCCCTCCCGAACACAACATCCGTGACGTGTCCCCGCTTGTCCTTATTGGATGCCCGAAGTGCAATGGCAACGGAGCCCGAGTTATACAGCACAACCTCACAATGGTGGAAGCAACCTGGAGCTACTGCGACGTCGTTTGACATTGCAATGGAGTCACGAACGTCCTCCTATGTTTGTCCGAACACTTCAAAGCCTGACCAGTCCACGAAGAAGAAAAAGAAGAAATCCAAGTCCGCCGATAAGCACATAGCTCTCAAGCTGCTCCTCTTCGGCATGGTCGTGATTGTGCTCACGACACTATTCTAGCTGGGGCCTTCTCAAAGGCATGCTATATATTTAAATAGACGAGGATAACGTATGACTGATACTTTCCTCCTGTTTGTACATTCATGTTGGCATGCTAGTCAGTACCTGTTCCGCTCGTTGCCATGACAACGCGTTTGCCAGATAAAGCAATCGCATCTGGCACACACCAGCGCATGAAACAACCCCTCGAACTGACACGATGCCCGCATATGACGCAGCTGCAGCTGCCAGGCCTCTGTCTCGATCCTACACACATTAGCAAGTCCATCCCACCACTGGGCTCGGCAAAATGGCTCTAGGACGAAAAGCTGGCGACTACCTCACCCCAAGTCTTGGAGTGCCGCCGTGGCGTCGGGGGAATTCGTTCACGTGGTTCATTTTCCAATCCGTGCTGTTCCATCCACTCAAAATATAGTCCACGGCCAGCTTCCTCATCGCAACCTCCATTTGCACTCACTTTTATCTGTACGTCACGACACCTGTGATAGAAGTGGACATGATTGCATTGCCAAGGCAGTGACCACAGACGTGACCATCCATGAGTACTTCCGGCTGCAGCACCGCGAAGTTGCACAGACGGCGCCATCCTTGTCGGAGTGGATTTGCGAGTGAGACTTTTCTAGTCCTGTCGTGTGACCGAGGAATTGTACCTCTCCACGCTGTACTTTGTGTCGCCCAAGCCCTTTGCCACAGCTTGTTTTTGTATGCGGATACCCTGACAATTGTGGCCACCGAAACCCTTCCACCCAAGTCCGGACGAATTTTATTGCAAATTGTTGCGGACACACTCCAAGCTCAAGTGGTCCGGTGGTTAGTATGTGTCTAGCACATTGTGACGGCCCTGAATGCTCTTGTCGTTTCGGAGCTCGCCGCCGTCATCTCACACGACATGTTGCGAATGGCAGGCCGACTACGACCCAGAATCGTTGGCCCAGCTCGTACCGTTTGCTTCGACTATGACAACGCAATGCAGAACCCTCGACGCCACCACTGTGCCAATATTCGTTGAACACAAAACACGCTGCGTTAGAAATCGGAAAACTCGCGGTCCATCGCGGCCGATATGGATTTATGTGTTGCTTTTGTTGCTTTGTCAAGCGGTGTAAAGTTGCCAGTGTCGCCAGCCATGCGCAAGGGGGGGTGGATGGGGGCTTGTATTCGCAGCGCCTCCACCATCTGCCAGTCAACGTCCCCAAACCACGCGTGACGCTTGATTTTGACGGGGTCGACCAGGCGCTTGGCCAGGTCCGGCTGAAGCAGCTGACGGATCAAGTCTAACTAGCTGATAAGATAACAAGGATGCGTGTGTACGCACCTTTGGCGTGCGGCGTGAACCGATCGCCAAACGTGAGTTTGCCCTGCACGACCCGCGTGTACAGTTCGTACGGCGTGTCGCTGGGTGACCGATAGAACGGTGTGCGCCCCATGAGCAGTTCGAACACGACACATCCAAAGGCCCACCAGTCCACGGCTTGGGTGTAGCTGCGGTCTTTCTTGCGAAGTTGCTCTGGAGCGAGGTACTGGGGGGTGCCAACGGACGTAGTGCATCGGCCGTTGTCTTCGGGATTGCCCACGTACTTGGCAAACCCGCAGTCGATGACACGGATGTGGCCGTGCGCGTCCAGCACGATGTTTTCTGGTTTGAGGTCGCGGTAGATGTAGCCTTCGCGGTGCATGAATTCGAGCACGAGGACGAGCTCCGCGGCAAAGAACTTGGCTTCGTGGTCGTAGAACCGATGGAACTCGTGTAGCCTGGCCACATCGTTTCAGCATTAGTATATTCAACGATTGACAAAATGTGGACGTGTTACCATTTGAAGAGGTCGCCACCAGGGACGTACTCGAGCACAAAGTGGAGCTGGTCACTCGTTTGAAACTTGGCATAGCACTTGATGAGAAACGGATGGCGAAGGCTCTCCATGGTTTGCTTTTCGCATTGGACGTGCTTCAGCATGTTGCGATCGACGACGTCGGCTTTCCACATCGACTTGATCGCAAAGTACTGCCGGGAGCCCTTGTATTGCGCAACGTACACGTGCCCCAGCATCCCCGTGCCGATTAAGGTCTTGACGTCAAAGTCCCTTAACGACAGCGCTTTCTTAGCTTTCAACGAAGTGCCTGGTCATAATGTCAAGTACGACAACACATTGGACCGGATTATACCGATCCACTCGATAGGAGCGTAACCCTCATCTTGCATTGCTGACAGCACGTACAGATTCAGCCGTCTCGTGGAGCCACCCCCACCCATGGTGCATAACGGTAGCGGCAGAAATGACTAGCAGTTTCAAGTCCTGTGTAACCGACAATAATGGAACCGTCACCGCGCTGGAGAATACAAGATGGTAAATCGTTTTATATATATATTCAACGGATGCCGCCCACTGGGCAAACCACACGCACTCTAAACAATGGACACTTGATATTTAGGTTACTCTGCTCTTGTCATGTGGCATATTTGTAAAGCCACCATGGCAGTCGTTCGTGCTTCGCTACTCGCTGTGGGGCTGGTAGCTGACGCAGCCAGTGTTCGCAGAGCTTGCACGAGTCGCGCAGGTACCTTCTGCGGTTCATTTCTAGACGCCAGCGCTGCTTTGAGGCCTTGGATACATCGCAGGCGAACGGCAGAATTGTACCCTCCACCCACCACCACATTCACGAGAGAACTACGTACACACAGCCTGTCAAAGCGGCAACAATAAATACATGTATATTTATTTATATACCTGAGTGCAGGGGACGGCAGGCCGACACGAGGAAGCAGTGCATTGCATGCCAAATCACCATACAACTGCAGAAGACGAAGACAACCCATCGTTCAGGAATGAATACGTCCAAGTACTATTATGTACATACCTGGCACAGGATGGAGATGCAGCGAGAGGCCGAGTCGACACACGTTTGCGCGTCTTGATCATGTGACGAATGGGTACACAGGTCCACCAGTCGTGGAAGGCACTGCACAAACACAGGCAGGTGTTGCGCATACAATGCAAGGGTGGGATCGGGGGAGGACGATGCCGCCTCTTCCTTGGTCATCGCAATATACTGGTCGTACAGCAGCGCATACATGGCCTCGAGCAGGTCCCCTGTGGGACCCACCAGCGCATGGTTGTCGACAGTTAGCACCGCCTGCGACAGGATGGAAGGCAACCCCAAGGCGAGCAAGGCGGCGACGGGGACTTCGTGAGAAGTCACCACGAGCACAACGAGTTTGGTCGTGCTGGGGCTCATGGTGTGACTCACGAGGTTCAACACCGGACCGATTAGGTCGAGCCGGTGCAGGATGCTCGCGAACGCCACGTCGCGGAGGACGATGCTGTAGAGCAACTCGACGGCGAATCGGCGTGCGCTGTCGTTGGTGCTGCTGTGCAAGAGGCCGTGAAACGTGGGCAGTAAGTGATGCACGACGAACTCGTCGACGTACGGCGCTGGGGCAAACATGTCGAGGGCACTGGATATCACACGAATGCCATCGACCAACACGTCTGGGCTAGACGTGTCTGGCAGCACCACCTGGGCCACTTGGACGAGCGCCGACTGGAACCACACTTGGTTCAACGCAACCACGTCGCAGACAATGTCTTGGTTGGACAAGACAGCGAGAAGCGCTTTGATCGCGGACGAAGTGGCGTGGGGAGTTTGCACAACGTTGGCCAGACCGTCTACAAATCCCTCGTACTCGTGGTTGGCATTGTCCAGCAACGTGTCGACAAGCCCCTGGCGACAGGCTGGGTAGTGCAGCAACTTGCCAAGCAACGCGTCGAACAACGGCAGCACGTCGGCCCGTTTGCTGAGCGACGCCGTCACTTCCAACGCTATGCGGACACTTAGCGTCACGACTTGGTGGGCAGATTGCAACGCGTACGATGTCGTCGCGGCACTTGCGTGGGGGTGTCTGGCAGACAGAATTGAGTCCACGGCATGCAACAGGTCCGAGTTGACAAAGCACACTGCAAAGTCGCGACTGAGTTGCAGGCCAAAGTACACCAACAAGAGCAGTTTTCCTTGCACGAGGTTTGTGAGCTTGGCCTCGCCCTCTTTGAATCGTCCTCCAGCCGGGCTGTCCGCCCCACCAATGCTGCTGTCTTCTTCGTGTTCTCGCCGTCTCAACACCTGGCTTAACTGGTCGAACGAATCGGGGATGCAGATGGAAGCTAAAAACGCCTGGGTGTCTTGGGCCGCGTGCTGCAGCGTCACGTTCAGCACGTTCAACGACGCGATGGCCCACCGGTAGAAGTGGTGGCTTCCCCGGGCGAGCCACAAGTGGTCCCACACAATCGACAAGTTCCTAGCCACGAGCCCGAAGACCGCGTCGTTGCCACCCAAGTTGTGGTGATTTAGCACCTGCGACAGCGTATGCTTGAGCACCTGCGATAGCGTGAGCATTGCGGCCATTTGGAGGTTGGGAGGCGATGCGTTTCGGAGACTCTTTTCGATGAGCGCCAAGGCGACCGCGGGGGTGACAAACGGGTCCACGACCCCGACGTCCGAGTCGTCGGAGGAATGCGTCAGGATGTTGCCCACAGTTTGAACCGCATAGTGCCGCACAATAACGTCGTCGGCTTGCAAGACCCGCACGAGACTCTGCACCAGCGCACAACTTAGCGGCTGGTGCTGTGTGACACTGTAGAACGCCAGCTCCCCCATGCACGCCACGACCCGCCGCGTGATTTGGACGTTTTCCACGTCCATCGCTTGGATCAAGATCGGGGCGAGGGAAGCCACGACGTCCGGCGCGATGAACGTGGCGTACCGAACCACGTAGCCCAGCACGAGCCCCAGCCGAGACGACAGCGCCGACGACGTCGATTTCTCCAGCAACTTTCCCAGCAACGTCATCAGCGACGAGTTGACAATGATGTTGGCCACCTGCAGATAGATGATACGCATGAGAAATACGATATGTATCGAGAAATATAAAGTTTCAAGACCTTGGACGACGTGGAAATGGAAAAGAGGTACGCGAGGGCGTTGTGTTTGTCCGACACTGTGACATCGTCGCGTCGAAGATAGTGATACAATTGCTCCAGCTTGGCTTCGATGTCCGCTTGGGTGACCAGGGACGCCACTGGCACGACGGCGAACGGCACGAGGGTTTCGTTGATGCGAGGGACGGCCACGGCCTCGATGTCTGCGCATGCGACAATGGGCTGAACGACACCGTCCAAAGTCGTAAAGATCCGGTGGGGGGCGGGTTTGGGTGTCGACAGCTTGACTGGTTGGTGTGGACGTGCCAAGTTGCGATGGGGTGGTGGCGCCGTCTTGGGCGGCGGTAGGGGGGACAGCTGCTGCTGCTTGTCGGGATGTCGCGCGGACGTCCCATCGTTGTTGGGCGGTGGAAGGTCGGGTTGGCGGGCAAGAGGCGGCGCAGTGGCCGGCCGCGTCCGGATCATACTATCGCCCCCGTCGTCATTCGAGCACGTACTGTTGCTATCTTGCGATACTTGGGGCGACTGGTCTTGATCACAGATAGGACTGGATTGAGGTAGTCTACATATCCCATCAACGACACAAATGAACCAAGATATATATATATATATGTTGTACATACCGCGTAGGGTATCGTTTCATAAACAATGGTTGCGGTGGAAACGCTGGCAGGGGACTGCTGCTGGTCTTATGACTAGTCTTATCCCAAAACGGATGCCCCAGAATGTCATCCCTAGGCAGAGTCGGATACTACAAATTACTGGTCCAAGCCGTCTTCAATGCAACAATGTACGCACCATGAGATTCGCTGGGCGGGGTCTTTTACTAGCAGGCGATGGAGCAAATCGCACAAGTCACGCGACATGTCGACATGTGCTGGGGGCGGGATTGCCACGGCCTTTGTTTGAATCTACACAAAGACGACCACCTTATAAGACCAGAGATAAAACCATAGATAAGGACTATAACACCCCATAGATAGATAGATACGTAGTCGACGACAGACGGACCATGCTTCTCAGGTCCATAAACCCCCCGACGCTCGAGAACGGCTGGGACCCCGTGCGCAGCTCGTACAGGACACACCCCTAGGACGACCGCCCATCGTTCAAACGACGAAACGTCACGAGACGTACGAGAGCCCAAAAGTCGGACGCGAAGCTATGCACGGGGTGCTGCTCAAACAATTCCGGGGCCATGTAATGGGGCGACCCCGGGGCCAGTTTGTCGACCTAGTTGTAATGTCATTTAGAAGGTCATTCAACGCGGTGGAATCGACGGTACTTTCAGAACGCTTTCGTCGGTTGGGATTTTGCGTGCCAAGCCAAGGTCCGACAGCTATGTACATATTGATGATCATGGGACGATGGTTGGAGGAGGTGGTGGTGGTGGTGAATTGTATGACGGTGCATCGTTACTTTGAGTCCGCCGTACTCGTCGATGAGGACGTTCGCGGGTTTCAAGTCGCAGTAGATCACGCCATTCGAGTGCAGGTACTGCAGCCCCATCAACATGTCGTACCCAAAGCTCTGTGCATTATTGTCGCCTGGTCAGTCACACACCCGACGCCAAGGATGGACGTACTTTAATGGTCGATTCTGGAAGCGTCTTGTCTTGGGTGATGAGGTTCAAGAGATCGCCGCCAATGCAGAACTCAAAGATGATCCAAATGTGGTTGGACGACTCGTACCAGTTGTGGAACTTGAGCACGTACGGGCTGCTAAAAGTGCGCAGGAACTGCACCTCGTTCAGGATCTTGTTCATTCGATCCTTCGCCGTGCTCTTCACGGCCATGTACTCAATGCTGCGCTTCCGGCGCGCCTTGTACACATATGAGTGCTGTCCGCGCCCGATCTCGTCGTAGATGTTGTAGTTCTCCATGGGACCGCCGCCTTGACCGCCTCGCCAAGTTGTGCAACATGCACTTGTATCTTTCTGTGGAATCCGGATACATCGTCCGGTTACACTTTCATAGTGTTGGCTTTTCCCGCCTGTTGCATTTTGCCACTCAACTACTTGTATCGGGGCAACATGACCAGTCGACAATCGTACGAACTGCGCTCGAGATCAGGCACTCCGTTCGACACACCGCCGCCGAAGTCAGGGAGATGGATGGCGCAGACGCCGCAAGAGACCGAGGACGATGGAGACCGTGATGGGGCGACCTCTACCCACATCCATCCGACCGAAGGGACAAGCGAGACGCCCACGAGTTCCACGTTTACCGGTGACTCGGCTGCGTTCCGCGACGACAGCGAGTTCACGACTGAGTACAGCGACGACAGCGACGACAATCAAGTGCAGTTTATCAAGCACAACAAGCCTCGCTTTGGGAAACGCGTCCACGCCGTCGCGGTGCGTGGAGCAGCCAGTGGTTGACTTGTTGCTGACTAGTTGAACTAGGTGTCTGCTTTTCGCATGCTCTTGGAGGTAGTCAACTTGACGTGGTTCTTGCTTCCGTTCATCTGCCTCGTTGTGGCGCTGGTGCTTCCCCGGTAGACGACATACTGTATCAATCATTCGATCGACTTTGCCGTTAAAGACATTGCTGATCATAGGTACTTGATCGCGGCCATTCAGGCGACGCCGGCGTCGTTGGCTGCACCAGGACAAGGGCATGTAAACTCGATGAGCAGCATCCAAGCGCACATGGACGCAATGATCAAGGACATCGGCCACTTTAAAAAGTTCCAACACGAACATGAAGCCCGCATCGAAGAAGTGATGATTCTATACGACCAGACGACCAAGCAGCTCGATACGCTCGTGGACACGACGAGGTCGGCGACGTCCGGCGGCAACAACGGAGCGGTGCTGGAGCACGTGACAGACATGATTCAAACGGCGCTCAAGAAATCCATTCGCGACCTGGTAGACACACCATCATCGTCCACTTTTGTTTCATGGCGCGTTGGATGATTAGAAATCCGAGTACAAGGCGGCGCTGCAGCCGTTGGAAGCCAGTTTGCGTCAAATATCGACCCAAGCGACGTTGTTGGAGAGCGACGTCAAGACGCACAAGGCCCGACTGACCGTACGACACTACAGTTTGACCATCCTAGGTCATCTAACGTGGAGGCGTCTGTAGGACGTGGAAGACTTGGTCGAAGGTACCAAGGCGCAACTACTAGACGCGACCAGCCCCCAGCTGCTGGAGCGCCAGATCGCGTCGATCGTGGCCACGGAACTGGTGGTCGTGCAAGCCAAAGTGTCGCGGGCGGTGGCCGAAGAGACGGCACGACTGCGCAACGCGACCCAGGGCGACCTCGAGCGACTCGTGGACCGAAAGGTCGCCGCGTGGACTGTACACACCAGCCGTCCAGACGACTCGACAACCCCCGGCACAGCAGCTCCATCGGGGCGGGTGGATTACGCGAGCTTTGCCAGCGGCGGCCGCGTCGTGCGCCATAAAACGTACGATCATCCACGTGAATATGATGTTGATGTACACTATGTGGACGGTAGCGATTTGGTGGGAGGTTCGTCTTGGGCGTCGGCAGTGCAGAACCTGTTTTTCGCCACGTCATCGTCGTCGACGTTCACGTCCAAGTCGTTGACCCCGTTCCCTCTTTGCTCGATCGTCGCTGGCCAGTCGTGCCAAAATAGCAAGCCCGAGACTGCCATCTCCGTACGTGCGCCCCCCTCCTCTCGTGTCCATCCCATGGATATTGGAGGATTGTTCCTATGGATATGTATGTAGCCGAATGTGGCCATTGGGCAATGCTGGGGCCTCGCGTCCAATTCAGGCAGTTTGTCTGTGAAATTGGCGCACCCGATCGTCGCCGACACTGTCGAGCTGTACCATATCGATCCATCAATTGCCCCAGACTTTTCGTCGGCCCCGAAACACTTTCAAGTGCTGGTAAGATACCAAACAACATTACGCTGGTTGAGTTGTAGTAACGTCGTCGCTTGTCTAGGGTTTGGTCGTGGACGGCACGGACGTTCGCCACGTGGATTTGGGATCGTTTACGTACCACGAGAACCACGAACCATTGCAGCGATTCCCATTGAATCACCACGTACGTACTATAACAACCTCTCGGTGGATGAGTTTGCATATATTTGAACCACATGTGTATAGGCTGCGGTTGTGCATGGAGTGACGCTGCGTGTCTTGTCGAATTACGGCAACGACAAGTACACGTGCCTGTATCGGTTCTCGGTGCACGGCGCTCGCAAGTAATCGCCAATATAAAACGCCCACGATTCCAATGATGTCCTATGTGTAGTTACTGCTGGAGGTGCTTCTCACACATTGCTTATAGTGTGACTGTACTGGTCGACAAATACCATTGCTCGTTTTACCAAAAATTTGGGCTTTTGTGCTCATTCGCCAAATCTATCGATCAATTGTTTGACTGACGCTTGGTATAAATCGTCCAGTGTCACACTAATTTCATTCACACACTAATTCAATGTTGAAATGGTCGAAGAATGGATTCGATTGGCTACTTGATTCGTGATCTGGGTTTTGATTGGTCAATCGATTGTCTGCCCCACTCGAATGTCAAATCGACTTGACAATATACAGGACTACAAGCGAACAGCGTCGAGCTCTCTAACAACTAGTTGGATCAATATCCGTGGCAGATGAAACTGAGCCACATGTGATAAAGTAATAAATATGGGGCTGTATATATTCACCGCCTGTGGTAGATTAATCAATAGTCCAGCGTGAGGAGACTCATGTTGTCTGGTAGTGACTTGGGGCTGATTTGGTGGGCGAGCAGGGTGCGCTTCATGCCGGCCATGGTTTGCTTGATCCGAGCCAGGTCCCGTCGGGTGTTGTACCGAATGATGTCTGCTGTCGGCACCTCCTTCTGCAGACACGGCGCTGGCCGCGTGGGTTTACCCAGCTGGGCGCAAATCAGTCCGTCGATGTCGCGGAGGACGCTGTGCAGGTCCGTTGCTGCCGTCGTCTGTTCGTGACTGTTGAGGATCCACTTGCGAACCTCCCGCATCAACCTCGCCGGCGCCGAGACGTGGTTGGACTTGACCGCGGGCTGGAACGCCTCGCCCACGACGTTGTCGATGATTTTGCTCAACTGGGCCATGCCTGCGTCGCGCAGGTCGATGCGGCGGGTATAAGCCTCTGCCGGAAACCGACTGCCGTTCGCGGGACGACATGGTGGGTCCAACGGGGCTAAAGCATCGACAGGATCCGCCTCGAGGGAACTGTCGCTCCACAGCAAGAGGGACGTGTTGGTTGATGGCGCCGGCACAATCGCTGGACACGATATCAACTCATACGAGGATTCCCACAGCACGAGCACGTCCGACCGCAGTTTAGACGGTGGGAGATGCGCCTTGTGTTTGTGGGTGGTATAATACTGACTTGGGTGGCCCAGCGCACAGCGAATGGCGCGGCTAAATTTTTTGTTCTTGAAGTGACTCCAGAGGTCGGCGGGGCGATGCGGCAGTCGGCGGCCTTGGTGGACGAGCGCAGTGTACGTCATGAGGACGCGGGGCCCAAAGATGCGGCCCATGGACGCTTCAAAGCAGCCGCGCTGCACCATCGACATGTTGACGCCCCCGCCGCGGATGTACAAGGCGATTTGGCGGGGCACGTGCTCGATCATGCTATCATCCGTGTCGTCGCCTCCGAGCTGTCGCCGTCGTCGCTGCTGCTGCTGCTGTTCCCACGTATAAAAGTCGTTCCACTTTTGACTCGTAAAGTCAAAGCTCTGTGCAAATCGAGTCACGAGGCGAAACTGAAGGCCAGAGATGTACACCCGCCCGGTGTAGCACATCTTGGCCATTTCACCGGCACTGGCCTTGCCCGAGTAGACATGCAGAAAGTCCTCGATCGAAGACGTCACTTCGCAGTCGTACTTGAGGTTTGTGGACGCCGCGCCCACCAGCTCCGCTCGGACGGGTTGGTTTCGCTTGCACTCGACCAGGTACCGCATCTTTTGGTCCGAGTGCTCCACGTTAAACGTGAAGCAAATGGTCCCTTCAAAGCTGGACGCAGGCTTGAAGCTGAATTCGAAGAACTTCATCATGTCCACGATCTCCTTGGCGCGGGGGATGCCTCGGATTTCCAACGGCAGCATGCCATCGGCTCCAACGTCGGACGACATGTTTGGTGGACGCAATCGAATGTGCCCGAACCTCCGAAGCAAGTGCACACTGGTATCCGGAATGTTGAAGCGCTACCAACCAGATTTTAAACTCTTAGCTCGGTTTCAGTATGTTGAATTGAATTGGGGTTTTAAATTACACTTGCTGCGATATCTTGTCGTGGGTTGTTCGATCCGGATAATCTGTTGACGCCATCGCCAATCAAAGCATGTGACTTGGCAAATGCCAATGCCCGAATCGGATTGGACAAAACATGAATGTTGACGCATGCCAAGGTTTTGCAGTAAAAATGGCATCATTGCGACGAACCGAAGAACGGAAGAGTACATTCAAGCGCCCTTTATGCCAGCTTCGCTTAACAGAAGTTGATCTCGTGAGGGTATCAACGGAATGTGGTTGTGCGAAGCCCATATTGCCGTTGCTTTCGATTTGGCAACTTTGTCGCCCATTCTGCTGCATGAAGACTTCATGCAGCCGCCGAATATGTAGTCTGAATCATGATGATGCAGAGTGACGTGAAACTTAACACACAAGACTACATCGCACATACCGGTCCCTTTCTCAAACACTTCAGTGCGAAGATATGGTTGCCCTCAAGCAAACGTAATATTGTTCGTGATACTGTACGCATTCTGGTAACTTAACTTATGGGGTGGTGGCTGCACTAGTCCAAGTTACACTGTACCCGTAACGCTAGTTGTTTTCTGGTCGTTTTGCGATCGAATCGTTAAGAACAACATGGCCCACACAAGTTTCTGCTCCGTTCGTGCCAATTTCGCACTCAACACTGCCTTCTCGTCCTGTAACCGACCACATTGTTGCTTTGCGACCGCCAACTCCCTTTCAAGGTGGCCAACTTGAAGGTCGGATCCAGTGGTCATGGCTTCTTGGTCGGCCACCATTTTACGTTTCAGCAACGCAAGCTGATCTTCCAGCTTTGAGACGGTCGCCGCATGCGAGGTAGCGACCACGTCGTTCATTCGTCGCACATCATGGAGCTCGTGCACTACTTGTTCCTTGTCGTGCACTTCCTTGAGCCATTTTGTGTGCAGCTCTTCAACGTGCAATTCAAGTTGCATAATGCGTTCTTCCAGACCTCTTTCGCGCCCGCTTTCCAGTTGGCTGGATTGGTCTAACGCAAATGCCAAGGTCGTCAAGAGGTTTTGAGCCAGGAACTTGTCGAGGGTTGCAGTCAGAGGGTCGCAGCACTGGACGATTGAGTCTACCCATCCTTGCAGCCCTATACGACCTGCAACGGTAGCTGTGGCAGATATCAAGCGATTCACAATGGGGAGATCCAAACTCTTGAGGTGTTCCAGTGACCGTTGACACTTTCCTTCGCCCCACCGCAGCAGAGCTCGAATCAGCGCAACGTCGGAGCCAGGCGAAAGATGTAAGGTCTGCCAACAGTTCGTTTGGCACCCCTCTTTGCCATCGCGAGGTGCTAGTACCGGCACTTCCATGGTCGGATAATGCGTACAGGTAGAGAGGCTGGTGGTGGCTTTTCTGAGGTTGGCATCTCTGAATGGTCACATTAGTCATTAAGCTGTAATTGACTACTCCATTTTAGTCATTTTAGTGCCTCACCACAAAGAAACATGGTGAGAACATTTGTATCGGACCTTTTTATCCGGATTGGGTCAAACCTGATGACCCAAATCAAGTTTGAAATTTCAAAATGGAAGGTGTTTTGACGTATCATGCAATTCAATTTTCATTCTATTGCATACAAGCATGACGTTTATATTAGTTGTATTTAAAATAATATAAAATAGTGCTGCTGTGTTTACAGAATGGGACAATTCAACGTTGGTGGTGTTGTGATTTTTGATCCGCTGAGGCTGGGACAGCAACTGACGAAGATCTCGGGCTGCCTTCGCATTCTACATCGCCACGACCATTGAAGAACTTCACCCTCAGGTCACCTCTCGCACAGCCAGTCTACAGTCGAGATGCAGTCCTCCGCGCACATGAACGATGAAAACAACGTGACGACCAAGTCTCGACCTCGGGTTTGACAACCTCCGATTCCCCTAGTTGCTGATCCGTGTAGGCTTACAAGCCACTTGGCGACCGCGGCGCCGCGAAACATGGCGAACGAGTGTCCACGTTCAGCACCATTCTAAAGCCCCAAAACAGCTTCAAGCGTCCCGCATTGGGCAACATCACAAACAAGTCGACGGTACGCATTCAAGCTCGAGTCCATAGCAACTTGGGACACTTATGTGAAGAGCGACTAGGTGGTAACCAACAAGAAGTTCATGTTGGAGACCCAGAAGGTCGCGAGACGCGAGGAAGTAATCCGTCGAACGTCGATTGGCACGCCCAAGAAGCTGACACCAGCCATGCCAGGACTGAGTAGCCAGATATCAACCGTGAAGATCGAACCAATCCTCGAAGTCGACAACGAATACGACATTGACAGCGAAGACAAAGGCATCGAGCGATCTTGCTGGCAATACGCGGCCGAAATTCACAAATATTACTTGGACATCGAGGTGCCACATCGCCCTCTTCCGTTGGTTGCTCACGTCTTGATCATGCATGATCATAGAAATACCGCGTCGCCAGCCCCACGTACATGCTGGACCAGGTCGACGTGAACACGAAGATGCGGTCCATCCTAGTGGACTGGCTCGTGGACGTGCATTACAAGTACAACTTGCTCGAGCAAACCCTGCACATTGCCGTCAACTTGATCGATCGCCACTTGGAGAAGAACCTGACCTTGCCTCGCGCGCGCCTGCAGCTTGTGGGCATCACGGCGCTGTTCATCGCGTCCAAGTACGAAGAGATTTACCCCCCGGAGGCCGCCGACTTTGTCAAAATCACCGACAACGCGTACACGCTGTCGGAAATGTTCCAAATGGAAGACGAGTTGCTGTCGAGCATCGGCTACCGCGTGACTGTCCCGACGGCGTTTCAGTTTATGAACCGGTTCCTCAAGGCATCCAAGACCGTCAACACCAAGACACACCTGCTCGCCAACTACCTCATTGACCGGTGCTTGCAAGAGTACAAGATGCTGCGGTACCCGCCGTCCATGATTGCCGCCGCGGGCGTGTACCACGCGCGCATGCAAATGCACGTCGTTCCCACGTGGGTAGGTTGGACAGGTTTGTGTCTTGTGTGGTTGACGATATGTGTAGTCGGCGTGTGTCGAGTACCATTCGACGTATTCCGTCGCGGCCATGCGACTGTGCATCAAGGACATGCAAGAAATGATGGAGTCTGCCGCCGCTGGCGTGGCCAAGTCGAGCAAACTCACGGCCGTGACCCGGAAATTCTCCAAGGAAAAGTTCCAAGGTGTGTCCAAGCTTCCGTTGCGCTTTCCAGTCGACCACGAGTAGCGGAACCATAGATGACCGATGTATGCCACAATGGTGTCATGAAGTAGCCAAGTAAATAAATATACTGTAGTACCATTGCCAACATACAAGACCTGTTCATGCATGCATGCTGCTGTGTGTCCTTGGGTTTGTATGTGTTTATACCAGTGATGTGATGATGTCCAAATCGCAAGCTTCGGCACACGTTCCATGTTAAAATATGTACTAGTACACGTTTACAAGTCGGAATAGAACGCCTCCCGCTTGGTAGGGAACGCTTGTCGACCGCCTTGTCCGCCGGCGTCATCACTGTCGTCATCGCTGTCGTCCATCGAGTCGTCATCTCCCTTGGGGTCAAACTCGAGTCCTTTGGCCTCTTCGGTGTCGTCACCATCGTCGTCACCACCGTCGTCGTCGTAGAGGTACCCAACGTCCCAGAAGTGCACCTTGTTGGAATGTGCGACACTGCCGACGATGCGTCTGTCGTGTGAAAACTTGAGCACTTCCACGGGCATGTCTTCGTGGTCTCCGATGAGCCCCAGCAGTTTATTCGGGTGGAGTTGCACGACCCTACGATGATACTAGTATATGAGGATCGACAATCGAACCGAACGGTGGGGACCGAATGATGCCGTCGCTGGAGCCGGTCAAGACTGTATCTTCGTCCACTTTGAGGATGGTTTCCACCGAGTCGGGGTGCCCGGGGAATCGATCAGACATGTCTCCCCACGTATCCCAGCTGAAGATGACCAGCACGCCGTCCTGGGACCCGCACACGACTTTGCGCCCGTTCTACGCGACCCACCGAAACATATGAGACAACGTTCCAGGAACATGAGACAACGTTCCAGGACTTTGAAACGAGTGACGAACCTTGATGATCTGGACAGAGAGCAACTCGTCGTCCAGCTCGTCACTCTTTTGAACAAACTTGTTCTTCTTTAAGTCGTACACGGACAGACGGCCGTCCCCGCTACACAAACATGCATATGTGACACGGTTGAGGACGCGTAAAGTCGTACCCCGTGACCAACAGCGTCGACTTAGACTCGTTGGTGGTCATGTCGGAAATGTAGTCCTACGCAGCATGAGACACTGTCCATGATGAAGTTGAAGGGTGTACCGTGTGTTCATTCCACTCAACGATGCAGCGGTGTTGGCGAACATCCCACATCTACGATGGTCATGGGTATGGATATGGTTGACGACAAGGAAGTACCTTGACACAGCCTTGGTCGTCGCCACTGGTAAACACGTTGTTGGAAATGCTGTGCAATTGGTTCACTGGGTTCAAGTGCGCGTTTAATTCGGCCCACAACACGCCACCATTGACGTCGTACGCGCGAATGGATTTGTCACTTGATCCAGTGTACAACGCTATGGACATCATGGCCGGTTAGTCTCATGGCGGTTGAAGGAGGCTCCATGATACAGTCATACCACTGCCGTCCTCTGAGAACATGACAACACGACACGCATCTTGGTGGTGATTCAACGACAGAACGCACGTGTTGCCTTCGGGGGTGTACGTGTACCTACGACAGCCAGGACCATGAGGACCATGTCAGGCATGTCGCTTGTGTATTCTACACGGACGATCACACGTACGCTTGTACTTTGCCGTCGATCATGCCGGCCGCCACCACATTGCGGCTCGGGTGAAAGTCGAGGTCGAACACGTCGCTCGGCAGCACCACATCCGGGATGCCTCCTTCTTCGCGTGTCACTTCCATTTGGTCGATTTTGTAGTTTTGGCAATGGCGGCGTTTAGTTATCCGGACGAGTGGTATCCGAATGACAGATTTTGGTTGGTCAAGTGATTACGACGTTTTGATTCGCTATTATATTCTATATTAGCCAATCACAATCGACAAACGCTTGGCACTTCAACTTTCGTCGTATGCTGCCAAGCACTCCAAGTGGGAACACGACAGCACATTTCACGAAGTTATGTCATTTCTGCGGACATCTATGATACATTCATGCAAAGCTCTCGACTATCAATGGCCTACACCACTTCTACAGATGGGCTACGATCTAAGACAGTGATCAGCACATCGAGTTCATATGAGGAGTAGACGTACAGATGCCGTTCGGAGTGGTGGTGACAGCTCCATTTTGGCCACAGATAGCCCGGCGAATGAGTTCTTTCTTCATCTGGAAAGATGACCGAAGCGACTCTGGGGTGCCTTCAATGTTGTCCATGATAAGGTAGATCACAAGCAACCCAATGTGCTCCAACACCAACGCAACCAAAAACCGCGACGACAGCCCAAAGCACGACAATTCTGGTGTCATGCTACACAAACCACACTTAGAATCCATCCACCATGAATGAGTGTATATATTATACCTGTAGTCGGTGCCGTTGAACCGGTCAAGCGCCAAGCAGTCGCCCACAAAGTACTCGACCTCCCCCGAACTCAAGCAAATGAGCCCCACAACTGCAAATACAGCGAGAAAGAGCGTCGTGTAGAGGGTCTTCTCCCACTGGCCAATGCTGTTGGCTTTGCGGGGTACTGGGCGGCGTCTTGTGAGACACAGTTTGTGAAAACAGTTTTGAATGTGCACGACGTTGTTGGCCTACCCACCCAATCAAATGAACTTCAACATGCAATGATGACGTCAACTTCAAAGTGAAATGATGACGTCAACAAGGTTCAAACGTACCACTGCAGCCAACCCACAGAAGGGCCACACAACCGAAAACATGACGACGTAGCCCTAATATACCAATACAATTATATATACGGTTAAGTCCATCGTGGTGGGATATGTCCGTGGCTTACAAACTGGATGACCATTTTCAAGTAGTCCGGCTACGCAATAGTACAATTGTAAGTTCAAGTTGGCAAGGATGTTAACAACATGTAAGGGGGTCTTTCTACGTACAAAGGTCTCGTACAGCTCGAGCTGGCTTTCGTCCACCACCGAGTCGGCCGTCATGAATTCTACCACTCATCATCAAGACCCCCTCTGACACTCTTTCCGGTTGGTACCTTCGTTGTAAAACCCTTCTATCGTCGGAATGGACACGCCCAACGCAGCCTCAATGTACGGAATGCGTATCGGCGTGATCATTTGCAGCTAGTCAATCCAAGTTCGTTACTCTTTTCGACGCCACGTCAAAATAGCCTCCAACCTCAGTACGCACCTCAATTTTTTCCTGAAAGTTCAACGAGTTGGTGGTCGCTGTGGTAGCAGAGGTCGACGACGCGCGAAACGCCAAGTCCGGCAGCGACGTGCGGCGCTGGAACTGACTCTGAATCTCAGACAGCGCCAACATGGTTTCGGCGGGGTGCGCGCGCAGTTTGCGGACCGTGCGGAAGCCGAGGAGGCGATGCTTGCGCAGGGCATGCGGCAACGCCGTGTCGATGAGGAGGTTGAGCGCCTGCGTGATGAGAAGCGGTGTGACTAAGGCCGTGCTCATGTCGATGCGGCCGCTGTGCCAGTTGACCGTGTAGATGGTCGCCCAGTGGAACTGCGCGTTCATCCACGCCTCGACGTCCTTTCCAAACGGGACGATCACGAAAGCGATGAGCATGAACCACAGGAAGAACGAGATCCAGTTGATAATGAAGAGGCGGTTGATCATCGTCCGGTCCACTTGCGCCTCGGTCGTGTGGTTTTCTCGGATGACAAAGAACCGAAGCAGCTTGACAGACAACAAGTACACAAACACGTCCAGCGTCACGCCCAGAAACATGCCCTAGTCCATCCACCCAAAATAGAGTTTCACTACCCCCAAAGGCCTGAAGGATAGTACCTGCACAAAGATGTAGAACCACCGGGATGTGCCCACGGTCGCCCCCAACGTGTCAAAGCATGTGAGGAACCCGCTGCAGTCCGGGCACTCGGCGCACACGGGGGCGCACATGGCCGCCGTGTACCACTGCACGAAGAATGTGATGCCCACGACGTACGTGAGCGTGAAGAAGAGGAACACGACCAGCGTCTGGATGTACGCGGGTATGCGGTACAGAGAGTTATAGTACGGCTCTCGGAACAACAGGACGCCCGAGTTGTCGACAATGTCGAGGAACCCGTGGGGGCGGAAGCGGGGGTTCGGGTAATCGGCTTCTTTGAAGAGGCGGACGTTCCACGCGTCGTTAAGGTACTCGTTCTTACGCTGCCACGCCTGCAACAATCGGTACCAGGTTATATTGAGTACTGCTGAAGAGCAACACAATACCTTGAGGAAGGCGGTGCCCCATATCGTTACGACGGCGTAGCCAAAGATGCTCAGGCCCGTCATGTAGTAGATGGCAGTATACCATCGAAAGGACAAGTACAAGATCGTGCCGATGACTGCTGGCACCACGAGCCACTGGGTGTACAGCAGCAAAAACGCAAAGTGAAACGCGACATGCTCGCCGTAATGGAACCTAAACCACCAAGCATTAAGTATGGGGTATCTTTGCCAAACATGATTGAATTGGTGAATACGCAACGAAGTACCGAATGGTGTTAGTGATGTCGTCCGTGTTGATCCACCATCGCTGCTTCTTCCGCAACAGCATTTTGTTCACCTGACACGTCACATGTTGATATTAGGTTGACATGTCAAAAGGTCAGTTTGCACATACCTTGCGATTGTGCAGCGGAAAGCAGGCGGCAATGATCGGGTCCCTTTGGTTTGGATCTTCGATGGAAATGCCCGCGCCAGGGGGATTCAGCTGCGCCGTGTCCGCCGTGGACGAGATGATGCGTCCGATGGTCTGGATGCGTTCGGCTGGGGTGAACTTGCGGTCCTCCTCCTCCTCCTCGTCACCTTGAGGTTCGTCTTCTTCGTCGTTGTTGCCGGCAGAGTTGACGTGGCCGCCACGGGCCATCGCCCCCTTCCGAGGAGACATGGGGGACGACCCCAAGTCGCTCTTGTAAATCAGCTGCTCGATTTCGCTCGGGACTTCCCCGACAGCTCCAATCTGAAGCCACCGCTCCACCACGAGGCGATTCTTTTCAATCTTCATGCGGTCGAACGTGGGCTTGAGCAGCAAACACATAAACTTGCGCGAATGCAACGTGCTAGTCATGGCCGTCACTTCCAAGCCTGCATCGATGCATCGACGGATCACATCGCACTGCTGGACGCCGGCGTCGTCTAGACCCTGACGTTCCAGATCTCGCGTCCGCGCTGGTTTGTTGTGCAGCACAAGGGCAAACTCGTACGGAAGGGGGCTACTGCAATCGATTTCGGGCTCCCTTGTTTGCTCTGGCTTCTTTGGCCACGACGGCCACGGAAACGACAGCCGAGCACGCGCTGCAGCAGGGGTCGATTGGGCCGTCCCCGAACCTCCGCCGGCAGGACTGGCTTGTACGTTGGACGACGACAAGTGCGGATTCGACGGATCGGACGCCAAATGCTTGACCAAACTGCCCAACGACTTGGTGTACGTTCGCACACGTGGCAGGGGCAACGTCGCTTGGTCGTGGCTCTCAAAGCTCTTGGTACGTCGGGGCAGGTACACGTCCACCTCGCAGCCATCCTGCTCGGTATCTTCGCTGATCGAAGTGCCTTCGATGATCTCGTTGGTCTCTGACACACCCACACTTCTCGTGCGTCGATGGCGCGCGACCCTGCACTTGGGCGGCGATGTGGACGCCGACCGCTGCTCCATCGACTCCATCGCTCACTGCGACACTTTTTAGGCACGAAAAGTTGCGGCAATGATACGATTCTGTCCAATCAGAAGCACACGTAACTGAAATCCTTCGATACCAAACTTCCCCATGAAACTTCTCGTAACGGTTAGGGGGACTGATGGTGAGAACGAGGAAGTGCATCTACACGTATAACTACATTGAGTTGACGCCTTTAATCATCCACAGACCAAAGAGAAGTGGGGTGATGGGTATATCATAAACCCCCCCTGCACAGGGCGTTAAGAATGCACGCATGAGAAGACCAAACGTTGAATACCAATAAACCTTTGGCGGTTATATGGGCACCGTTTCACCCCTTTTCACCCCTCTTTCGCGACTGTTAACAACTAAGAGGATACATCACGCATGAGCACGACGGCAACCCCCGCGACGCAGACGGCAGAAGGTGGCGAAGAGTACTTGAACTCAATGAACTTTCGATCGCTCATCGAGTGGTTTACGGCTGAAGCGCTGCTGAGCCGACCGGAAGACCCGCTAGCGTTTGTGCGGACTGTAATTTCCGAGAAACTTGCTCAGGTGTGTTGGTATGACGACAAAGACATTCTAAATTCATGGTCTTGTTGCAGAGGTCGTCCGGGGAGAGCTACAACCCAGACCACGCCATGGCATACATCAAGCAATGCTACGCCGAAGCCAGGTACATCGTACAACTGGGCATTCTGCAGTTGACACTAGTATAACATGTAGTGCGTCGGCCGATGAAAATGGACGCTTGTGCTTGCGTCCCAAGCGCGACACGTACGACATAGTGAACATGTGGACATGAACCTAAACCTCGAAAAGGAACGCAACGCCCTCGGGAGACTTGGCTTCCAACAAGCGACTCGTTCTACTCGAGAAACTCATCCAAGCCTTTCGAGTGATTACGATGCAGTTGGATCCCATGGAAGGTGCACACACGCCCCCAAGCCAGTTGTGTCCAAATACTCACATTATTTCCAGCCACCAACTCCATCATCAAGCACACGTGCAAGATCCTCAACGCCGAGCGAGCCACCCTCTTCAAAATGGTAAGTGTCGCCGATGCTACTATCGCAAATACAACTCAAATCGACTTACTGTATATGCTACTTGTACTGATGCAGGACCCCGTGACCCAAATGTTGCACTTGAACGTTGCCGAAGGGGCGTCCGAGATCAGTGTGCCATTTGGCAAGGTTGGCGCTACATATCACAAAATACTAGATATATCGTTGTTCGATGCAGGGAATCTGCGGCGTGGTGGCAGCTACAGGCAAATTGGTCAACATTGCCAATGCGTATGCGGACCCAAACTTTGACTCGCAATACGACATGCAGACGGGGTACCACACTCGGTCGATCCTGTGTGTGCCAGTGGTGAGTCGCTGCTTTTCGTGACGTGGCATAACCTCCGTCGTTGTAGCGCAACGGCCAAGGCCAAGTGGTGGGGGTGATGCAGGCATTGAACCGCAGCGGCAACGAGAAGGACACGGGGTTCACCGACATGGACGAGGAGGTGATGACGATCTTGGCGGCGCAAGCGGGCATAGCGATCCAAAATGCGCAGAACCACAAGACGGCACTGCAAGCCCAGAAAAAGGTCACGGAAGTGTTGGACATCGTCAAGGCCATGCACAGCGACTTGGGCATCAACTCGCTGATCTTCACCGTGACGCATCGCATCCAGAGGCTCGTGGGATCGGACCGGTGCTCGTTGTACCTGCTAGACAAAGTCACGAACGAGCTGTGGACGCTGCAGGGCGAGGTGGACATTCGCATTCCGTCCAACCAGGGCATCTGCGGCGCCGTGGCCGAGAGCGGCAAGCTGATCAACCTCAAGAATGCCTACGAAGACGCCCGCTTCAACAAGGTGTGTTGGTTTTGAGATCCTCCTTGTGATCTGATTGATGGGTAGGAGTACGACCAAAAGCTCGGGTACAAGACGTCGACGATCCTCGCGTTGCCGCTGCACAGCCACAAGCAAGACGTGATTGGTGTCATGCAGCTGATCAACAAGACAGACGGCATCTTCACCCCGGACGACGAAGAGATCCTGACGACGTTCCTCAGCATTGCGGGGCCGATTCTCGAGAACTCGCCGCTGTTCCTGCGGGCCAAAGGCACGGGGGGAGAAAACGAACTCACGGGGCGCCCGGTGTCCCACGGAAAGCCCGTGACGTTTGACCCTGAAATGAACCAAATCCAAGAATCGGACGGCGCAGAAGACGAAGAGTGAGGCAATATGGACGGGGTCTCTTTACCGGTAGAGGTGTTTGTGTATTAATGCGACAACTCAGTTGAGTTCATTTGGTCATTTGAGTACATGGGGGCTAGATCGCTGCAGGAAGTAGCAAGTGTCCTCGAGGCAAGTGGACAAATATTGTCGTTGAACTTCGCAAACCCTACTAACGTTATCAGTAAATTGCGAATAGGATCAAGTGCCTATTTATACAGCTGCTGAGGAACACCGACGATGAGTCGGACATCGCGGATGGTTCGTCGTCTGAGTGTACATCGAGCATTGCTATCAAGAATGGACTAGGTAGTTGTTGACGCAATTGCTCGCAGCTGAACTATTGAATTGATGACTAGTGTGTCGCACATTACCATGGTTTAATTGGTGTCATCGGTTGATTATGGGAGTCAAAAGATGAGACAAGCCTCATACTGTGAGGATGCGTACAGACTGTATGCTGGAAATACCTCAAATAACTCGAGATTGGATAGTCAAGTAGAACGGCGACAAATTCTATATTTAGAAAGAACCTGCGCGAAACCCCTGAAACCTCCACACCCATTTTCGAAATTGACTGGGATGTCGGAGATGCTTGGCGAAGGTCCTGCCGTCGCTGATGATGTGACGGACAAGATCGAGTTGGACATTGAATCCACAGAGGGCGGGTCGTCATCTCCGCCGTCGTTATCATCCATCTTTCCCAGCAATGCTGTCGTTGGAAACGACACAGAGTACGAAGCCCGTCGCACCAAAGACAGACGCGCGAGCTTGAACGCTCGGCCGCCCCCTGAGATCCCCCGAGTGTACAGCGAGCTTCGGTTCAAGGGTATTCAGGATCCGTACAACGACCAGCAGCAGAACCCCATGGTGAGCACCCTGAATGCTGCCAGCTTGGACACGATGTTGAGTGGCGGACTGCGCAAGTTCTTTGAAAAGTACAAGAAACTGTCCACGTCTGTGAATTTGCAGCTGCAGACACCCGAAGTCCGGTTCTTAGACCTGTCGTTCACGGCGCGGTCCGACGTGAAGCCAGCCAACGAGGTGGACGGCACGGTGGGCGCGCACTTGAAGCGCCTGTTTCTGCCATGCATCAAGCGACCCACGGTGGAAAACTACGTGCTGCATCCCATGACTGGCATCATTCCCCCTGGCAGCATGACCTTGGTACGATCATATAGATCAACCTACTAGAACACTCATTAAAAGTGTAGCTTCTGGCCAATCCGGGGGCAGGCAAATCGACGTTTCTCAAGGCGTTGGCGGGCAAGTTGCGCACGAAGGCCAATCAAACGATGCTAGACGGAGAAATCACGTACAGCGGCCTATCGCCGTCGGACATTGACTTGTCCAAGCTGGTGAGTCTCGTGGACCAGCGAGACAACCACTGCGCGACGCTGACAGTTCGGGAAACGTTCAAGTTTGCCGACTTGTGCTTGAACGGTCAGCCAAAGAAGAAGAACCGTCCTGGAAAACTCGCCGACGTCGCCAACTTGCGGTCCGAGCTGGTGTTGCACGTGTTAGGGCTCAACAATTGTGCCGACACGGTGCGGACGTTGCTGTGCAAGTGGCTCGGCAACTGACTGCGTTTTTGTAGGTGGTGGGCGATGCGCTGCTTCGGGGCGTGAGTGGGGGAGAGCGCAAGCGGGTGACGGTGGGCGAGATGCTCGTGGGTGGACAAAGCATCTTTTTGTGTGATGAGATCAGTACGGGGTTGGACTCGGCGGCCACGTTTGACATTGTCAACTCGCTCCGGTCGTGGACCAAGACGTTGGGGGGAAGCTGCATCGTGGCGCTGCTGCAGCCGCCGCCAGAAGTGGTCGAGTTGTTCGACGACATTATGATGCTGAGCGAAGGCCACCTCGTCTACCACGGGCCTCGCAAGTTCACTCTGCCCTACTTCCAAGGGCTGGGCTTTACCTGTCCCCCCCGCACCGACCCGTCCGACTTTTTGATCGAGGTCGTGTCGGGGCGCGGCGCCAAGTACTACCCCACTGGTAATCCACCAAACCCTTTCCATCAAACCCTTTCCATCAAACCACGATGATGGTGAATTAATGTGGCTGTAGATGCCCCTTCGCCATGCCTGGTGTCCCCCACGCAATTCGGAGATGCTTTCAAGCGCAGCGACATCCACGCGGCCGTGCAGGACCAGCTGTGCCAAGGCCATACGATCCACGACGTAGCGACCATCAAGCGCATCTCGTTCATGGCACGAAAGACGCAGGTCTTCGGCATGGGGTTTCTCGAAAGCACGTGGCTGCTGCTCCAGCGCCAAAAGATGCTCTTTGTGCGGGACAAGGCCCTGTTGTACGGGAAAATGACCGAAGCCCTGGTTGTGGGGCTGCTGCTTGGCGTGATCTATCTCAACTGCCACAAGTCGCTGTACCTGCGCATGAGCTTCTTCTCCATCGCCATCTTCCAGCGGCAAGCGTGGCAGCGCATCACCATCTCGTTCTCGCTTCGCAACGTGTTTTACAAGCAGCGGTCGCGCAACTTTTTCCGCACGATTTCGTACGTGATTGCAGACTCGATCGTCCAGATTCCCATGAACTTGGCCGTGAGCATCGTCATGGGCACGATCTTCTACTTTATGAGCGGCCTCACGCCGGCCACGAGTACGTTCTTTGTCTTTCTCGCCATCCTCGTGGTGTTCCAGCACACGATTGGCGCGTATTTTACGCTCCTGAGTGCGCTGAATCCGAGCATCACGGCGGCGCAGGCGATGGCGGGCATCTCGGTGTCGTTTTTTCTCTTGTTTTCGGGCAACATCATCCTCTCCGACTTGATTCCGCCGTACTGGCGGTGGATGTACTGGCTCAATCCCGTCTCGTGGGCGCTGCGCAGCATCATACTTAACGAGTTTACGTCGCCGACGTATTCGGACGCGGACCGCGTCAATTACTTGAACCAGTTTCAAATTCGACAAGGCGAAGAGTACATTTGGATTGGCATTTTGGTGCTCTTGGGGTACTTTGTCTTGTTTACGCTCGCGAACACCGTGGCGCTGCATTGTATTCGCTTTGAAGTGCACACGGGTGTGAAGAATGTGCCCATCGACGGCACCAAGGCTGCCCCCACACCGCCCGTAGCATCCTCCACTGACTTGCCGCAAGTTCATCTGAACGTGGCGCCTCCCACGAACGACGCGTCCAACGAGCTCCAGTTCATCCCGGCCTTCTTGGCCGTCAGGGACTTGGACTACTTCGTGACACTATCCACCGGCGAAGAGCGGCAGCTGCTGCACCAAGTGACGGCGTTCTTCGAGCCAGGCACCATGACGGCGTTGATGGGGTCTAGCGGCGCGGGCAAGACCACGTTTATGGACGTGATTGCTGGTCGCAAAACCGGCGGTCGGATCGTTGGGGACATCCACATCAACGGGGAGCTCATGGACCCGACGATCTTTAGCCGTATCACGGCGTACTGCGAGCAGATGGACATCCACTCGGAACGGGCCACGATTCGGGAAGCACTGCTGTTTTCGACGTTTCTGCGGCTCCCCGAGACGATTTCCGAGGCGGCCAAGCTTAACCTCGTCAACGAGACGCTCCACCTGCTGGAACTCCACACGATCGCGCACGAACTGATTTTGAACTTGAGCGTGGAGCAGAAGAAGCGCGTGACCATCGGCGTCGAGGTGGTGGCGAACCCAAGCATCCTGTTTCTGGACGAGCCGACGTCCGGGCTGGACGCGCGGTCGGCGCAGGTGGTCATGCGCGGCGTGCAGTCGATCGCTCGAACCGGGCGCACGGTCGTGTGCACGATCCACCAGCCGTCGATTCAAATCTTCGAGCTGTTTGACGCGCTGCTGCTGCTGCAAAAGGGTGGACGGGTCGCGTACTTTGGGGAGCTCGGTCACGACAGCCTGCACATGCTCGAGTACTTCCAGCATATCCCCGGCACGGACAAGATCAAACCGCTGTACAATCCCGCCACGTACATGCTCGAGGTGATCGGCGCCGGCATCGGGCGCAAGGACATCAAGAACTACGCCGACGAGTACGCCACCTCGGCCCTCCACCAGAAGAACATCAAGGAAACCACGCGGCTGGCGGTTCCGTCCGACGCCATGGTGCGGTTCTCGACACTGAAGTACAGCCCCATCGCCACGAGCACGAAGAACCAGCTGGCATGGCTCGTGCTCAAGTCGTCGCGGACGTACTGGCGCAGCCCTGCGTACAACTTTGTGCGCATCGTGCTGTTTCCGGTCTTTGCGTTGATCTTTGGCAGCACGTTTTACCAGCTGGCCATCAACTCGGTGTCGACAGTGAACTCGCACATAGCCTTGATCTACAACAGCATGGACTTTATCGGGGTCATCAATATGATGACCGTGCTAGACATTACGTGCTTGGAGCGCGCCGTGTACTACCGCGAGCGCATGTCCAACTACTACAGCGTGCTACCGTTCAGCGTGTCGCTGTTTGTGGCCGAGTTTCCGTACCTCGTTCTCATTAGCGGCTTCTTCGTGATCGTCGAGTACTGGATGGTCGGGTGGTACAACGACGCGGGGCGGTTCTTTTTCTTCTGGTTCACGTTCTTCCTGTACATTTCGCTGTGTACGTTCTTGGGCCAATGGATGTCGGTGCTGCTGCCCAACTCCAAGGTGGCAAATGTGGCAGTGGGGGCGCTTTCGTGCCTCCTGAATCTCTTTAGCGGGTTCCTGGTCCCGTTCATCGACATGAAGTGGGGGTACCGGTGGGTCACGTGGGTCACTCCCTCGAGCTACGCGCTCAACGTGCTGATCGGGTGCGAGTTGGCCGACTGCCCGCCAACCAGAAACGGACAAGGGTGCGACATCATTACCCTCGCGAACGGCACGTCGTCGACGATTCACGACTATATTCTGACCAACTTTGGCTTTGACGCCAACCAGCAGTACTCGAGCCTTGGCATCCTCATCTTAGAGTGGTGTGCCATTCAAGTGGCCATCTTCTTGACGCTCAAGTATGTTTGCCACTTGAAGCGCTAGCCTGTTAATTAACGGTAATCCAATTTAAGGTGCACGCGAGTTAGCCAATCAATTCCTACAAAGGCAGTTTTTAACCTAACCGCCCAAAAACTATGCAAATGGGTATACAACGACTAAGCTGAATATGGTGCACCTTAAATTGGACCGCTGTTTTAAGCTGTTTGTGGACAAAGTGGAGTGAATGATAATGAATTATAACAGAAATTATAACAGGAATCATATCGCATTCATAACTCCCGAAGAGGCCTCGATTTTGGCTTCATGTAACATGTTGCAGAATTATAATCTGATACCTACGAGTCGAGTTACATGCTTTCCACGGCATCGTCTCGGAAAAATAAATTGGACTTTTACGTTGGTGATAAATTACCCACGTTGTGTACATTTTGCTGCTTGATCGATGGACATTTCAACTAGGTAACATTCTGCCCCTCACAGGCAATTTTGGTGGCTGCAGTACAGAGTACTGTACTCGAGTACTTCACCACATTAGGTACTACTGTACATTAGGTACTACTGAACCAGTACAGTGCAATAGTTGGAGTCGCACAAGAAGTGCCAAGCATTTGGAGGTCACACAGGCTGGAACTGGAACATCAAAATGGCGACATTCTGCCATCGCGCGATGGGAAAGTCAAGTGTTACCGATCTTGTTGCACACGAGTGTTATGGAGGCCTCCCTTCCTACGCGCCGTTAAATTTCACTCGGATCAGGCGCCACCTGTTTATTAAAAACAATTTTTAGGATTAGGTGAGATTCCCAAGCTCTAGTTGTTTGTATGGAACCATAATTAAAATCTCTAAGTTCAAAGATACGTTTGCTGAAATTGCAATCTATGGAATAATGGAACACACATATATACCCAATTGCGTGCACTTTGCACATGTGTTTCAAGTCGAGAGATTATTATTGTACTTGTTCGTTCTGGACTCACTTCACCAATCGTGAATACCTACCTGCATATACGTCGTAGACGTTGCCTTTCACAAACGGGTGGCTGTGACGGCTTCGTCAGTGGAAATATATCGAACAGTGACTCAGACTGACGCCAGTTTGGACAGTGGCACTTGAGCTTTCGAATTGGCAAAACAGAAACCGACAAGATGATACTCGAGCACATTTCGAAAAAGTGACGTCCGGCCACATATCTTGGTCTCATGCAAGACACGATGGCGTGTAAGCATCAAAACAAAATGTGCGAGCCCACCCCCAGCACACTCGCCATGACCCAAGCCAGCGGCCCCAGCACCACCAGTGGATCGCTTCCCAATGCCGCCACCGAGGCCACGGCGGCGTCCGTCGCTGGAACGACGAATGGTAGCCACGACAACTCGCAGAAAGACAAACCTCGATGGGGCAAATGGACCAAGGAAGAGGAAACGTATACGGCGCGACTGATTGCGGACTTCACAGCGGGCGTGCTCACAGACGTGGACAACGGCACGACGATGCGGTCATGGCTCAGCGCCAAGCTGCGATGCTGTCCCATGCGCATTTCCAAGAAATTCGTCGGCGAACACAGCATCGGCAAGCGCATGTTTGAACGGAATGATGCCAAGATTGCCGGTATGACCGACGCCGACAAGGCGCTGCGCACGGCCGAGCTGGAGGTTCTGCACACCGAGTTCTGCGAGAGCTGGGCACGGGAGGAGCGAGAGCGACTGGAACATCAAACCAACGGCACACGGAAACGAAAGCGCAACAAGCACCCGAAGAAGCCAAAGCCAGCGACGGCGGTGCCATTTCCCGCCAACATGGTGGCGATGGCTGCAAAGGCCAAACGACCTGCTTCGCCGTTGGCTTTCAAGCACCCACCACGCGCCATGACCACAGCTTCGACGCCACTGCATATGGCAACCAAGAGCCAGTCACTGCTACAAAATCAACAGTCCAGTCGAGCTCCTACCGTTGTCTCGTTGGCAGGTGGTAAAAGCAAACCTACCCTCATTGCATCCCAAGGCCCAGCCAAACCAGTGCAATCAACGTCGCAGCCGACCCCATTGCATGTGTCTCGTGGCGCGAGTAAGATGCTCGACCTGCAGGACTCCCTCACCACTCGATCCCGACATTTAAGCGTCGACTTGACTGGGGGGGATGTGAAATCTGGTGGCTATGAGCTGGACTTTACCGTGTTTGCCATGGACAGCCCGGACGCGAGCCACCTGTTTGATTTGATGGACACGACGGAAGACGCGTGGTTGGCGGGGGACCACGAACTGGACGAAGACCCGTTTTTGTCGTTTGACGCGGCGGCGGAATTGATGCTGCCCCCCCAAGTGCAAATTCATTTCACGAACGACAAGTCCAATGGAAACGACGTCGAGGACTTGGCGTTGTCCCCGACGTCAGTCATGGACATGTCTGGGTGGCCGCTGACCATGGAGTATTACGACCCCCTGTTTACCCATCAGTACTAGAAACAGCGCACACCATATAGAGCTAGAACATAATATGCTAGGAACAACCCCCCTGCCTTGATTATACACAACGATTCCATTGTGCATTTCCAACACAAGTCAGCCACGCTCGGTCGAGATAAGGTATTGAGTTGGCCTTCGACAGTAGAAAGGCGGCGTAACAAATGGTGTCCGGTGATATTAATAGCGTCGAAAGTACAGTGTATTGTACGAAAAGCAAAATGATGCTATTTCGTGGAATATGTGTCCAGATCCCCGTGCAAATTGAAGTCGCACGACACGTTACGGTTTCAACTGACTCTAGCGTTACCACTGTCCTTTCCCCTTCGCCCACACCAAGGCAAAAATCTCAACTTCCAAGGTCAGCGCTTATGTCCCACAAGTCCAACATGGTAGTGCATGCCCCTGCCAAGTCCACAATCAATGTCTTAGCCCATCAATATCATCTTCGTTGAAAACCGTTTACGAACTTAACCAAACAAAGACGCGGTCTGGAACTCGTCGGATGCGTGGTTGACACGTCGCCAAAAGTCCACCTCGTCCGACTTGGTCGTCCAGAACGATCACATGTCCACCGGCCCACAGGACACGCTCACCTCTTGCGTCAGCTGTGGACTTGGGGGGACAGCCCCGCCAGCCGCAGTGACTCGACAAAACCGTGGGGGTGGGACGTGGTAAGAGTGCTAGTAACATCGTTCACAGCCACCACTCGAGGGGGGTGGCCCATCGAGTAGTGAACCGGGGTGTACTTGAGCGACCGATGGTCCGGCTGCTTGATCGCGACGAAGGCTGCCTCGTAGCTCATCTTGAGAATCAGCGCTCGGTCGTACACCGCTGCCACCTTGTGCGGCAGCAGGTCGCACGCCATGGCGTTCACAGGAAGGTGTTTGTAGATGGATGTCACCGCCCGTCGCACCGCCTACAACGAGGACGAGAATTGCCTCAAACTCTTAATCCATGGTTCAATGTATATGGTTTCACATGCGATACTGCTCGTCCAAAACGACAAAGCCGACACGGAAGTCGTGCGGTCCAGCAAGGCTGAAACCAACGTTACGAGTGCGACGGGGTTGCTAGTGACACTGTTCTCCTCCACGGGAGGCAGGTGAGTGCATGGGTCCACCTCGCACAAGTGTCGAGCCTACTGCCGTTCAATGCCCAACACTGGCACGGCCACAGAGGGCTGAGTGTGTTGAAGCAGCGCAAACACGTGGAGGTTTTCTGCTTGATGCGAGACTCCCTCTACCCGATGCATGAGCCACGGCAAGGGCACCGACTCGTCCACAACCGCAAGGCGGTCAAGAACAAGGAAGCTGTTGCCTCCCATGGACAGCGGATTGGTATCCCACCAGCTGATTGGACCACGGCTTGCCAAGTGGAATGGATCGCTAGCATGGCTTCAACCAAATCGACCAGCTCGTGCATGTTCATCGATGGGAGCGAAATGGAGTGGCCAGCGCCGCTGATACATTGAATGACGGGCAATATGACGGCTCGGGGTCGGTCAAGTGGACGAACTCCACGATGTTCACTTCGTCACCCCAGTCCTCGCGCCGGGACAAGAGCAGCGAGCTCCAGTAGTAGCTGATTGGGATCCGCCATTCCGACCATTTGGGGGGTGTCCACATATTCCACGGCTCCAGGTGCAGGTCGTGGGTGCAGAATCGATTGATCGTGTCTCAAAAGTGTTTCTATATGAACGAGTGGACGACAGCGTACGACCTGTAATTGTTGACGTCGTCGGATCGCGCCATGGACGCTACGAGAGGGAGCGGCATGTCCACGGTTGGACTGTACGGTGCCCAACGTAGTCTTGCGCTGTACAGTAGTGGGGCTGCCTTACAGGGCGACAAACTCGAGGCTGGCGTGGCGATGGACGATGGCGGCGGAATGCGAGGGGCAGCCGCCACCCGCACCGATGGTTATCGCCCGCCAACGACAGTCCAATGGCCAATGGCCACGAACGCATCCGCGTCGTCCTGCTGGGTGCCGACCACGAGCATGCAAATGTCGAGCGTGAACGGAAGCATCGTGTCTTCCCAAGCCTCGTCTTGGACCAATGCATTCTGACAGGTCGTCAGGGATTCCTACGTCGACGACGGCAGCGTCGACCTGCGCATCATGCTCGGTTGAGCTCGCGTTCAGGTATTGCGCGAGCGCGCGGTGCACTTGCGCTCGTTCATTGGCAGTCAACGACACGTCCACCAACTGTGCATGTTGCGTTTGCATTTTGCCCACCAAAGCCTCGTCCAGCCGACATTGCACCCGATGGTCGGGCGACTTTTCATTGACCGCCCATCCCCAAAACGGCTGGTCACCAGAAAACGGCACGAGGAACGTCGGCTTCCCCGCCAAGAGATCGTGCCCGCGTCTCCATGGTGCACCACCACCGCCATCCTGGGAAACAGCCACTCGTGCGGGCAGTTAGTTGCCCAGCATGAACACGTTCGGCGGAATATGCACTAAACAGCCGTGCGTCATGTCGCTCCAACTCGACTGCAGGGCGACATGAGCACCTGCGGCGGCATCCACGATGATTTGGATGGTGGCGTCGGCGTCGGGGATGATCATAGACCCAGACCCGACGAAAATGGGTAACGCTTGCGACGGAGTGTACTGCGATGAAGTGCCCGTGTTTGTGACGGTGCCCACGACATCGTACAAGGCTGGTCCAAATCGACGGGCGGCGGCACCACGTACTTGCTCCACATGGACGAATGCAGCACCTCCCAGTCCAGCAGCAGTGACCACCCAGCGTCGCCCTTGCGAATCTTTCGCAGCCCCAGCACGTTCACTCGGAATTCTTTCACGAGATCCTCTGTGCCTGCCCACATAATGCCTTCCACGATGATTAACGACGCCCAGTTGCGCCAGTTTCTCGCGCTTGTGTTTGTACGGAAGGTTTGACAGCGGATAGGGAACTCCTGGGTCGGGACCCATGGCTGGGGAAACATAATGCGGAGCAGCACACCGAGCTTGTCCGCCACATGGGTGTGGCCGTATGTGACGGGGTTTGAAATGATGGCATGAGCGCGGAAAGGGGACAACGACGGGTCCCCAATTGGGTTGACAGCGGTGACAGCTGGCCACGTCGAGTGCAAGATGTCGTCGATCGTTTGGATGTTGCGCGGAGTGTCATTTGGTGATGTCGTTGTAGCTAAGCGCAATATTGCGGCCGTTGGACTTGACCATGTACAGTACTCGGCGAGCTCTTTCAGGTCGCCACCCAATGGGTAGAATTCCAAGCCGTGCGACCACAATACTCGCGATAGGCAGCATGTGTGGCTAGGCGTGCACGATGTCCATCACGCTGCAGGTGTTTACCAATCCCAACGAATAGTTGAGCATCTCCGCGGGTGCCCACAACAAGAATACACACTTGCATGATGTCGTCTTGGGTGCAAAACTGTCCGGTGATTGGTCGATTCCGTCGTGACGAATAAACGTTAACTGGATGGCATGTTGTGTCAACAAGAGATCGACAATGAGCTACTACATGCATCGCAGCAATACTAGAGTAATAACCAAAGCTACCGGACGAGGACACGAGCGTGAGCATGTCGTCGAGAAATGCGACGACCGTGACGGCGACTTTGTGTGGTCGCGGACTGGCGATGTCCGACACAAAAATGCTGGTGTCGCGGGACCCAGACGCCAACAATGCGCCACGTTGCCATTTCTGAGTTTGACGATATGACACGATGCCTGTCGAATACCCAGTAGCCTATCAGTCCTAAATTTCAGGACGGGTAGACAGCGCTGTGGCCGTGCAGGACGCGGACTTTGGCCCTAACGTTAGTGCGGATGTTCCACACAGTCATGTTCTTGAATGGAGTTATGCCAGCCAACACCACGCAATTCATGGCCGTAAGGCAATGGGCTTGACGATAGACATGAGGCGCATCGCTCCCGTTCCATTTTGAACAGGAATTGTTTATGCGCACATGGGCTTTGAACTATAGGGCGTCGTTCGCATGAACGATTCCTCTTCGACTTGAGATGGGAGGGATTTGTATCGTGTCCGTCAACACGTCCTTTCTCGATGTGCGTGGTTTGGGGAGTGGAATTGTGACGAGGTGTAGTCGATTGACACAGCCAAGCCAGCATCAACCGTTGACCATCCTTGTGGCGCATATATGGAGTTGGATGCCCGTTCAGTGTCAGTGGAAATCACCGATCTCCGGTTAAACCTGCATAATATGATACTTTATGTATCCGGATTATCCACGCCCCCTCATGCACCAATCGTTTGGATCGTTGGCCAAGTCAAGTTGCATTGAAGCGAGGACATTTGCATCCTCCATGAAGTCGTATCTGCGGTACTCCGCCGAGAGTTCCTTCGGGGTCGTATGCAGTCCCAACTCTCGATGTGTGTATGACTTGACGGGCCAACTGGCCATTTGTGGCGCGCTCAAGAACGTGATTGTGTGGAACATCCGCACTGGCGCCAAAGTCCGCGTCCTGCACGGCGACAGCGAGACGGACACCGCCGGGCAGGTCACGGCGCTGTCTCTCAGTCCTGATGGTGCGTACGTGGCCACAGGTTACTCGACGGGCATCGTGCGCATCTTCAAACTCAGCAATGGCAACGTCGAGGTCACGTTGGACGGGCACAAGAACGCCATCGAGAGCTTGGCCTACGGCGAGAACGGCGCGTTGTTGGCGTCGGGGTCCCGCGACACCGACATTATCGTGTGGGATATCGTCAGCCAATCCGGACTGTACCGTCTCCGCGGCCACAAAGACGCCGTCACGGCGGTTGCGTTCCTCGACAACCAGCGCACGCTCGTGTCCACGTCCAAGGACACGCTCATGAAGGTGTGGGACCTAGATACCCAGCATTGCGTGCAAACGTGTGTGGGTCACCGGAACGAAATCTGGTCGCTTGACACCCACGAACCCACGCACCGCTTGCTCACGGGCGCGTCGGACAACCTCCTGCGAGTATGGGACACATCGGACGCGGCGTCTGTGCAGCTGCTCGGCACCATCCAGCGCCAAGCCAACGACCGCGCCATGCTGGTCCAGTACAACTCCACGGGCACGTTGATCGGATGCCAAGGGTCCGGGAAGACGCTGGAACTGTTTCGCATCCGGTCTGCCGACGAACAGAAGAAAAAGGCACAGCGCAAACTCAAGCGCGTCCGTGAAAAGGCCCGCAAACTTCAAGATGGCTCTCAACCAGCCATCGCTCCTGATGACAATGACAATGACGACAGTGATGTGAACCCGATTGCAAACGAAGTCGAGTCGGTGTGCGTGATTCGCTGCAGCGCGAAAATCCGGTCATTTGCGTTCAGCCCCGACGCCGCCAAAGATGGCACGACGTCGTTGCTGGTCACGTTGCACAACAACTCGCTCGAGACGTACGCGATCGTCCCGCACGCCGAAACCGTCGACGGCCGCTTCGCCAGAGTCCATGCGCTCACACTGCCAGGCCACCGGTCCGACGTCCGGCAGGTGACGCTGAGCTCGGACGACGCGCTGGTCCTGAGTGTCTCAAGCGGCGAAGTCAAAGTGTGGAACGCGCAGAGTCTCCAGTGCGTCCGGACGTTCACCGACTTTTCCCTTGCGCTGTCGGCAGTGTTTGCCCCGGGCAACATGCACGTGATCGTGGGGACCAAGGGCGGCAGTTTGCACTTGTTTGAACTGTCGTCGGGCGAGTGCATTTGGAAAAAAGACGACGCGCACGCGGTGGGGTCGGCCATCTGGTCGATCGACGTCCGCCCGGACGGCAAGGCGGTGGCCACGGGCGGCGCCGACCACGTCGTGAACTTTTGGGACTTTGAAATGACCTCCGAGTACACGCAGACGTCGACGCTCAAGCTCGGCCTCGTGCACGCGCGCATGCTCAAGATGGCGGACGACGTGCTGTGCGTCAAGTACTCGCACGCGTCTGACCCGCGCAAGCTGCTGGTGGCCGTGGCGCTGCTCGACTGCACAGTCAAAGTGTTTTACGACGATTCGCTCAAGTTCTTCTTGTCGTTGTATGGCCACAAGCTGCCCGTCATGTCAATGGACATTGCGTCCGACGACACGCTGCTGGTCACGGCCAGCGCCGACAAAAACGTCAAGCTGTGGGGGCTGGACTTTGGAGATTGCCACAAGAGCATCTTTGCGCACGATGAAGCGATCATGGGCATCGCGTTCGTGCCGCAGACACACTACTTTTTCACAGCGTCCAAGGACAAGAGCATCGCGTACTGGGACGGCGACCACTTTGAGCGCATTCTCAAGCTCACGGACCAGCACTTTGGCGAAGTGTGGGCGCTGGCCGTGAGTCGCGACGGCAGCTTCGTCGTGTCGGCATCCCAGGACCGATCGCTCGTCAAGTACTCCCGTGGAGAGGACCAAGTGTTTGTCGAAGAGGAGAAGGAGAAGGAGCTAGACACGCTGTTTGAGAGTGACCTCCAGCCCACCAACACGGCCGGCCCGACCTTGGGCGGCACAAGCGTCGCCGCCACCGACGCGTCTGCGACTGCCGGCAAGCGCACCGTGCAGACCGTCAAGTCGGGCGAGCGGTTGATCGAATCGATCGACATTGCCGACCGCGAACTGCTGGCGCAGAAGAACAGCAAGGACCCGCACGCCGTGTCCACCAACTTTATGCTGCTTGGGTACTCGCCGCTCAAGTTTGTCCTGCGCAGCGTGCGGGAGATTCGCGCCAACGAGATGGAGGAGGCACTGATGGTGCTCCCGTTCGAGTACGTGAAGAAGCTGTTGTCGTACCTGCTGCAGCTCATCGCGGCGGAGATGGAGGTGGAGATCTGCTGCAATTGCGTGCTCTTCTTGCTGCGGGTGCACCACCACCAGATTGTCACCAACACGAGCCTCCTCGGTGAGCTGGACACGATGTGGGGCTCCCTCCGGGCCCAGCTGGTCTCGTCCAAGAACCGTATTGGGTTCAACTTGGCGGGTATGAAGTATATCAAGCGACAGGTCGACCATAACAAAACGGGGTACGTCGAGGAGTTGGGGGGTGTGCCGTCCGCCGCCAAGAAGAGCAAGATGTAGGTACACGCAGGTGTAGCAATAATAATAACCACAACCAATACTATAGTATCTCGAGGATGCCATGGACTAGGCTGCATTATTGATTGGCACACAGTACAGACGAACAACACTATACATATACCATGTATGTATATATGTACTATGTACCGATAGGAATGCAATTTTCAATCAATTCACATGTGAGTAGAATCGACTAATTTTTAATATTAATATTTATAGTAATATTTTAATATGACTATAAATATTAATATTAAAAATTATTAGTATTACTATATATTAATACTACATCGGTACTGTACTTACTAACGTTACTGGTAGTACCAGTACACGGAGCCTTACCGGCAGTTGAACACACTGACCAACAAACTTTTTATTTATGGGGTAACGTCACGGAGTTGTCGGCTACGACGATAAATAGGGGCCACGAATCTAATTTAACAGGGCATCGACTGACAATCGTCGGCGCTTGTTGTCCAGCACTTGGACATCCACCACCCTAGTGGGGGGCGCCGCGTACGATGGAAAGCTGCTTTGTCGGACATAGTCACTCGAAGCCGCACGGCTCCGCAAAACCTTGTGCGATGGCAGCATGTTCATCTGGTAGTGCCTATGTAGGTAGAGCTGTCTCTGGCGCTCCATTTCCATCGCAATGATCTGTTGCTTGACAAGGTACGTTTCGTACTGGCGCTGTCGGATCAGGGCCACGTACTCCTGCTCTGTCTCGTGTCGCTCGGTGCGGCACTGGTTTGTGGCCATGCAAAACACAGCGATCTCGTCCACGGCGTAGCCTGCGTCGCGAAGGAGTTCGATGCGGCGCATAGGTGGCAGCAGTTGGTCCCTGTGGGAGCGAGGGATCGCGGTGAGTCTGTCGTCGACGGGTGCGGTGCGGGACGTGACCGCGGCACCCACTAGACCCACTGACGGACCTCCCGTGCTGGGAACGGAGCACGCGTTGTGTCCGAGGTGGAACTCATGCACTGTGGTCGTGGACCAAGTCACTCGCTTGGCCGCCGCCACCATCGTCTGCCGGCAGTCGAATCGGGAAATGCTGGCTTGGTGGATGGGGAGGGACGATATGACTCACGCATTACACCCATCGTTCTGTTGGTTGTTTCAGAAAACCAAAGACAAAACAATTTGGATTCTTTTTTTTCGTCCAGTTTTTTACCACGATACTAACGGCGTTACACCAGTGTGACTTCGTACATAGTAGGGAATTTCATACACTGTATGTCCAAGAGGGGGCACGAGACCGACTTTGGCTTGTCAAGTACCCTACATACATACTTGAATACAGTACTATGTACCTAGCATGTGAGCCTTGTCGAATTGCACCAAAGATTCTAGTGCCTGAACCAGGCATCAGGCATCATAGAAATATCAAGGCTATGTATGGGTGGAGGAATTGTTCTCATGAACGAATATTCGAGTTCTGTAAGGTAACGCTACCGGTAAGCTCACCTACGCCGATATTGCACAGCTGGGTAGTCGCACATCCAATATGTTGTTGGTTTTGCCGCCACTTCACCGTCCACACACACATTCATAGCCATTGAATTGTACAGGTTGAATCCAAGCCAGGCGCTGTAAGTAATATATTATTTTCCAATGTGCACTTATATCGGGTTACTCACAACTATTTCGCCCCCTCATTGGTCCATGAATGTGAACCATATCAAATCCTCCAATCATCTTCACGACGCCCTTGCTACATACACTTCGAAATTTCCGGATATGTCCGGATACCTTAATATCCGTTTGAAATCTGCAATCTTGCATTCCGCCCTTCGAAACCCATTGGACACGGCTGTAAGAGTCTTGACGAAAGCCAGTTCGTTCTGTAGGTTAGTAAGGTCAGTTCCTCTTTTACTACTTGCGTAGCCAGAGCAACGTTATGAAAGCAAGCCTCCGGGTACATGTACCATGCTCGCTTCTGTCGCGGATGATTAGAAGTGTTTCTGTCGGCGGATGATTAGAAGTGTTGCTCCACCGTGTTGAGTGCGAAACACTGCACGTCGCATGGTGGGACACTTTCGTGGCAGCGCCTCATGAAAAAAGAAACGAAGAAAAGTTAATTCTAGCCAATCCAATCGCGTTCAGAAGGAATATAGGACTGCCCAATCACACGTTGGCATTTGACAGAAAGATGTTGGCCAACATGGCGGTGGGCGCGGCAGTCGTTGTCGGTGCTCTGGCCGTCGCGTACATCGTCTTCCAGCTCCACTTGTTGCCACTACCTCTAGCTAGCATGGCTGGAAAGTTCTTCTTCTTCCCCATGTGGCCGTTCACGTATCTCGCGCGCCGAGCCAACTACTTCACAGAGATCGACGACACAGTCATCCTTGGCGCTGTCCCTGTGGTTTTCATGGGGCACATGTCTCAGATGGCGGCGCTAGGTGTGCGGGGCGTAGTGAATGTCTGCGACGAGTATCAAGGGCCAATAACGGCGTATAAGAAGTGTGGTATCGCTCAGCTTCGCATTCCAACGGTGGTAAGTGCCAAGTTCGAGATACGACCTTCTCTGATTCGAGTGTTTGCGCACAGGATCACATGGAACCCACATTGGAGGACATTCTCAAAGCAGTCGAGTTCATCGAGTATCATAAGAAATTGGGCGCGCGGGTCTACGTGCACTGCAAGGCCGGGTCTGGGCGAAGCGGGGCAATAGTCTTTTGTTGGCTGTTGAAGTCCACCAAGATGGATCTTATGGAAGTCCAAGACTTTATGCGAGCCAAACGCAGGGTCCGACGAAAACTGTACAAGCAGCCGAACGTGTTGGCGTTTTACAACACTCTCCACCCCGCAGCGACGGTGCCGTCCCATGTCGAGTCTGTGTAGACCAATACATTTCAAATCTTGAACAGGAATAACATTAGAACGAGCTCACAAGCACCACGAGTATCAATCATTTACCGAAAGTAGTATAGTGTGGTTCTAGCGTTACTCGAAGTTTCCGATTATTATTGTAGGGGCCAATGGGGAAGATACACAACAGATGGATTTTTTTTTAACGTTAGTATAAATACTACTACCTCTGTCCGAAATTGATTGCAAATCCAATTAGAGCCCCCAAAGATCCTAAATAGGAATGACAGCTGATTTATCCACGAAAAACAGTACAAAAGTGGGAATGATGATCATTTTTGACTGTGCTCACGTTTAAGTTTTGTAAATTTATATTTGTAAATAAACTATTTATACAGATATCGGGTATATTTGTGGTAAAGTGTAAGTGCAATAAACTGACTTGTTAATGGAATTCGCAAGGTGAGCCACCTTGCTCCTTTTTAATATCCAATCAGAGTCTATCACACCTTGTTTCTTACACACGAATGCTATAACACTGACAGAAGAGGATACACTTTTGAACTTTGAATTTTGTACTCTGGAGTAGAGCTTTGTGTGATGCTGTTCCAGAGACTTGTGCACTGATGAGTGCACTCCGACTATGTGGTTCTCCCCTTACAGCTATCATTGTGTTGTGCGCTCGGTTGGGTCGCAATGTCGTGGTGGCTCTGGTGGGCCAACGCGGTGGCGCAAGAGGTCTGGGTAGCACCCATCGCAAACGCAAAGTGCTAAAGCCGCCACTTCAGCACTTGCGATGGGTGCCACCAAGATGTCTTGCACCACCGCCCGCGCAACCACGCGATGGCAGGGAGGTGTGCGGCACCGACACGGGTTGGATGGTGGAATGAGGGATGACCAATTTCATTGGGTTAGTAGGCAAGTGGTGAAATGAGACCTGTTAGAATTGACCGAGTCCTGAATACCACATCACATGATCTTGCTCTCATACACAGCCTACAATTATCTCAAGGCTCCTTGCATCAACCGCCATCACAGGAGTAGAATATATCGCAACAGGGCGTGCGTGATGATATACGATTTTCGTGATTTCACCGCATCTGATTGGACAAAATTGGACAATTTTGAATTCGCAAGGTGACCTGCCTTGCGAATTCCAAAAACAGAAAGACACATGAAAAATAAAAATCATCAATACAAACTTGAAGATATATTTAATTGAAACTATACAATTTCAGAATTATTTATCGAATTCGCAAGGTGGTTCACCTTGCGCAGCATACAAAATTGCCTATTTCACCTTGCTTTTTCTGGTTAATGTAAAATATAATAAATTGTACCGTAAACTTACACTCGTGCAATCACTTTCGGACAGAGGTAGTATGAAAGGATTATCCGTTTGAAAAAAAAATACACTGCCAAATTCTCTACTGGTACGTCATCTCGTTAGCGTGGCGTGGCTACAGTGGATCACCGTTTTTGAAGCTCGTATAAATTAATATCCTGAGCAACTTTTATAAATATTCATTGCTAACAGGAGATTGAAGAATCGATACAATTTGAAATTCAAAGCCTTTAGCCAATCCGGCGCCACTATGGTGTCGTCATTTCGACCCCACAAACGTGCACACCACGAGCCCTTTGCCGCACCAATCTTATTAGAGTTACGTCTCAAAAGCTACATATTGTGTACTTCTAATGTGACAATTATAAAAGTGTATTGTACTAGATTTCAACACGTACTTATATAGTACATATAATTATTCAGGGTATTTATCGAAAAGTGGTGGGTATTTGTAAAGTCAACAAACACTGGGTGTATGGCATGACGAATTTCTCCCAAAATCCATAACCTTTGTGTATACTTACTTACTTACCTCTACAAAGCTATATTTCACCCATCCGGGGATCCACTGTATACGCTACAATTTTCATATTAACTATTTATCGCTCACGATTATGTAGCAATAATTATCGCCAATGGCCCCCATGGAAGCACACTTTTTTTCGAAACAAGAAACCGTTTCATCATTTTATCATGGCGTGAATAGAATTCTTAAAAACAACACATCAAAACGAATGTTATGTGATGTTATATTTGGAAGCAAATATGGTTAATTTGGATGTTATATTTGAGACAGCCACTTTCAAAGCCACACAACAAAAGCCAATGTAAATCGACCACCCCGAGATTCAATCTGCGTGTTCACAAGTATTTTCTCTACATAATGACGTACCATAGAGGTCGTAACGAGCTATATTCATCGAGGTATTTACTTATAAACAATGTTATATTTGCAACTTTGAGGACTCATCACTCATGCTACAATTTTGCAATCGCCATATTTCTAGCTTTGAACGATAGCCTGCAACTAAGTTCGCAATATTTACATTGCACCTCTCGTTGACAAGCCATCGAAGAGATACATATATTCGATGTACTTTCTTAGTGGGGCGTAATGCTGGGGTCTTGTTAACAATGAAAATGCACTGGCTTGGAAATGATTGGATGTAATGTAATTGTTTTCGACGAATCGAAGGTCGTTTTGCTAAAATACCCAAAACCAAAAATGACAAGCGACCTCATGCGGGCCACAGTGGCAGTCTCCGTGGCCGCCGGGATGGTCTACGTGGCGTTCCAGCTGCATCTACTTCCACGGTCCATCGCAAGCGTCGTTAGCAGAGTGTACTTCTTCCCTACATGGCCATTAACGTACCTCTCACGAAGATCTGCGTACTACACGCTGGTGGACTCGCATGTGTTTCTCGGTGCTGCGCCGATGGAGTTCATGGGTCATGTCTCGCAGATGACATCTCGGGGAGTGCGAGCAGTGGTGAACATGTGCGACGAGTACGACGGGCCAGTAGATGCGTACAAGAAGGCCGGCATCTCGCACCTTCGCCTTCCAACGCCTGTACGTATAGCTTGTGTATGTTTGCGCAATTGTGTAACATGGAGTAGGATCACACGGAGCCGTCGTTGGCCAACATTCGAAAAGCCATCGAGTTTATCGAGTTCCACAAAGCGCAAGGCTCACGAGTGTACGTGCACTGCAAGGCAGGCGCGGGTCGAAGTGCTGCCGTGGTGTTTTGCTGGTTGTTGCAGTCCACGGGGTGGAGCCTAGACGACGTCCACGAGTACTTAAGCGATAAACGCCGAGTCCGGCGCCGACTCAAAACCCAGCCAAACGTGTTAGCATTTTTCCACAGTCTCCCCGCCAACCAACAAAGTACTCTCTCGAAGAGATACATATATTCGATGTACTTTCTTAGTGGGGCGTAATGCACTGGCTTGGAAATGATTGGATGTAATGTAATTGTTTTCGACGAATCGAAGGTCGTTTTGCTAAAATACCCAAAACCAAAAATGACAAGCGACCTCATGCGGGCCACAGTGGCAGTCTCCGTGGCCGCCGGGATGGTCTACGTGGCGTTCCAGCTGCATCTACTTCCACGGTCCATCGCAAGCGTCGTTAGCAGAGTGTACTTCTTCCCTACATGGCCATTAACGTACCTCTCACGAAGATCTGCGTACTACACGCTGGTGGACTCGCATGTGTTTCTCGGTGCTGCGCCGATGGAGTTCATGGGTCATGTCTCGCAGATGACATCTCGGGGAGTGCGAGCAGTGGTGAACATGTGCGACGAGTACGACGGGCCAGTAGATGCGTACAAGAAGGCCGGCATCTCGCACCTTCGCCTTCCAACGCCTGTACGTATAGCTTGTGTATGTTTGCGCAATTGTGTAACATGGAGTAGGATCACACGGAGCCGTCGTTGGCCAACATTCGAAAAGCCATCGAGTTTATCGAGTTCCACAAAGCGCAAGGCTCACGAGTGTACGTGCACTGCAAGGCAGGCGCGGGTCGAAGTGCTGCCGTGGTGTTTTGCTGGTTGTTGCAGTCCACGGGGTGGAGCCTAGACGACGTCCACGAGTACTTAAGCGATAAACGCCGAGTCCGGCGCCGACTCAAAACCCAGCCAAACGTGTTAGCATTTTTCCACAGTCTCCCCGCCAACCAACAAAGTACTCTCTCGGAATAACAACATTTGAAACCAGTTTGTAAAGTGCAGTTCCAAGGTAGCCTTCAAGAAATACTTCGAAGAAGGGCCACTGTGGCGGCCAGATTGACAGCGAACGAATCGACCATTGAAATTTCGAGTAGAACCCACAATATATGGACTGGGTAAACATTTGGCCAAAGTGATTACAAGTATTTATCTTGATGATTGTATCTCTTGAGTTTATTTCAACGGTCTAATGTGTCCAATAAAACTTTTTAACACGCGGCTATTAATAGTATTATACGAATTGGCCATAAATTGGGGCTCGGTAGTTTACCGGTATACTACTGTACTATTAATACAGTACAGTACTACGAAGTAAATTGTTAATCCCATCCTCAGCATGTCCCCTGTGCAGTGAGTGCATGCAATACACGTTGGAAGTCCCGTGCGTAAACTGTAGCGCCACCCCTTTCTACCCGCCAAACGATAACACTGTTCAATTGTCCTTGAACTTATACAGCGTAATCACTCACTATTTTGTGTGTTTCAAGGATTTGGTATTTTTTAGAGGAGTACATGACGCCTGAAGTCTGATTCGCTCCAGATAAAGGGAGCAGATGGAGTACGACAGTACAATACTATTAATAATGGCCACTGTATCGCAGCTCCTTGTCGTACGTGGCTTTGAGCTGCTCGTCAGACAGAACTGCGTAGGCGGCCGACATGTCCTTGAACAGTTCTCCGTCTTGTGTGGTTTTGGCTTTGTCTACATATCCGAGTTAGAACACGTCATAAGAAACCCAAGCACCTGGATGGTACAGAAGGGCTAGCTTCCGGTACGACTTTTTGATCTCCGCCTGGGTCGCAGTGCTGGGCACTCGTAGCACTTGGTAATGAGTTAGTGGCGGGACATAGGGCGGCCTTGGCGGGGCTTGTTCATAGGGGTCCCCTGCATACTTGTGTGCCTTGCTCCTGTGCCGTGCCTTGGGTCTTCGTTGGTGCGACGAATAATAAAAGTCGTCGTCCCAGCCATTCCGACGATGATACTTGGATCTGTCCCAGTCCTTCTGGACTTGGTCGCGCTCTCTACGAACGTGTCGCAGGTCGTCGGGGGCCATCTTGGCTTTGGCCATGTACTCGTCAAAATCTGCCACGCTTTCCTTGTAATGATTCTGGGTGTAGTAGCACCTCGCCCGTCGAAGGAGGACCCTAAACCCCACAAAGGGCAACTTGAAAACCATTCTAGTAAGATGATTTCGTACTTGAAGTACACGGGGTGGTATTGTAAGGCTGCGTTGCAGTCTTGGACGGCCTTGTCGTACTGATTGAGTGCCATGTACGCCGCAGCTCGGTTGCCAAGGATCGACGCATTGTACCTGCGGTGGTTCTCGTCTAACGACAGCGCCTTGGTGTAGAGCAACTCGGCTCTGCTGTAGTCGCCACGCTTGAACGCGTCGTTGGCAGCCAGACGCACATCTGCCATCAACTCCCACAGACGTTTCACGCTCAAGACGTCGACACTGGTCGGCGCGGCTCGAAGCAGTTGGTGCAACTCTTCGAGAGCTTTCTCCGACTACAACCACCCATGGGGGCTTGTCACACACACAGCGCTGCTGTGGAGACTGGTACGTACCTTGTCGTCGTAGTGCAACGCTCGACAATACAGCACGGCCATTTCAATGCCGAGTGACGTTACCCCACCCGACGCGCCATTTCGAACCAGCCCTGTACAGTACTCCTCCACCTTGGCGAATTCACTACAACACATGTTAGAGATATATACAGTATACTCGATGGGATCCGCTTTGTAGCCATCTATTTACCACAAGGTCAAGAGCAACGTGACTTTCTGCACACGGAGCTCCCGACTGGCCATGGCGATCACCATCGCGGCCTCCGTTGCGCGAAGGGCCGCCTCGGTGTCGTTGGCAATTGTGTATCGGTTGAATTGCCGAACGAGCGACTCGAGCGACCGGACGGCGACGTGCCCTTCGTGCCACTGCGCTTGGTATTTCTCCAGCTGCGGATGATGGCGGGATGGGTCTAGGTCGCGCAGCATCACGTCCACGTGCCGGTACGCCTCCCTGGCGTCTTTGGTCTTACCCAATAGAAGCCAGCATTTGGCCACACGTAAATGCGCCTGCAACACATCACCAGTTAGAACCCCATGTCACAGATAAACGTGTTAGCTCAACGTACCCGAAGGTATGTGCGGTCGAGTTGGACGGACGCGATGCTATCGTGCAGCGCTTCTTGGACCTTGTCCACCATCTCCAGCGCCGCCGCGCGATTCGACAGCAGTTTGGCTTTTTCCGCCTGCAGTTCTGGTCGAGGCGGCGACCTTTGAACCTCGTTTTCCAGTGCATCAAGTGCAGCCGAGTACAGCTCGATGGACGAGGCGAAGTCACCGCCGGTGTAGGCCTTCCCCCCTTGCTCCTTGAATCGTAACCACTCTGGGGGAGTTGGGGGAGGCGGTGGGGGCGGGGTGGCTGCCGCTGGTCGCTGACTTGGCCGTCGTCCGGACGAAGGCGCGGCCTTCGCCACACGTCGAACGGATGCCAGTGGGAGGTTGCAAGCACGGACCGCACACATGTTGTGACTTTTAGAGCACGTCGAGCAGTACGTTAGGTGGTTGTACGCGGACACAAACTCAGCATTGCATTCCCAACAACGAGAGGCGCAGAGGCCGGGCGATGGCGGCGGGGGGTGGGTCGTGTGTTGGACGCAGAAGCGCCGCGCCAACTCGGTTGGGGTTAAGACCAGGGTGGGCGTCGATTGAGCGGCGGGGTCAGTCGGCTCTGGTCGTTCAGCAATTGGAGGGTCGACAATGTGAATTTCGTTGAAGCCATGCCTCAAATCGTCGTCGACACGCATGTCGTTGTGGTCTTGTTTCGGGGAGGGAGGCAGAGGAATGTCAAATGCAAAAGACTCGCTGTCCGGCATTCATGTGAGGTTTCGCGTATGAATCAAGAGATGCACATACCCGGGGGTCGTTGAAGGAGTTGTTGATGAGGGGATTTCTTGATTCGTACAAGGAGGAGGTCGCTCCTTCCGAAGCCGGCGTCGGATTTCGTAGTGTCGTTTGCGGCGGCCATTGGATGCGACCGCGGGGGGCACGCCCATGTGAAACTGAAAACTGGACGATGATGTCGGCGGCGGCTCGTGAGGGAAAGTGGTGGGCTCAAACGCTGGAGAAGAACGAGGGAACGCTGCTGGTGTGCTCATGGGAACTGTGAATGGCACGAACGACGGTGGCGGTGATGTCTGAGGAACATGGGTTGACGATGAAGGTGGTGGTGGTGGTGGATCGTCTCTCCTGCGTGAGTCACCTGCTGTCGTGTTGGTGGCGTAGCTAGATGTCTGGACATTGAATGACGTTGCAGAGTTTGGGGCACTAGTCCACGGGCCTTGTTGTGCATTGGCGGGGAACTTCTTTGAGATGGCTTTTCGTGTCATGCGATGTCTCAGAGCGACTTTTTTCTTTGTCGAGTCGTCTCGAATCCCCATGGAGAATCCCATGGGAGCTTCCTGTGAACCACCTTGATATGGATGTGCGACGTGAGGATGCGTGGCCCCGTTGGATTGTGATGTATCGATGTAGGGCGTCCAGTACCTTTGCGCTTCAGTGGCATCCATTGGCATATCTACATGTGTGTGATTACCTTGGTTTAGAATCATTACGTCGTACGGTACCGTGGACAGAGAAGGCGGCCATGGCGCGGGAAAACCAACGATGCAATTGTGGTCGATCGACAGTGCCAAATGAGAACACAATGACAGCCAATCCAATTCTCGTTTGAATATTATTAGCCAATCACAATACGGACTTGAGCAACAATAATGATCGTACCAGTATTTACGGATGAATATAATATGATTAATACTCGACCTGTATACTTTAATTTGGGCCAATGAAGCACCTGGTTTACTTTGTAGAAAATAAGCGTACTCTAAGCGAGGACAAGGAAATGGATTCTAGCGACCTTATAACATTAGCATCCACACCAGGGGCAACCACAGTGATGACAAAGTCGAGTGGAGGTTCGCTGAAAAGAAGTTATGAAAAACGAATTGGTCATGTATTATTACTATTTTGGATATTAACAGTAAACATGCGTATTCCAGGGCAATTTGACCGACAATTTCAATTGGGTCCAAGAATGATTTTGGGTGGTGTGTCTGGATGCCATAGAATTAAAGAAAGTTCGGAAATGAACAGCCAATCAGAGGATAGCGCAGAGCCGAGAGGACTTCGTCCACCCAGAGAGGACCACTGAGGATGGACGTCCTCTTTGGTGTCTTGTGGACGAAAGCGAGATAGTGGTACTCCATCTGTCTGGCGAAGAGTTCCTTGGCCAGGCGGCGGCGGATGAGCCATCGACGTAGGAAGGCAATCACCATGGCCTTTCTCATTCCGAAATGCCCAGTCAATTCAACGTGCACTGTCAATATCGTCAAAATATTCTACTCATGAGTAGAATATTATTTCTTGTGGTTTTCACGATGTTTCTGATCGCACGGCTGGACACGTCGCCGACACAGCTGGGATGTCTTGGACGGCTATGGCCACGCGAGCGAGGATGTCGTGGTGTGACCAGGAACGAACGGATACACGAGGTTGATGTGCGGTGATGACCGATCGAACCTCGTGTCAATTTCTACGTAATATTACCCAAGTCGCTTTCTATTGTTTGTGCATTGCGATTCTCGAACCGACTAAACTTTACATTTGTATGCTTGGCACCAACCACCCTTGGCATTCCATTTGAACGCATGTATGTTGAACGATTCCATGGTAATATTACTACTGTATCGCTAGCTACTACGCTGACGATGGGGAGGACGGTCGTTGCACCTCCTCCTCCATCATGGGAATCGCATACGGCACGGCACTGGCCGTCGTCGTGGCTGTGTCCAGTGGCAGCTCCACCTCTGGGAGTTGGTTGAATTCGGTTGGCCCGTCCCACAGCTTTCTCAGGAGTCCGTTAGTTCGCCATGTGGCGACCACCAGTACGCCCAACGTGCACGGGACCAAGTACAGGAGCGCCGGCTGGCCCGACCGCATGAGGATTACGCCGATGTTGGCCAGCAGAAGCCCCACAGCGTACCCGACGCACATCATTCCAAAGAGGCCGACGCGCCCGCCAAATGAGCCGGGGCGAGGGATGCCGACGACGTTTCCGCGGGTGGCATAGTCGAATCGGGCGCAAAAGACGACGAGGAGCCCGGGGAGGACGATGTCTCCGAGGCCGAGCATGGCTTCGCCGCCGAGCCAGTTGGTGAGTTTCGGCAGCCGCAGCAGGATCGGGATGTCCTCCTTGACGCACTTGGCCCCGTTGTCGTTGGACGGGTACCGCAGGCAATAAGAGGACGGAGCCTCCGCGTCGTCCTGCTTGCCGCCTTGGGCCGCGACGATCATGACCGACTTGCCAAAGATGTAGGGCGATAGAAACACGAAAAATATGTCGTACACGAACACGAGCAGCAGCAAGATCGTGGCCACTTTGATATTGGGCAGCCGGATGGTCTGGAGGAACTGGATGCTCACGCAGATCCCAAACACATCTTGCAGCACGAACGAGTAGTCTTGATGGCGAGTAAGCACCCAAAAAAGCACCAACCCTAACGACAACCCGAACGACAGCACGTCCGACACGGTAATGCGGATTGGACCCAGGTACGCATTGTCGGCGGCGTACAGCTGGCCGCGGAAGGCGGAGACGCGATGCAGCAGCGGGGTCAAGAGGATCGTACCCACGGCACTGGTCGCGCCAAAGCAGAAGAGCACGATCACTACCATCACCACATTCACGTAGAACAGCAGCAAGAGAAACCCCGAACCGAACACGAGGAATGCCACTGCATGCACCCATCCCATGTCGAGTGCCGGCTCGTCCATCTGCTCCTGGCGCAGGGCGGCGTGGACGGCGGCAGGCACACGACCAGACGACGACGTGGCATGGACGCGCTTGGCCGTCGCCTTCTTGCGCTCAAACGTGGCGCCGTAGTACCCGGCGGTGACGATCGTGGCAACGGCCATGAGCCAGATGAGCACTTGCGCCAAGTCTACGCGAGGCACGTAGCGTTTGAAGAGGATCACCTAGAGGAAGGAATGGCCATCAGTTTGACGACAGGTATATGCGGTGGTATTGAGAAGGTGGTCACGCACGGAGGAAGACCCGAGCTTGGAAGCGTCCGCCACGCGGATACGCACGACGGGGATGATCACTTGGTCGGCATTCACGCCATATCCCAAGTAGTCGGCGACGTCCCACATGCAGCACACCTGGTTGCCACTTCCCGTGGGAATGCAACGCTGCGACGCACATGAGGGGGAGGTGTTGCATGTGGCGGCGTTGTTCAGGTCCGACCATGGAGGACTCTCGATGGAAGGGAGGACGGCGGAGCCTTGGGAGCAGTCGAACGCGCCGCCCTTGTCGTATTTGGATCCGTTCTCGCGGACAGTGGTGTTGTAGATCGCTTCGACCGTGTCCGCAATGATGACCGCCGCCGCACCGATCTGTTGTGCCGCGAGCGCCTTTTCCGTGAATGTGCAATTGCCCCGCTCGACGACCAGAATGAAGCGAGACGTGGTGAGCGAAGACTACAACGTCTCATGAGCAGGTATGCAACTTTAGCCAGGGATAAGACTTACCAATTTCTGCTGGAGCGCTGTGTTGTTGATCAATTCCGACGCTTGGCATGCAAAAGTTGCCGCAGGACTCAGCGCACGCAACGACACAACCTGTCCCTGCAAAGCCATGTCCTGGTCGGGCAAGTCGCCTCCCCACGTGTTGGACGACAATGGGTCCTTCGCATACGTGCCATATAGGTCTCCCGTGGACGTGCGTACAACCGCCGTTTGGAGGCGGTAAGTATCTGGCGATGCGTGGATGCATGAGAAGAAGGCGACGGCGGCCACCGTAGCGGCACGACACATAGCAGCTCTCATGCGCGATATGCAGAATGAAAAGAAACTGAATATCTAAACAACCTGATTTAATTACGTTTTAGTTGAAAGGAGAAGGCTACTACTGTAAATGATCACAAGACATGGTTTCAGGTCAAACTGCTTCGTATTAAAACGTATACGTTTAAACGTCTTCTCAGGGCAAGATTTAAAAAGACGTGATACAGTAACGTACTGTGTAGCTAGCTACCAAGCAACTAACTACTGCAGCCCGACGGCATCAAACGGCCGATGCCGATGCCGCTGCTCCAGAACTTCCTTCGTCGTCTTGGGGATTGTTTGCGGATCATGCACACGTCGAAAGTCGGCATTCGGGTCGAGTTTTGACCGCATGTTGGATCGCTTGGGAGGGTTGCCACCCATGACATGCTTGTCCTTTGGGCGGAGCAGGGGAAGCGTTGAGCAGACAAAGTCCGGTTTGACCAGCCCCGTTCCTTCTTTGCTCGCCGAGGACGCCGCAGTCGTCTTGTTGGTCGCGGGTGGCAGCATCCCGTCATGTCCACCCTCCGCCGCCCCCTCGGCAATGTTCTTGTCCAAGTGCATCTTTGCAGTCATGGTTCGCCTATCGTTTCTTTATGTTGAGCATCATGTATCATCGCTTTCCGTAACTCTGCATGTTCCATCGTACATGGCCGTATAATTGCTCGTCTTGTGCGCCAACTGTCCCAACCGGTTCGATGCCGAAATGAGAGTTCGTGCCAGATTTTTGAGCTTGGAGTTGGTCGTGACGGCTGAATCTAGCATCTGCGTCCTGTGGCGACTGCCTTCCGTGTCCACAAACGCAAACGCTCCTTCGTGGGTGTTCCTCTAGATCATCCCCATGCTTAGCCCATGTGTCCTGGGTCATGTTGGTACCATGTGCACAGACTTGATGGCCACGTACAGGCACTTGTACGGGGTGTTCTCGTGGGTGCTCCTACCTCATTCGCATGTCATCATCAACAACCTTCATGAGCGTATGACATACATGAAGCACCGCCCGATGCACTGCGAAAAGTGCGAGTCTCTAGCCCACATGTTGTCGCGCACAAACTCGTCCAGCTTGAGCGTCTTTTGCTTGATCTGCTGGGCGAACCCGTCCCACGCAAGGATCTCACCCTTGGACACTTTGATTACGGTGATGACGTCAGCGATGTCGGACGTGGCGTCTCGCGCCATGCTCATCGATGCCTTCCGGGTCAGCAAGTTGGCTTCGTCCCCTGTGCCTCCGAGGAAGGACGTCGTGACGATCTTGCCCACAGTGGCGGCGGCGGCCACTTGTGACAGCAAGTCCACCGAGTTGCGGTGGTTGTGGTGGTGCGTAGACCTGCAGATCCACACCTCGCCTGGCTTGGGCATCGTGTCCTCCGTGAGCTGGGACTCCATGTGCTGCGTGTGGCTCAGGGCTGCTGCAATCGACCGACTGGGGATGAAGTGCTTGTGGTGCTTTCCCGCATGCGCGTTGGCTTGCGGCGTCGACGCGCTGTACGTGGCTGGTTTGCCTAGGTGCCAGTACTTGTGTCGGCCGAACACACCCACCTGCACACTGTCTAGCGTCCACAGACTCACTTCGCCATTCCCACTCGACACCAACACAAACATGTCGATCTGCCTCGTGTTCTACGTATATTGGATGTCATGGGGGGGGTTGGTATGAATCTCGTGACGGTACTGTACCTCGATAAAGTTGAGGCTGAGGATGCGACCGCCGCCTATGCGCCACTGGCAGCCGTGTTCAAAGTACATGCCCTTATCCTTCAACGTCACACTCAGCCCCCACGTACGAATGTACCCCGCCGAGTCGCCTATAAACATGTCCTGATTCCGAGACTGCGTCTGATATTCGTGTACCTGTGACGACGTTATCCCCGCACCGATCGCACGCCATGACGACCACCGATTCCCCAGGCGGGTGCTCGAGCGGAATCTACTCGGTCGGATGAGTGAGAATGACCTACGAAGAACGCGACGTTCCGACCTCGGTTTTGTAGGAAGACACTCGATCGAGCGTGACGAGTTTGCCTTCGTCCCCTGCAGCCATGAGCAGCTCCAACTTGTTGCAGTACATCATGCACTCGATGGCGCCACCGCTTTGGTGCAGCTGGGACATGAACTCGCCTGAATTCAAATTCCACAGCAAAATCTAGGCGCAATTTCATATTACAATCACACGTTCCAAAGACTAGAGCCACACCTTGCCGTCCAAGCCAGATGTGGCCAGCGTCGCCGGCGGGATGTACACGACGCTCAAGATGTCATCCGTGTGACCCTTGGCCGTGTCGGAGGCGGCGATGACCCACATCGGCAGCGGCTCGTCGTTGTCGTCGTTCGAGTCGAGCCAAATGTAAATCTTCCGATCCCACCCCACCGAGCACACAAACCGCTGGCAAATGTACTCGCCCATGCCCACGCGCACGTTGCGCTCAATATCCAAAATGCACGTCACTTCGCCCTGCTGGTACCGTTGATGGTGAGACGACGTCCTCTGGGAGGTTCTGGGGGGATGCGCCGTCACGCTGTCGCATGTCCTGAGCGTGGTGCGGGTGGGGCTGGGCAGGGACGGGTTCGATGATCCGTCCGCGACGAGCTTCTCTGCGTCGAACGACTCGGGCATGACTACAATGTCCCGCACGCGCGGCGGCCTTGGTGGCGGTACCGAAAACGGAGAGACTCGGCTTTCGACCACGTCGTTTTCTTGCTTGAGAAATTGCTTCACCAGCGCGCCGTTGCTAAGGCACGAGTGGAACCACGGCGGCTTACTGGATACTACACGCAATAAAAGTACCTGAAGTTCCACATCTTGACTTGTGCGCCGTCGTGACTGCCAGTGATGAGGCGGCGACCTGCGCAGTCAAACGACATGGCAGTGATGGGACTGGTGCCGTGGGCGTTGTTGAAGCTGCACACTTCTTCGCCTGTTTCGGCCTAGAATTGTGGGGGGGGTAAGACCTGTCGGCTTGCTTGTAGTGCGTACACTCCACGTCTTCACGACGCCTTCTTCGCTCATTTCCGCCGTGAGCACTTGGTTGAACACTGAGTTGTAGCAAGAAATACACGGCGCCTTCTTCGTGATGAGTTCAGCTTCTTCGGACGAGATCATCTTGAGAGGCCACCTGGCCAAATGGGTCGTGGCGCTGATGAGTCCGGGTGCCTTTGGGTCAAACAGGAGCGACGAGATGCGGTTGTCGGCGCCACCCGTGCTCCTAACCATGCCACGTCATGACTAAGATCGGTCGGTCGCTTGTCCACACATACTTGTATCGATCGGTATACGTTTGCAAACACCGGTGGTTGCGAATGTCCCACACCTTGAAGACGTTGTCGGACGAGACAGACACGATCTGAAAGTTGTCGTCGTCGCAAGCCAGATGCAGCACCGACGCCGCATGGCCCTACACTCCCAGCATTCAACCCCGGGGCTGGCGGCTGGCTGGTCAACGGACGTACCCTCAATGTAGCCACAGCGCGCTGCGACGAATACGGGTTCCAGATCGAAATGTCTCGCTCCATGCCGCAACTAGCGATGAGTCGCGAGCTGGACGACCACACGAGGTCGAACACGCCTTTTTTGTGCTTGGAGTACTCAAACTTGGCCACCATCCGCTCCACGTCGATGATCTATTCATTCACGCCATCAGCATGTTCGGACCGTCAATCAACCTCCCGATGGCGGAATGTCGTCGCAGGACGTTCCGACGTCGCACCGAAATATTCGTGTCCAGCGACGTCGCGACAATGGCGCGCATGTCGTGCACCCACTTGACGCGCGTGATCCAATCCCTGCCACCGGATAAATCCCACAGTAGTGAAATGTCATGGCCATTCATTGATTGTGGTTTGTTCGTACGTGTGCTTTTTGTACTTGGCGCGCGTGGAAAACCCGTGGGTTTCGAGCGGGTGGGCCCCCGGGCGGCCGTCGCAATTGGTCCATTGACTCGACGTCGTCATGACCTAGATCGCCTGTAAGCCCTGTCGTCCATCGAATTTGGAGTGTTGGCCCTTACAGTGATCCCGCCCGTGTCGTCGCCGACAACCAGCGCCTCCTTTTCGTCGCTGGGCTTTTCAACGTATTCCAAGCACAGCGGAATGCACTGCTTCCGCGAGTACTCCGACAACTCGCCCAGCGACTGGCCCGTGGACATGTCATAGAAGGCCAGCGTCCGGTTCATGCTGGACACCGCTAACCGATTCGACCGCTTCATATACGAGCAGTCTGTGATCCAGTTGCGCCCTGTGGCAATGGTGGACTGAATGAAGGTCACAAACACTTAAGCCATGTGTCCAAACGATGGAGATGCTGAACCTACTTGGTACGCCAGGGTGTTGGAGCTCCACGTCCGCACGCTGCCGTCACGACTCGCAGTCACGTACAAGTGGGGCTTGTCCAGGGCCACGATGCGCGTGATGATGTCCTTGTGGTTGTTGGCCGGACGCACAGCCGACCCGTCGCCCCCTCCACCACCCCCCGCGTCCGCCACATCCACCACCTGCATCGATATTGCTGAGAATTGCGCCATGAGGCGTCCAACTGATTGCATGTGTGTACCTTGTCTGATTGAGTCGTGATGTATCGGCAACTCATATCGTCGCCCAAATTCGAGTTGGCGCTGTCGCTGCCGCTCAGAAACATGTACTAACAAGGTCATATGAGCCTTTTGATTATTTTTTGCGAGTCGAGGTTACGTTGGTGAATTCATCCCAGCTGACGGTCCCATCCGAGTTGGCATCGATCTTTTGGAACCTAGAAGAATCACAGACGCACAATGCTGCCTTATCGCATCTGAGTGTAGCTTGTGCCTGCCCTGCTTACAAGTCTGTGAGTTGGGTCTCACTCAACGTCGAGTCGATGGTTTCTCTGAACAGCCGCACAAATTCGACCTCGGTCAAGTCGCCACCGGCAAACTTCTCCTTGAGAGAGTGTAGTTGCTCGACGCCAATCTCATCGCGCGAGAACACGGACGCTTGCTTGCGTCCTAGTCGCGGCGGCGGCGGCGGCATGTTTGGTTTCACAAATGTGTGTTACCGTTACAATATTGTATCCGGTTACAAATTGCGGTTTCACACATTCCCACTTCAACTATCGTTCCTAACTCTCTCTATATACTACTGCATGCACCAACGCTCGACGAGTATGGCGCCGCAGCTTCCTGTGGGTTCTGACCGACCGAGTACCCTGCGAGATGCGCCATTTGATTCACTCCTCGCAGATGCAGCGCGTACTCTTGGTCGACGTCGATCTGGGTGACACTGCAGTGGCCGATGCCGATGCTGTGGTTCATTTCACCCCGCGACCCGATAAACCCGACGCCGTACGCGGCTTGGTGCACACAGTACCGGATAAAGCTCGACGAGCAGATCACGACCGTGATGGGGTACGTGACTTCGCCCATGCAGATCGTCTGCAGCGCCAGCGCCATCTTGGCCGATCGGCACTGGAACTTCTTGGACGTTGACAGCCCGTGCGGCACGCTTTCCCTCAGCAGCGCCAGTTCGTGCCGTGCGACGCGGTTCACTTTGCTGGACTGGGTGTCGTACGGGTTGTACGTTTCGTACACTCCCGCGGCCTTGTCCACTTCCTTGGCGATGATGTCCATCGTCTGAATCGTGCGCGTGATCGTCGAGTACACGAGCTGGACGTCCTGGTATGTTAGACCAGCCGCTTCGATCAGATCCTGCAGGAACTGCCCCGTCCGCCGCGCCGCCGCCTCGCCCGAGTCCGTGATGTTCTTCTCCACGTCGGCCGTCTTGAAATGCACATTGTTGAACTCTGCGTGCCGAATAAACAGGAGGCGCCGCTGGATACCACTTTGATTCTTCGCCGCGGACGACGACGACGGCGATGACGACGACGGCGGCGATAGGCCCCGAAAGTGGTCCTGCGGCGTGGGGTTGCGCAGCGTAAATGGAAGTGTCACGACGGGGTCGGTTGGCAGGGGCTTTTTCAGGCCCAACTTGGACGACAGGTTCGACCACAGGTTGTTTGACAACGACGCAGGGGGGATCATTGGCGGCGACTTGGCCAGGAACCGACGAAGTGCCTTCGTGTGCGCGTCCGTGTCCGAGTAGAGCGGCGTGGCGGCGGCGATCTGAATGGCCCAGAACCACATGTACATGGTGGAAGAGTTGGGGAACTTGAGAAAGAGCTCGTCCACCTCGCGAAGTCCCGCGACTTCGAACAGCTTGAGCTGGGTGTCGTCAAGCACTTGGACGCGGCATTTGTGGATGGGGCATGCAAACACTTGGTCGTTGTCGTCTTCGTAGCAAAACACAATCAACCCGGACGATAGACCCGCCCAATACGTCTTCCACGACACGCCCATGCATGTGATGTGGTGGATTTGCACGGGACTGATCACGAAGAACGCCTTCTCCCGAGTCAGGAGCTGCATCTGGTAGCACCCAAAGTCCACGGCGCTGTACGGAAGGGCCTTGCTCCACGACGGCGCCAATAGATGTTCCTCTTCTTCGTACCCGATGACTCGGCGCGTACCAAACAAGCTTAGTGGCAACGGCTTCTCGGGGCACTTGTACTGCAGCTCTGCCACCCACTCGACTTTTTCTAGCTCGCTAGCGAACGTCACGGCTTTTTTCGGTCGTTCCGGCTTGCGGCCCAAGTTGTTCATCAAGTGCCCGCGGTTTTCAAACGTGGGCAGGTCGTACACTTCGTTCTCGCTCGAGTCCACGACGGACCCTCGGCTATGGTCGTTGTCGTCGTAGGATCCTGATGGACTGCGTGACGGCACGACTTTGAGCAGTTTGTCCAAGATCGTGTCATGATGTGACCCGGAATTGAAAGATGCTCGAAGGACTTCGCCTTCCTTTACATAGCTGTCTGAGCGAGAAGTCGAGTTGCGTCCCATGACTGCCAGCAGTCCGTCGCGATAGACGCGGTGGAATGCGCAAGTGACAAACATGTTGCTCGCACGGATGGGTACCACTTTGCGCTTTCGTCGGGGATCATGTCCTGGAATAGAATTTTAAATTAAACTTGTACTTTGTATGTCGATTGAAAATCCATCATTTTATTTGCGGTCGTGAGACGAGGTATGCACAAGGCTGTACAAATCTCAAAATCTAAGCAATTGTAGCAAAGTGTTGCATCCCTCCCGTCATCATCCGGATATATGCACCATTATAACCGGAGAATATTTGGCACGCCAATCAAAATGCTCGATTATGGCACAGTTGTATTTACATGCGCGCAGGCTGGCGCTCGCGACTGCTTTGGATCGACAACAGCCCAGGGCTAGCTGGATGATCCAAGTTCAAGTTGAACAGTTTGTCGCCTGGAGCAGAATACGCTGCTCCACCGCTTGAACAGGTGTCGGTATGCGTAGGTGGTCTCCTCACTGCACTCTTGGAGCGCGCGTGAACGGTGGGGAGGGTGGACGTCTTGTGGCGTTGGGTTAGTTTCAGGTTGGCTTTTGTGGTTAGGACGTTATGAGTCGAGTGGGGAAGCAGAGGCGTTTCGGGTGTCGCTTGTTGTTGCTGTGGTCGATGCCTCGCAGACAGCACTTGGTTGTTGTTGTTCGTATCAGCTGCAGTCCGGAGTTTCACCATTTTCGCAATCGCCAGGCCAGTCACGAGGCGCTGTTTGATGGACACCACTGAGGCGAGGACGCCGCAGGACCGCACTTGGTCCCATGCTCCGCCACCTCCGTCGACCATGTCTCTGTCCAGTAGCTTCCGGATCGCATCCAGCTCAATGAGAATCATGTCTTGATCCATTTCAGTGTTGGTTTTGGGCTTCGAGGGTCGAGTAGGCGGGGGTCGGAGATCGGCTTGAACTGCTGCCGATGCTGTCGTGGGCTTCGGTGGCGGCACTGGTCCTCTTGGACCGGAAGTGGTCACTACAACCGACACAGACGGCGTCACAGGCCGCATCGTCATCGGTGACGCTGTCGGTTGCTGCTGGCTGTCGTCTATCATTTGCTCGAGGCACTTGAGTCGGTGTTCCCGTTGGTACAGCGAGTCGCCAGTTTGGTGCAGTTGACCTGATCTAAGATAAGCTTTGGATGTCGTGACAGCAGTATACACGCACATTGGAGATCATCCGCGCGCTGTTCGAGCGCCTCCATCTTGTTGGCGGTGTCAATACCAAGACTTTCTCGCTCGTGCGCCCACATGCGCTCGCATTCGGCCAACTCGGCGACGGACAATCGCGTCGAGATCCGCGCTTCCATGGCCGCCAACGCAGCTTCGAATGTCCGATGCGCCACTTGGCGCTGATGCTGCAGCTCCATGACTTGACTTTGCAGTTGGGTGATGGTGTGGAGGTACGTCTTTTCCACTTTGTGCGCGTCGTCGAGTTTGGTTCTCCATCGTGAAAACGTCGCGTTGTCAATGTGAAGCGATCGATGGGCCTGGAACGTGCGCCGTTCACGTTAGTACAAGGCTAGAGGTAGATCGTACCGCGAATGCACGGAACTGGGCTTTGAGCTTTTGCAAGCATTCGAACAAGTCCTAGCACCAGAACAGTTCAAACCCATATGATTTTCGATGGTGGTTGAGTTGCCAGGGTGTCACCTGCAGACTGTCGTGGAAGGTCTGGAACGAGGATTTCGGAGATTCAAAGGCATGTTGTATCCTGGATTCGTGGTCTTCAATGGTCGCGAAGAGGTCGGAGATGTCCAGGGCCTGGAACACGGGGTGCTGCAGCTCCGCCCCATACACGTCCCCCATGCCGATCAACCAATTGCAATGACTTGTCCATGTGCACTTTACCTTTAAAATAGCATCGTAACGGATTTGGTGGCAAATCTAAACTTGACCAAACGCCGACCAAGTTCAATTTCGGCGGATTTCCTTGGGAGGACTTCAACTTCGGGTTTAGCCCAATATGTCCCTCTCTGGTTTCAAAATTTGTAGCGAGCGACGGAATATGAGATTTTTGAAGGTGCTTTGCCCCTTTGTTGCGGGGCGTTGTAGCAGTGAAGGTGGTTTTTCTGCCTAGGGGGTAAGTGCAATCGTATGAGAATGTCAAAGTCTTGATGACATGGAGTTCCCAGCAGCTTCTTACGATCAATGGTGACGACATGAGCCAAAATTCTGAACGTCATGCATCTAATTGCTTGGTTTTGATGTAAAGATACCCGGTATTGTAACGCAAGCCTTGATTGGCAAAGACGCGGCGCGCACCCATGCAAGATTATTCCTGTGGCGTCGTGTCCATGGGACAGCCACGTTTTTGAATGGAAACTCGATACAAGTGGCATGAAGACAAAGTCAACGGATGTCTACGGATGCGCTGGGACCTGAACCTTGGGAACAAATCCCAATTTAGATCGAGTTGGGATGTAAATAGCAATAAAACGTGAAGGTTTGCCCATCCAACACAGCTTCACTAGGAGAATACCCTGTGCGATGTACATGCATGTAGATCGACTGAATGTGTTGGAAAGACATCCCTGTTCACGAAGTTCTTATCAAACGAGAATGCTAACGTGCGCGTCGTGAGGTACTCGTGCGTGGCTAATCACGTGAAGCATAGAAGCCAATGATGTCGCGTCTTCCATTGGATGTCATTGTCCCACCATCCGCAGTTTGTCCCAATCCTCGGGGGCGAATCTTATCCGGATAACCACAAAGATTGTGCGTTGGAAGGTTTTGTGTCATTTCTACTTCGTCCCTCATCCCCCTATATCCTTCGACTACCATGACGGGTGCCATCGGACTTCGCGGCGAACGCATGGAACTGAGTCACATTATGGGCAGCACGGAAGGGATTACCCGCCGCACAAAGATCGTCTGCACCATCGGGCCTTCCTGTTGGTCCGTGGAAAAGCTCACGGAGCTCATCGATGCCGGCATGAACGTTGCACGTCTCAACTTTTCCCACGGTGACCACAAGGGTCACGGAGAATCCCTCACCCGCCTCCGCGCTGCCATCGCGTCGCGACCCCACAAGCAAGTCGCGGTGATGCTCGACACGAAAGGCCCGGAAATCCGCACCGGATTCCTCAGCTCTCCCGACAAGAAGATTACTATTCTCAAGGACAGCATCGTCGAACTCACGACGGACTACGACTTCCTCGGCGACGAAACGAAGCTCGCTGTGTCGTACGAAGACCTCCCCACGTCCGTGAAGGTCGGAAGTCCCATCCTCGTCGCCGACGGGTCGTTGGTGCTCACCGTGACCGAAGTCCGTGAGACGTCCGTGTTGGCCAAGGCGGCAAACACCGCTGTGTTGGGGGAACGCAAGAACATGAACCTTCCTGGGGCGAAGGTATCCTTGCCGACGATGACGGACCGCGACGAGGACGACATTGTCAACTTCGGGTTGGTCCAAGGCGTGGACTTTATCGCGGCGTCGTTCGTCCGATGCGGCCAAGACATTGACAACATCCGCGCGGTGTTGGGTCCCCGCGGCCGCGCCATCAAGATCATCGCCAAGATCGAAAACCAGGAAGGGTTGGAAAACTACGACGAAATCCTCGCCAAGACGGACTCCATCATGGTCGCGCGCGGGGACTTGGGCATGGAAATCCCGCCCGAGAAGGTGTTTTTGGCGCAAAAGATGATGATCCGCAAGGCCAACATCGCCGGCAAGCCCGTGATCACCGCCACGCAAATGCTCGAGAGCATGATCCACAACCCGCGGCCCACGCGCGCCGAGTGCACGGACGTAGCCAACGCCGTGCTGGACGGCACGGACTGCGTCATGCTCAGCGGCGAAACCGCCAACGGCGACTACCCCGTGGACGCCGTGGAAATGATGTCCAAGATCTGCATCCAAGCCGAAGGTGCGATCCACTACGACGAACTGTACCAAGCGCTGCGCAATTCGGTGCTGGAAAACGTCGGGGCCATGAGCACGCAAGAAGCGATCGCGTCGTCGGCGGTCAAGACTGCCATCGACATGGGTGCCAAGATGATCGTCGTGCTCACAGAAACCGGCACCACGGCGCGACTGATTGCCAAGTACCGACCGGCGCAACCGATCCTGGTGCTCACGGCGCTCGGGGAGACCGCGCGGCAGTCGGAAGGGTTCCTCAAAGGCACGTACGCCCGCGTGATGGGCTCCATGATCGGCACGGACTCGATTCTGTACCGAGCGGCGGACATCGGCAAGCAGCTGGGCTGGATCAAGCGCGGCGACGCCGTGGTCGCGATCCACGGCATGCAAGAAGCACGTGCTGGGTCGACCAACATGCTCAAGGTGTTGGTCGTCGACTAAAAAGTGAAACAATATAATTCGTATATCCAAACAACATATTTTGTTAAACTTTTATGGCGTTCTCGAATGGTTTAAAGATTGGGCTAGCTTGTGGCTATAACTAGTAGGTAGTAGTAGTAGCTCCTGGAGATCCGTCGCTTGGTTAGCGGTGTTAGCTATATAGCTAGACGATCCATACTAACGTTACAGTAGTTAGCCTTGTCATGAAGCTGTCGAGGTGGTTGGTTATCGCCTCAACGACCGATCGAATGTCGACGTGACTTGCATATCTCTGCAATGCCTAGCGTTCGTTCATGTGAACGAATCATATACGCCAAAGGAATCGTGTGAAGATGGGGAGGGGGGGAGGGGGTTGTGAGATATGGTACACCCCGTCATACGTTGAAGGAACGTACTGCTTCCACAGCACGTCGAGCTGTTTGGACCGAGCGTCGAGCGCATCGACGTCGTTCAAATGCGACGCAGAAGTCGACCGACCCCCCCTGTCCGACGAGTTGCCAACCGATGACGACGGTGTCTTGTAGTGCTGGAGGATACACTGATACATCAGCTTACAATATTTGGGCTGGAAAAGTGGAAAGCTACCTTGGACCCTTTGGAGCGAGAGGCGGATGTACTGGAGGCTGCCGCGAGCCGGTCTTCGAGCGTCAAGTCCGCGAGCGCCGGATTGTTTAACAGGGCGTCCAGTCGGTCCTGGACTTACGTCAGCGCGTTTTCGTCATGGATTAATGAGGTCCAACCTTGCCGATGGTGGCGACCACGAGCTCCAGCGCGCGCACTTCGGCGCGCTTGGCGTCGTGCATGGCGGATTCCAGCTCCACGAGGCGACTAAAAGGCAATCGTGAGTTTGGTGCTCACGTCATTCTGCATCTCGTCCGACCGTTTGTCGGCGTCGTGGAGTTGGTGGCGTTGAGCGTGCTACCACAACGCATGTCACATGTCCAAAGGGCAATGTCAACAACTACTACTAGTACGTACTTGCTTGAGTCGGACGTTTTCAGCCTCCAAGTGGCGTACCTTTTCTTCCAAGTACCGAGCTATTTGCATCTCGTCAGTCGTCGACAGGTACACGGTCGGCCTCGTACTGTGTTCCACTGCCACTTTTTCTTCCTAGTAAATCCCTCTTAAGGTCATGTCATGGTATAACTTGTCTTACATCGACGCCTTGAGCTCGATCCATGAGCTTTTTTTGCAGCTTAGTCACCTGTACCGGTAGAATGAAACAAAACGTCGTCTTGAATAAGCAAGAGACGTCGCCGCACCTCTTGCTGAGACCTCGCCAAGTCGGCTTTGAGCTGGTCGATGAGCAGCACGAGTTCGCTATCTTTGCCGAATTGGGTCCGATCTAAATTTGGCACCGAGATGGATGGAGTGCGGGTGAGTCGACGAGCGACGGGCTCTGACGGTGGCGTCACGACTTGGATGGATGCGCGGTTTGTTGCCTTGGGCGTCGAAGCACTGGGAGCCGAGTTGAAGGCGGTCATATCCGACGCAACGCGTCGCAGCACCGGAGACGAGGACGTTCGTCTAGATGGACTGGGTGGTTGATCGTGCAATGCTAAACTCGTGATCTCTTGGAGCATCAAGGTAGAAGTGCCTATAGGTACAACAGGGGCTGCAGACGTAAGGGAAGCGCGTTCTGCATGTGGTGGTGGAGGTTCCATCGGTGGCGGTGGTGGCGAAGAGCGCATCAGTTTGGAGAAGTTCATTGGAAACTGAAACACCGTGGACGTTTCGTTACCCTAGTGTAACCGGGAAACACTCGTTACTGTAATCATGTGAGCTGGTACCATGTACGGCAAATTCAGTATTCCAAGGCACGACGTGGAACTTACATCAGCCTTGTCCTTGCTCCATTCCTTGACAAAGAAGAAGGATGGACGGGGTGGCTACCGGCATGGTGTAGCCGTAACGGTTATCCGACGGCTAACTTTAGTCAAAACGTTAGTCCCATGCGGACAACGAAGTCTTATCCGGATATCCGTGCATACTTCGCTTTTTCTCACTCAGGCAACTAGCAATGAACGAAATCCATGCACTGCAGCGCGAGTTGGCGGCGGCCCAAGAGACAAAGGAAGCGATTCGCTTGTCGGAGCGCAATATCATTGACCTTCTCTTCAAGCTACAGGCGTTGAATATGGTGGAGCTCATCTTCACGACAAACGCCAAAGCAGTGTTGACCCCAGCCCAATTGCGCAAGGAAATTCTCGACCAAGTACAGTCGCATTCAGGGCGTGTTTCGTTGCATGAGCTCTATACTTCGACCAACGTGGACATGGGCTATATTGAGAAGTACGCAAGGGAGATCGTGGACCAGCCCAATCCTACTGACAAAGTTCACTGGGTTGGCAATGACCTGATCTCGGACGCGTACTTGGACACCATCATGACCAGCGTGCACAATACGCTTCAAGACACTGGCTCTGTACGTCGCGTGGATTTCCTGTCTTCCATGCATTAACTAACTTCTTTCGACGCCCTTAGGTCTCCATCGGTGACCTGGCGCTACAATACGGCGTCCCAGTCGAGTTCACCCACCAAGTAGTCCAAGCGCGACTGGATTCTATCCTCGAGAACGTCCGAATGAAAGGCACGGTGCTGTACACTCCAGAATACGCGTCGGCTCAACTCGAGCGTGTTCGCGATGTCGCAGGTGCCCTGGTCCGTCCGACCTCCTTGGCCGAGGTGAGCTGCACTCCATGACCATGTGCACACCATGGTCACCTGAACTTACTTGCACTAGATCTTGGCGTCGTCCTCCGATGTGGACGGACGCTTCGTCGCCGACTGTCTCTCGGACTTGATCGCGTCGAACGCCGTGCGAGGCCACCTCCGCGGTCGGGAGTTTGTGCCGACTGCTTTCCTGGACACCCAGCGCGCCGCCGTCGACGCTTTTTTCACCTCCAACAACTACCTGCCCCACGCCATGACCACCCAACTGCAAGTCACGGGTCGACCAGTCGACTTTGTCAAGAAACAGTTTCCCGACTGCGTCGACTTGGAGGATGTGGTCGTGTCGGGGGCGCTGCTCCTCCACGTGGAAGGCGCGGTCGAGGGGCTTCTCCATGATCCGACATGGCTTGACGTGCGCTCCGAGTTGCCCTCGGCCATCGATGCCCAGAATGCCACTCTGTTGCTCGCCAAAGCCTTGGAGCGAGTGAACGCGCCGTCCGTGGTGCAAATCGGTGGGCTGTTCGCAGTCCATGCTGCCATGATGAGTCAAGCGATGGAGAAATTCCAAGGTGTGGCGAAATCGAGAGCGTCTCAAGCTGCCTACGTGGCGTTGGAATCTGGTGGTTCAGAGGCCAAGACCAGTACGACGAAATCAACGAGTGGCCAGCAGGCCAAGAAACAAAACAAGACTACTCGAGGAACCATTTGCCCAGCGCACGACGAGCAGCGGGACCTGGTCATGGCGTGGTTTGACCATTGTGTAGACGAAGACGAGTTCGTGGCCGCGTTGCTCGAGTCGTTGCACGACGCGATCGAAAGTTGCTTTGCCACGGCGTTGACCAAAGCCGAAGCGACCATCTATCGAGGGGACTCATACCAGCGCCGCGAGCTCACAGAGTTGTTTGAAGCTGGCTTTGACGACAAGCTCGGCCACCTCGTCGTGAGCCAAAAAGCCCTGCACAAACTCGCCATCAAAGCGACCAGTGCGTCCGATACCACCACTGGTCTGGACGTGATTGAGCGATCCGTGTTGCGCTCCAGCGGAGTGCAGCTGTGTGCGTGGGTGCTCCAGTACGTGAACGAGCACCACCAAGTGGAGCTAGACGACGTAGGCTCCATCTTGGACGCCACCCAACCAGTCATGACAGGTCTGACGCCAAGCCAGGAAAACGTTCTCAAGAAGCGAGTCACGTTCGCGCCGACGGTGGTGCGCATGTGGCAGTTGGCGGACGGGGGGTCCTCCCTTCCAGATTTTATCCAGCACCTCACCCAAGTGTCGACGGCCTTGGGCATCCCGTCCCGCAAATTCGACCGCAAAAAGGAAAAAGCGATCGTCGCCGCCTTCAAGCACCGCCTCTTGCTCGATGGCAGTTTGACAGACGACGAATCCGATTTCAACGGCGTGCTTCGGGTCGTGTGTTCGCTGGTGTTTTACGCTGCCACGTCACTAGCCCTGCCTTTGGCGGCGTTGACCGCGTCCGAGATCCAGACGGTGTACCCCGTCCTCCGCCACTCGTTTCTGGCGTCGGCTGTGGCGGCAGACACGATCGCGCTGACAGACGACCTGCACACCGCCGCGACGGAGCTGCAGTTGCTCGCCGAGAACCCCGACTTGTTAAGCCGAGCACTAGTCTTGTTGCAACAAGCCCGTTAAGCAGAGGCGGTGTATTTTGATATGTATAATTTAATGCTAATAACCGATATGAATGAAATATTAGTCGCGGTGGTCGGTCCAGGTGATGTGCAGGAGCAGGCACTCTTCGTTTTGATCCGAGCCATCGTTGATGAACAGATACACCTTTTTGGTGCATGGGATCGAGTAGGGCGCAAACGCGAGGCGGAGAAAGCCGTCGCTGCCACCAGACAGACGCAGCGTGGGCTCCCGCGGCTTCATGATGGACGGATCGCTCGTCCGCAACACGAACATACGATCAGATTCCCATGGATTCCTGTACGAGATTTTCTACAAGACGACAAGACACTGAGCATTCACAACCATCACATATCAAACCATGCAGCCACATATCTAACTACCTTGAGGACGGGGACGCCCAGGGGCAGTGTGACGTCGAAGACTTTGGTCACAAGGGGCTCTGATGTGTTTGCATTCAATAGCCATGACCCGATCAACTCGTGACTGTCCACGTCTAAAAGCCAAGATGTGGCCAGAGGTTGGAACCCCATCGACATTACGACGACGTACCCACGACGTTGATGAGGACTTGGAGGGCTCCGACGTCCATGGAGCAGTAAAGCAGCTCGATGCGGTTGAACGCATGCGGCAAGAGCTGAAAAATGCGCTCGGGATTGAACTACAAAGACAACTTGATTGTCCACTAACTTCTTTCGCTGTCCTTCCACTGCTGCGAAACGTACGTGGACTTTGGCTGGCTGCGAGCTGTAGCACCGCACTCGCCGGGGCATCGTGTCGCCCTTGAGGATCAGCTCATTGCGCACGCCTTGGCCCATCGTCGCATGCAAGTCCAATCTACTTTAGTGTGAACAACCAACAATGTACAGTAAAAGACATCACCGGAGCATGGACTGGACGCAGAGCCGCCAAATTTCATACAGCACGGCGTGGTACATGTCTTCATACAGGAGCAAGTAGAACTCGCCACTCGACGGGTACTCGCCAACTCGGTACTTGAAGTAGATTTCCTGCGGCATGTGCTTGTGCTACCCATTGCCAGAGATTATTCCGTCAGTTTACATGTCCGCGATGGTAGTTGGTCGTCGTCCCTTACCTCGACCGGGTTGGTTTCCACGACCACGCCCGCATCTGGACACGCGACAAACTTTTCGCGACTGCGATGTCTTCGCGGTTGATTCGGATGGAGCGAGTCGTCGTCGTCGTCTTCTAATGGCGACATGAACTTGAGACAGCGTCGCAGAATGCCGCCCGCGGCGTGGAACAGCCGATGCGTGCGGTGACACACAAACGGCAGCGGCTGGATGTGCACCTGCAGCACCGACACGACGTGGCCGTGGGCGACGCTCTTGACGTACACCGGCACGACGCGCGCTTGCTTGTGCGTTTGGAGGGTCATGAGGCGGAACGGCAGCACGACGGCGTCGCCCCCTTCGAGGAGGATCTCGTGCATGTCGTCGATCATGTCCGCCTCGATGTCCCCGCGTCCGTCCCCCATGTCGACGCACACGGGCACGCGGTCTCGGTAGTACCGCCACTCGACGGCGTCCAGCACTAGCATCAGCTCTGCGTCCTGCCACTCGATGAGGAAGCGCTCGGCGTGTCCATACGGATTCCGGACTGGGAATTCGAAAAACATCATCGTGCCAAACCGTGGAAACACGTGGATCGACGTGGTGACGTGGTCCCGCAGCAGCGCGTGGATGAGCGCCTTTTTGTGTCCGTCGCGGTAGTACTGCACGACCTGCAGCATCTTGTTCTTCTGCGCCACGAACGCCTCCACTACTCGGGCCTGGCCGCCATGCTCTTTTCGCCCCAAGCGATTCGACATGCTGGCGGCCCGGACAAGCTCTCTTTGCGACTTGGACGTTTGTCGATTGGTTTCATGGCGGAACTGCCGAAGGCGCTCCAGCTGCCGCGCGTACACCTTGTCGTGCATCATGGTGGGGACGTCGCATACGTACCCACCAGAGCCAAGGTCGTCGATGACGCTGAGCCCCAACTCCATCAAGAACTGCACAAAGTCCACTCGAAGCACTTCGCCCGTTGGCTTTTGCGTGTACTTTCCAAGCAACGACGTGGCGGGCACCCCGCGGGCCAAGGCAGCGATCGCCGCTTTGCGCAGTTTGATCTCCAAGATGCGAACTTCGGGCTCGGTGCTGAAGCGATATTCAGGCTCCGATAAATTGTTGGTCTTGTCAATCAGACGACGGCTGGACGTGGCATCGGACTTGTCGTCTCCGGTGGAGCGATGAGAGGACAAGTTCGTCCGAACAGGTGGCTGGGATTGCGACGGTTTGGACGATTCGTGGGACGACGTGTCTACGTCGGACACGGGGGGCTTGGACGTTCTGGCAGATGCTCGGGCACTCGTTTTCTTGGCATCTGTCACTCCTGTGGAAGGCAATCTCGACAGCGGTGGCACTGCCTGGTACAGGTTTCTGAACTCGCTCAGAGAAATAGACCCGCTGCCGTCCTTGTCGAGGGCGTTGCACAGTGGTGCCATGTCCTCTGCTTTCATCTCGAGCTGCAGTTCCTTCAGCGCCAACGCAAACTCGTCGTACGAAACTGATCCGTCGCCATCTTTGTCAAAGTGAGCAAACGACTGGTGCACGTCCACGCCTTTGGCCTGCGCCCGAAGCAGCAGCTTTCGAAGGGTCTCCATGTGGCTTGTTATGCCCCCCGCTTCCACTCCTGCCTTAGCGGACGCTCTGCGACTCTCCAAGTTCGCTGCTACTACCGGGGGTTGCTTTTTACTCGTAGCAGGGGTGGGGGTGGCCGTTGACTTGCTGGCGTACAGATGTTTGAACTCGGTCATGGAAATGGTGCCGCCCTTGTCCTTGTCCAGCAACGCATGAATGTGTTCGGCGTCGGCCGCTTCATGGACAATGCCCAATTCCGCGAGGGCATGGTCGAACTCTGCGTACGTGACATTGCCGTCGCCGTCCGAGTCAAAGTGGGCGAACGCTTGGTCTACGTCCACCCCCTTGACTTTGGCCATCGCCAGAACCTTTTGCAGCTGGTCCAACAAAGGCGAATTGGTCGGTTGCTCTGGCTTGGCCGACTGCCGACGGGAAGCAGCCACGGACGGTCGTTTGCCCAGCCCCGAAGGCGGTTTCTTGGGCTTGTCACTGTCGCTGGCTTTGGTGGAGTTCGAGTTGGTTTTTGATACCTTTGGATTGACATACAACGACTTGAACTCGTCCAGCGACATCGTCCCGCTGTTGTCTCGGTCCAAATGCGATTGAATGGTTGCCACTTCCTCCGCAGACAAATCGAATTGCAGAGACGCGAGGCCCGTGGCAAACTCAGCGGTTGATATCACACCGTCACCGTCAGCATCAAAGTGAGAAAAGGCTGCCGCAATGTCGACCCCCTTTTCTTTGGCACGAAGGAGGAGGTCGCTCAGTTTGGTCACAGCCGCGACAGACACCCCTCCCGACCCCTTGACATCTGAATGGGGCGATCGCTCGTCCTTCTTCGACTGAACGACGTCGTCTGATGGAGGTGCCAGGGACTTGGACGCTTTTTTCGTCAACCATGGCTTCGTCGCGGACTTGCTGGAATCGCGAACGGGCTTGGGCGGGGGTTTGTAGAGCTTTTTAAACTCTTGGAGAGAGATGGACCCACTGTTATCCTTGTCCAGCATCTGCATTACGCTGTCTACGTCATGGTCGCTGAACCCCTCAAGATGGAGCTCAGCCAACCCCCCTTTAAATTCTGCGTGGGTGATCGTGCCGCTACCGTCCTTGTCAAAATGCAGGAACGCCTGGTCGATGTTGACTCCGCTGTCTTTCGCCCGAACGAGCAACGCCCTCAACATCTCCAGCGACGTCGAAGGACCCTCCTTTGCTTTGCTTTCGCTGGGGGATTCCGCTGGTTCTTTTGTGCCTGGGTCCATATCGTCCTTTTGCTGTTCTTTCGAGTCACTTGGTTCTTTCGATTTACTCTCTTGCTTCTTTAAACTCGTGTTGTCAACGTCACTGCCAGTTGTTGACGCGCTCTTCATGGATTTAGTCGACCCCCCTCGAGAAGGGGGGTTGCTGGTCTTGTCCCCAGACAATTTGTCTGGCTGGACGCTACGTGTTGTCCACAACGCTTGGATTTTCTGATATGATATCACACCGAGATTCTCTCTGTCCAAGTGCGTTCGGATCGCCACAATCTCTTCCTCTGTAATGTCGTCGAGACCTAGTTCCAAGAGCGCTGCGTCAAATTCTACGTACGTGACCTTGCCATTCGAGTCGGACGCGGCGAACGCTTTCGCCACATCCGCCCCATTGCCTCTTGCTTCCACCAACAACCGTGTCAATTTTTGTATCTCGGGATTCTCGCATGGGTTGCCGCCGCCGACCTTGTGAACACCCCCCTCCTCATGGGGTTGGGTGGGTACGTCAGTCGCTCCTACGGCAATCGCCGGAACACTGGTTGGTTCAGCGTACAATCGTTTGAATTCCACCAGGGAAATGGCCCCGCTCTTGTCCGTGTCCAGCGCCGATCGAATGGCCACCAAGTCCGCTTCTGTCAACGAATCCAAGTGCAAGTCTAAGATGGCGGCGTCGAATTCCGTGTACGAAATCGACCCGCTTTGGTCTGCGTCAAAGTGAAGAAACGCTTGGTCAATGTCTACACCGCCGGCTTTGGCACGTCCCAACAGCTCCCGAAGTTTGTCCAGAGCCGACTTGTCCCCGAGGATATTCTTGGCAGAAGGTGTCTGCTTGCTCACTAGTGCGTTGTCCTTGCTGACGTCTTTCGTGTCGCTGATTGATTTCTCGTCGGCAGTCTCAGATCCCATTCTGGCAATCCCTTTCCAGCGTTCCATTCCCTCAAGACCCTTCCGATCCTCATCCGCCGTGGGTTGTTCAGCTGTTGACGACTTTGTGCTTTTAACTTCCATCGGCTTCGTTGGCTCTGGTGGTGTCGTGATTGCGTACAGCTTTTGAAACTCCTGAAGCGAGATCGATCCACTATTGTCGATGTCCAAAGCCGTGGTGATCTCGGCAACATCGGCGTTGGTTAAGCCGTCCAACTGGAGCGCTGTCATAGCCGATGCAAATTCGGCTCTCGTAATCGTTCCATTGCCATCCCCATCGAAGTGACCAAACGCTTGGTGAATGTCAATGCCTGCTGAGAGGGCCTTCTGGAGCAATGCACATAGCTTGGCGAGTGCCTCCATCGTAGTTGCAGATTCTGCCACCACCGTCGACTCGGTCGCGTACAGCTTCTTGAACTCCTCCAGCGATATGCTCCCGCTCTTGTCCTTGTCCAGGGCTGTGCGGATCTCGAGCACGTCGTTCTCAGTGATCGCGTCCAGGTTCAACGCCGCCAGCGCTGCGCTGAACTCGTCGTACGAGATGTTTCCGTTGCCATCCCTGTCAAAATGTCCGAACGCTAGGTCCACATCGATGCCCTTGCCTTTCGCTAGGCGCAAGAACTCGCCTAGCTTGGCCACCCCCGAGAGCATTGCGTTTGGTGCAGCTTGGGTTTTGACCGAAGGTGCCCCCTTTGACCCTTTCTTGGCCAGCCATGGCTTCGTACTAGCCCCCCCATCGCCCCCCGCAGATATCTTTGGTGGTTCGTACAGGACTTTGAAGTCGTCTAGCGAGATGGAGCCAGACTTGTCGCGGTCCACCGCCTTTCGAATGTCCGCCAGGTCGGGGGGAGTCAGCCCGTCGAACCCTAACTTGACGAGGGTCGCGTCAAATTCGTCGTAGGAAATCACACCATTGCCGTTCGTGTCGAACTGGGCAAATGCGTCAGCGATGTCGATCCCTTGGTCCTTTGCTTTGAGCAGCAAGTCGTGGAGTTTCTTGAGATGCAGCTGGGAGGACGTACTTGCCTGCTTGGAGAGAGGAGGCCGGCGCTGTTGCGTCCCCGCCTTTTCTTGCACCTTTTTCGGCGGCTTATTGGTGGACATGTTCTTGTTCTCCCCGTACAACTTTTGAAACTCATCCAGCGAAATGGTGCCGCTGTGGTCCTTATCCAGAGCTCGTCGAATACTCGCCACGTCGTCGGCGGTGAAGTCCGTGAAATTCAACTGCTTCAACGCCACGTCCAACTCGTCGTACGTGATCGTTCCATCGCCGTTTTTGTCAAAATGCCCAAATGACGCTCCAACATCCACGCCTTGCGACTGCGCACGCAGCAGGAGCTCCTTGAGTTTGTCCATAGGGGAAAGCCCAGGTAGCTCGTTCGTGGTGGCGGCCGATGGGACTCCCACAAATGCGCTCAGCTCCTCGATGGAAATGTGGCCCGATGTCGACGTGTTGATGCTTCCAAACAACCCGAGGATATCCTGTTTAGTAAAGTCTGTAAACTGCAATTTCACGAGCCCAGTCTCAAACGCGGCAAGGTCGATGCCGTCCGTCGCGGTAAAGTGGCCAAACGACTGGGCTAATGCCACCCCTTGGCCGTGGGCTTTGACCAGCAGCGCTCGGACGCGTTTGGCTGGCGTCAGCTGCAAAAACGTCTGGAACTCCCGCAAAGACACCGTGCCCCCGCCGTCCTTGTCTAAGTGTTGGAAGATCGCGTCCATTTCAGAAGTCGTCCACTGCACCGTCCCCAATTCGTTCAGAGCGGACCGAAAGTCGGCGTGGGACACTGAGCCACTGCCGGTTTTGTCAAAGTGCCCAAACGCACTCTCGACATCGACGCCGTCGGCCAGCGCCTGGGTCAGCATGTTGAACAGCTTGACAGGCGGGGGAACTTGTCGGTCGCGCGTCCGAGGTGTCGCCAGCGCCACAAACTCGTCATAATTGATCTTTCCATCGTGATTCTTGTCCAGCAACGCGACGATGGCGCGCATGGTATCCTCCTCGTCAACATGGGCCATCCCCAGCTCTTTCAACGCCGCCATGAACTCGGACGTAGAGATCTCACGACTTCCGTCCTTGTCAAAGTGCGCAAAGCACTGCGCCAGGTCCACACCCTTTGCACTCGCGTCCTGGAACAGCGTCGCCAGCTGCACTTGAATGGGTTTGGCCAGCACTTTGGTCGCGTCTTGTTGATTTCCAAACACAAAAGCGAGAAACTCCTTGTACGACACGGACCCGTCGCGGTTGACGTCGCACTTGGCGAGCACGACGGCGAGGTCGGCGGGGCTGAGGGGGCACTTGAGGGACTGGAGCGCCGCTTGGAACTCCACGGCGGACACTTCGCCGCTGCCGTCGTGGTCGAACTGACTGAACGCGTCGCGGACACTCACTCCCTGGTCGGCTGCCCGCGAGAGGATCCGATGCAGACGCGTTTGGATCATCTTGGCGGCGTCGAACGGAATTTGGACAAACGCTAGAAACTCGGCAATGTCGATGCTGCCACTCTTGTCTTTGTCCACGCGCAATACAATGTCTTGCAACATGGCGGCACTCAACTGTCTGTCCAAGTCCAGATCCGTCAGCACCTTCATCAACTCGGCGTACGACACGGCGCCGCTGCCGTCGCTGTCCATGTGCAGAAACAGCTCGCCAACGTCGATGCCTTTCGCAATTGTGCGCTTGAGAATGGCCAGCAGGGTGGTCAGGACGCCGTCGGTGGCCAGCGTTTGCAGCCCCATGTGTCGGATGAACTCGATGTACGAGACGCTTCCGTTGCCGTCGTCGTCCAACGACCGACAGAACGCGTCGAACTCGTTGCGGTCTTTCACGACAAACCCGATGTGTTTCAATGCCGTTTCAAACTCCCGTGGGGTCAGCTGTCCGTCCCCGGACGTGTCTAGCTGTCGGAACAGCGCGGCCACGTCCACGCCGCGCTGGGCCGCTCGGATAAACACCGCTTGGAGCTCTTGTCGAATGGACAAGTGCAAGTGTTTGTTTAGGAACGCCATGAACTCCATGTAATTGATCCGGCCGTCGTGGTTCGAGTCGAACGAGTCGACGACGGCGCGGAGACTTTGCGGCGCACACGCCCGGAAGTCGGCGCCGAGGGCGTGCAAGCCCTCGATGAACTCGGCAGTGGTCACGGTGCCGTCGCCGTTGCCGTCCAAGGCGGCGAACATCTCACGAAAGTCTGTGCCCCGCGCAAACGCGTTGAGAAACGCTTGACGAATGTCCTCTGCCAATGCAAAAGCGGCCTTTTCTTGTTTGGTCGACGATGGCGCCATGGAAAACAGCGCAAGCAGCGCCGCCGCGTCCAACCGGTTGTTTCGAGTGGCTTGGGATTGAAACCGCCGGCAAAGGCGTTCGATTTCGTCCTTGGTGATGGACGTGGCGTCGCTGTGGCCTCGCGATTGGCTGCTGTTTTCCCGGTGCTTGGACGACCGATGATTCTCCGGGTCGGGGTCGTACAAGTGTTCCCGAACCAGCAACTGCCTCAGTTCTTCGTTCGAGTCGGCCAACGGTTTGGCCCGCACGCGATGTCGAGGCCCCTTTTGAAGCAGCGCAGAATCAGACGATGGTGGGGGCGGCGCGAACCTCCAATTACCGGCTTCTCGGGGGTTGTCGATTGGTCGCACCACGGCAGGCGGGCACGCAGACGACGTCGAGGCAAAGTTGCTCATGAGAAGTTGGACAGCGCCCATGGATGAGGGGATGGATGAAGTAGTAGCAGGTGACATCATGGAGAAGTCGGCCGACCGGCGCACCTCGAATTCGGCGTGGTACTTCTTGACGCGGTTGCCTTGGCGCATGAGGTCGTGGAGGGGCACAGTCATTGAGCCCAGGGGAAGCAGGCTTTCTCCGTCCCAAACGTCCACATGCAGCGACTTGGTGAGGAGGTACGTGGCAAACGCTGCTGCCTCGAGGGGACACTGCTTGGTCGTGTGCAGGTCGAATTGGATGGCCAGGGATGGCTTCTTGGCGTGGTCGCGACAGAGGAGGTACGTGGCAGCGGCGGGCGTCGACGTGACCAGCAGTCTCTCAGACTTTGTTGGTTCAAACGTGTAAAATTGAAACGTAAAGTACATGGACGTCGGAAGAGGCGACGGTTGGCCGCCGGACTCGGAGAGCGCGCGGAAGGCGGCGAATTGGAATGTGATTTCCAGGAGGTTGAGGCCATCTCGCAGCTCGTCTGCGACGGTTTTCAAGGGCGGCAGCGGATGATGCATGCCGGAAGCAGACGAGTGCTGATTGGGGCGGTTATTATCTTCCATGGGGACCGAAGTAACCGTATCGTAAAACCCGTGACGAGTCAGGAGCGACTTGGACGCTCGGGACAACTCGTGGCTGGGCGTGGGGTCATCTGTGATGACGGTGGTGGGGACGTCGTGCAAGTCCAGAGCCCGCGGGGGGTGCTGGGCGGGGGACGACCGCTTGGTCGGCGATGTGGAGGTCGACTTCTGCAGAGGCGCCTGCAACGTCCTCGCCAACGCGGCATCCATCTGGGCTTTCTGGTACAACTCCCGTAGCCACGCGTCTCGGTCCGACTCTGGCTTGACATTTTGTTTAGTCAAATCGTCGTCCCCTTCGGATTCCGAGGACAGCGCCGCGCCTTCGACGAGCATTTCCATGTCACAAGATGCAAATGATTCCTCGAGCTTGCCGGCCTTTAGCGCATTGTTCCACACAGGGGACGTATAAATGACATTGTCCGAGTACGGCCTCGCTTTGGTGCCACTCAGGAGTTCCACGTGCATCGGTTCGTCGTCTATTCGCAAATAGTTCGTTATCGCTCGTTCAATCGTTCAAACGTACCTCGTTGGTCACGCAACAACGACCGGTCGTGGTAGTAAAACTTTTTGCCGTCGCTTGGCACCAGCGCCCGAGCGCCGACGGTGACCACGACCACGTCCTCCGTCGGCAAGGGCTCCTTGTCGTTCTTGGGCTTGGCGCCTTTCGGCCAAACAAGGCGAAAATGGACGGTATACTGCAGCAGCACAACCACTGCCACGAGCGGGCTGAGGGCGTACCCTTTGAGCTTGACGGGCTCGGCCACGGCGGTCAGGGTGTTGCTTCCGTGTTCGCATTTCAAAGGCACCGTGTGCTGGCGGGTACGAAAGCACCGCCCGTTGTGCAGCGCCAGCTTGAGCACACGCGTAGCGACTTCACCGTGGAGCGACTCGACGTCCCTATGGATCAACTTGCGAGTTTTCGACAGCCGCTCGATGAGGTCTTGCTCGAGCTCTTCTCGCAGGTGCACGAACGCTTGGGTGGGGGTGACGACGACGGAGAATTCCTCAGCTGTGGCAATGTCTCTGGGAAGTTGGAACACGGCCACGTTCCCACCTTGGGCATTATTACCCACAAGGGTGTCCCCCTTGAGTCCGGGGACTTTGTCCAGCGAACTCACGATCTCGTTCTTTCGCATTAGCGCATGACATTTCGCCAGGCCGTCGTGGGGGTGGACGTGATAGAGCAGTTTGCAGCCGGGTACTTTAGCTTGGTTTTGCCACTCTGGTTGATTCACCACGTACAAATGACGGGGCGATCCGGCAAACACGTTCACGGTGAGAGTTTCATGGGCTAGCCCCAGCAGCTTTTGACCAAACATGGGCAACAAGCACCACCCGCAGCCGTGCGACGCCGTGGTCAGCGTGGACGCCGGATCCTTCTCGTATGCGACGAGCTCAACGACCGCCACACAATTGGCATCTACGACGTCGGAGATGAACCCGACGGAGATCTGGACCACCACGTCCGCCTTGCCGTTGTTGGGCAGCTCGGGACTGAGCCACGTATTACCAAAGAAGCGCTTGGTAGGGCTGTGAAAGAACGTCATTTGGAGCCCATACGTGAGCATGGCGCCTTCCAGCTGCTCTGTGAGTGGCCAGTTCTTGACCAAATGCAGGTCCACGCAGTAGCCAGACACTTTATTCACTCGCGCCGGGGCGAGTGGCCCTTCGGGGACGGGCATCACGATGTTCCCCTTGCGAAAGCGTTCAAACACCTTTTCTCGCTCTTGCCAAAGCTCCGACCCACGCTTGCCTTTGAGCTTCGTGGGCACTTTGGGTTTGGACTTGATTACGGTTTTCAGCGACGACTTGCGTCTTTGCATAGATGGCTGGAATTCAGGTACTGCTGCCGCCTTCGCGGGGGCTGGGGTCGCCTTTGCTGGACCAGTTGACAACGCCACCGACTTCGACAGTGGTTGAGCCGCTGATGTAGATTGGGGGGTGTTGCTTCCAACGAGGTGGGATTGTGGCAAGGTCGTTGGCACACGTGTTTTGATTGGACTCGGTGATTGTGGTGTAGCCGGTTGGCGCGACGTTGCGCTAGTCGGGATAGCATTGTTTGGCCGCTGGATCGGTGTCTGCGTTCTGGCGGGACTTGCCGCCGCGTTTTGTGCGTTAGTTGCCTTGGCAGGCACTTGTATCACGTCAGGCATCCCTTTAAACGGGGGACTTTCGCAAACGATGGCAAAGGGTATTGTTCGATGTTTTTGAAACCGTTAACACAGGGATTGGCTAAAAGCATCCATTTGAATCGATGAAAACCGTTTTAACGCCACACCATTGGATATATAATATCCAATGATATACTGCAATTTTGAGACCCAATCAATGATCTTGACACAAACTCTCAGTCCACATCATGATGCAGTGGTCCAAGTTGCTCACGTTCCATGGACGTCCAATGCGACGGCTGTCAACCGGCGTATCCAAACCTCCACTTGTCGCAATGAACTCTCTCACCGGCCGTCTGGATACCTTTCCTTCCTCGTCGTCGCCGTTGAAATGGTACGTCTGCGGGCCGACTGTGTACGACAGCGCCCACCTGGGTCACGCACGCAGCTACGTGAGCCAAGACATTTTGCGCCGCATCGTGACACAACACTTCCACCAAGACATCTTCTTGGTGATGGGTATGACCGACGTGGATGATAAGATCATCGCCGCAGCGTCCGCTCAGCAGACGTCCATGGCTAATGTTGCCAGGCACCACGAGACTGCCTTCCTTCGCAATTTGGCGGCTTTGAACGTCCTGCGCGTGTCCTCCATCACGCGCGTGAGTGAACACATTCCTGAAATCATCGGGTACATCCAAGGCCTGGACTCGAACGGGTTCGCGTACGCCACGTCGGACGGCGTGTACTTTGACACTGTCGCCATGGGTTCGTCCTACGGCAAACTGGCCCCTTCCACGCCCCAGGAGTACACTGACATTGTGCTCGAAGACGGCGCTGTCGGTGGTGAGAAGCGGAACGTGCGCGATTTTGCCCTGTGGAAGCTGTCCAAGACCCCCGACGAGCCGGGATGGGAGTCGCCGTGGGGCCGCGGCCGCCCTGGGTGGCACATCGAGTGCTCTGCCATGACGCACCACGTGCTCGGGGGCTCCATTGACGTGCATTCTGGCGGCGTGGACCTTCGTTTTCCGCACCACAACAACGAAATCGCGCAGTGCGACGCGTACCATCACCACCAAGCCGGTAGGTACCTCATGGTCGGGAGTTGTGTATGTTTTTACAGTGGCGTAGATCACACGTGGTGCCAGCACTTTGTGCACTTTGGCCATTTGTACATCAAGGGGCTCAAAATGTCCAAGTCTCTCAAGAACTTCATCACGATCGACGCCCTCTTGGCCAATTACTCGGCCGACGCGTTCCGCCTCTTTTGTCTCCAGTACAAGTACAACGTCAATGTGCACTTTTCACACGACCGCATGCGCGATGCCAACGCCGTGTACCACCGCTTCCACTCGTTCTTCCACACGTTGCAATCCCATGTGAAAGCCACGGAGGCTGGCGGCGCTTCGGAACGTACGCCTTGTGCATCGCCCATCATGGCTCTAGATGGTTAATGGTTCATTCAATATGCATTGTAGACGCCCGACGAGTGGATGCGGCCGACTTTCGAGTGCTCGACGCCCTGGCCCAGTGCAAACTGGAAGTGGATTCCGCCTTGCGACTAGACTTTGACACGCCTGGGGCGCTGCAGCATCTTCTGGAGCTGGTCACAGCGACCAACAAAGCGTGGACTGACCGTCCAGCGATGTCTGTTGAGGTGCTCTGTGCTGTTGCCACGTATGTGATGGACACGCTGGCGCTATTTGGCCTTGACGCCTTGCGGTTTCCGTCGCTGCGATTGGCTGCGCCTGTGGCTGACGACGCCGCGTCACAATCGAATGCCATTCAAGGTGCCGACGTCATGGATGTGTTTACAACGTTTCGAGCACAAGTGCGGGCGTTGGCGCTGACCAACACGTCGGACAAGGTCGCGCAGGACATTTTAAAGCTCTGCGACACCGTGCGGTGCGACTCTCTTCTCTCCATGAATAGGGCTATTTGCTTACTTTATATGTATGTACCCAGGGACGCGCAATTGCCATCCCTGGGGATCCAAATCGAGGATATTTCCCCAGGGAAATCGTTCTGGAAGCAACAGATCGACGCCGTCGAAGACAACACGTCGACGGAGAAGGCGGTGCTGGCGGCCAAGGCAGCCGAGTTTGAAGCGGAGATGCAAGTGCCCCCCGCCTCGTTCTTTCAACTGTCGCCGCAGTTTGCTGGAAAATTCACAGCCTTTGACCACGAGGTAAGTCGATGGATGAATTGTACGTAGTGTTGCCACGTCATATACTTGATCGTTGTATGTTCAGGGCTTGCCCACGCACGACGCAGATGGCACCGAGCTGACGAAAACAGCGAGGAAAAAGTTGGCCAAGAAACTCGACAAGCACGCGAAATCGTATGAAAAATACTGGCGCAACAAATAAGAAACAAAATAATATATGCGTTTTCCCACCTTACCTTTCGTCTTTCGGGACTAAAACATATGCATTCTGGCATCTTAGAATGTCCATTTTGTCCACGTGGCTGCGGCGGCCCGACTGTAAAAGCGTGAGAATTTAATCGGCCATCATGTGGAAGTCCCTGAAAGGCCTGGATGCGTACCCCAAGACGATGGAAGAGTTCAAGGTCCGAACGACGCAGGGAGGCATGAGTAAGTACCCCGTCTTGTCTTCCTCTTCGACGTCTGACCATCTGCATAGTCTCCGTGATCGCGATTGTGCTCATGGTGGTGCTGGTCATCTCCGAACTCAACTTCCACCTGACAGTGGTGCGCTGGCCTTTGCTGTTGCCATCGACTTGCTCATCACAGTGTCGTTCGTAGGACACTGTGGACAAGATGTATGTCGACGGCGAGCGCAATGTGAACATTATCATCAACTTTGACATTGAATTCCCAAAGTACGTCGACAAAATGGGGCATCTTCACGTCCGCGCTTCCAACTGCTCACCCACCAATCTCGTGTAGAATGCCGTGTTCGATCATCTCCGTGGAGCATGGCGACATGCAAGGCCGCGTCCATGTACGAAGCCGTCCATAGCACTTCCATCCTATTGTCATCTTGCGTTGTGTAGTTGGACGTTATCGACAACATCCACAAAATGCGACTCGACCCCAACGGTACTACTGCTCTGCGTGTTGGATTCCTATGTGACCTCGTGCAACTAGGTCATTCCCTGGGCGAGATGGTCAAGCACGAGGTATTGTTCCATGCTCGTCGTCATATATGAACTTCCATTTCGCGCAGATGGGGAACTCCCTCAAGCAAGAACACGTCAAGGGACATGCCGACACGTACACCTCCACTCGTCCATCCCTCGTCTCCACTCTCATATGCTTAGTAGAGGCTTTTACTGCGGCAGCTGCTATGCCGCCGGAAGCCCCGGCGATGTACGACCGTTTCATGTTTGACACATTCGAGGACATTTCATCGACTGCTGCTGGTTGTAGTGCTGCAACACCTGTGACGACGTCAAGAAAGCATACGCGCGCAAGAACTGGGCCATGCCGAGCATGCACTCCGTGTCTCAGGTAAACTACATTGAGTAAGTACGTGGAGATGACGACGACCATGATGGGGTGTAGTGCATGAACGACGAGCTGGAAGGCATCTTGAACGGCACGGTGAACGAGGGATGCCGCGTCTTTGGGCACTTGGTCGTGTCCAAGGTAGAGTGATCTCCACCTTCCGTTGTGTCACGTCCTCATCAGGTGGCGGGGAAAGTCTACTTTGCGCCGTCGCGCATCTTTGAAAATGGGTACTTGCTCGACACGGACATGCTGGACCTGACGTTTCGATCGTTCGACAACACGCACCACATCAAGACGCTGACGTTTGGCCAAGAGTACCCCGTACGTCCACAAGACTCATGACGACCCACTGAAAACCATGACGATGATAGAACATGAAGAACCCCTTGAACTCGCGCAATAAGACGCTTCCGTCAGACCAGCGCGGCGCATACCAGTACTTTCTCCGGGTCGTGTCGACCGACTACTCGTTCCTCAATGGCGACGAGATCAAGTCCAACCAGTACTCGGTCACGGAACACTTTCTGCAGATGACTCCCACGGGACACAAGGGCCTTCCGCGCGTCTCGTTCGCGTACGAATTTTCGCCCATCAAGTTCCGCATCGAGCAAACCCAGAATGGACTGTTCCCGTTCTTCACGAGCATATGTGCGATCGTTGGTGGCGTGTTCACGGTACGTCCATCCATCAAACCACTCTCATGTCCGTCGTCATCACTGTGTGTCGTTCCTGTAGGTGATGGGTCTCGTGGACTCGGCCATGCATCAGCTCTCGACCAAGGCGCTCAAGCAACCGCCCCTGCTTTAACTGACAAATGAACGAACTTGCATCATATGATTGAACCCACCACGTAAAATTTCGGAAAAAACGTGGTCACTGAGTTAAACGTATATAGGGTAAATGAATAACCTTGAGAGACAGTGCAAATTGAAGCGAATAGGATCTCCCTTGAGCCATAGAAACTTTTCACGCGCTCACGTGAGTGAAGTTCGTAATGGTGCTTCTCGCAGCAGCATCATGTAGCATCATGTAACCCGCTGCCGCTGATCGAAGGATCATGTGTAGGATCGTTGAATTTACATTCGTGCGATGTTATTTCACACTGCTTGTGCACTTCATATGTGGCATTCAATCGAGCCACAGTCCCTTCAGGAAAGATCGAAAAACTCAAATTTTCCTCGTTCTTGTATGCCTTCTCTTGTGGTTTGTTGGATGACAACAAGAACAATCCTACGACGTCGTTGAATGGGGTTTAATGTTTAACGTGTTTGGAGGTTTTATACGTTGACCACAATGAATTTCTGGGAAGGCGATTTCCTAAGTCCGAATCGCACTTTGACCTTAGTCGGCATTTCAGTGGTTGAGGTGGGGCTTGGCCAGAACTTGATCTTCAGCAATCATGACGACGACGCAGGGCGCCCTCGCTGTGCAGGACTTGACGACGCTGGACGTCAAGACCTTGACGCCTCTGACGCCGGAAGTGATCTCTCGTCAAGCGACCATCAACGTTGGTACCATCGGCCACGTCGCCCACGGGAAATCCACGGTCGTCAAGGCGATTTCGGGCGTCCAAACCGTCCGATTCAAGAACGAATTGGAACGTAACATCACGATCAAGCTCGGGTACGCAAATGCCAAGATCTACCGATCGGAACCACAGACACCCAAGCCAGTGTCGTCGGAAGACGGCGTCGTGGCGACGGCCGCCCCTGCCGGCCCCATGTACACTGCGTTTGGCAGTTCCAAGCCCGACAGATTCACGGACGACAAGGGTGTGACGTGGGTCCTTCAGCGCCACGTCAGTTTTGTGGATTGTCCCGGCCACGATATCCTCATGGCGACGATGTTGAACGGTGCCGCTGTCATGGATGCTGCGCTGCTGTTGATTGCAGGGAACGAAGTGTGCCCGCAGCCGCAGACGTCCGAGCATTTGGCCTCAGTGGAAATCATGCGCTTGCAAAACATCATTATCCTCCAGAACAAGGTGGATCTGATCAAACCAGACGCCGCCAAGGCCCAGTACGAGCAGGTGAAGCAGTTTGTGGCCGGCACCGTGGCCGCGAACGCGCCGATCATTCCGATCTCGGCCGTACTCAAGTACAACATCGACTTGGTGTGCGAACACATTGTGCGCAACATCCCCATCCCCCTCCGTGACTTCACGAGCAAGCCCAAGCTGATTGTGATCCGGTCGTTTGACGTCAACAAGCCCGGCCAGGACGTCGAGTCCCTCGAAGGCGGCGTCGCCGGCGGCTCCATCTTGCAAGGGGTGCTTCGCCTAGGCGATGAGATCGAGGTGCGCCCTGGCATCTTCTCCAAGGACGACGACGGCAAGGTCAACTGCACGCCCATCTTCAGCCGCATCGTGTCGTTGAAGGCCGAGAAGAACGACCTGCAGTACGCCGTGCCCGGTGGTCTCATCGGGGTCGGCACACTCATCGACCCGACGCTCACTCGTTCCGATCGTTTGGTCGGCCAAGTGCTGGGGCTCAAGGGCTGTTTGCCCGACGTGTTCACAGAGCTCGAGATCAACTTTTACCTTCTCCGGCGTCTTCTCGGCGTCAAAACGACGGAAGGGTCCAAGGGCTTGCGTGTGGAGAAGCTAACCAAGACCGAAGTGCTCATGATCAACATCGGGTCGACTACGAGCGGCGCCAAGATTTTGGCGATGAGGGCAGATCTGGCCAAGATCGTGCTGACCCAGCCCGTGTGCACACAAGAAGGCGAGAAGATCGCGTTGAGTCGTCGGATCGATAAGCATTGGCGGCTGATTGGGTGGGGTGAGATTCGGCGCGGCATCAAGATTCACATTGCCTGAGCCATGCCACCACCAGTAGTAGCCATAGAGCACGCACACATAACATACACCGTAATCGAATGTTCAGTTTAGACAGTCATCTGGGCTACGAGGCCTTCGAGGGCACGGACTTCGTCTCGATGGCCATCTCGGTTGGAAGTAGCAGCAGCCCTCTTTGATGGCATCGGCACCTCGGCCTCTTCTTGTCCTCTGGCAGGTGGTGCCGCCTTTGGCTCCTCATGTAGGGCTTCGAATTCGGCAAGCAATGCTTCGTCGTCAAACTCGACGCCAAGCGCTACGACACCCACACTTGGGATTGAACTTGAAAGAATTGAAAGAATATATACATGACGACGACAGCAACGCGTCGACTTGGGTCGCTTCGTCCAGCACGACTTGCCAATCTGCGACAGCGTCGTCGACGGCATCCGCCGTGAGCCCCAACGAGTCGCGCACCGAGCGCAAGCTACGAGAGGCCACTTTGTATCCTTCCACGACCTGTACTCGTGTACTTAGAAGAAAAACACAGCAAACGCCTAAACGTAGTAGGGTCGTACATACCAATGCTTGCACGTGCATGTCTCGCAGTTGGTGCTCTGTGTGGAGGAGATTCAGGAGCCCCGTCTGTCGCTGGGCCAACGTGTCGCCCAGCGCTTTCAAGTGGCGCAAGTACACGACGGCGTCCGACGTTTTCTGAGCTCGTTTCTGAGCAATTGCTTTCGCTTTTGTCTCGTCCATCTACATACACAATGCAACGTGGAATGAACGTCGTCGCATATGAATGAATGGGGGCGGCGTACTTATGTACCTTGGCTTGCAGCTTTGTCGTCGAGGTTTCCAATGTGGCAATCATGTGCTGGAGCAGCAGCAGGCTCTCGTCAGCTTCTTCCACGACAACAACACGCCCGTGCTTTGGGGTGTCGATCTTTAGAAACTACCACAGCAATGGGCTGCTCATTTCCATGCAAAAAAGAGCGCGGGTACGTGGCACATGACTGTCTTACGCTGCCTCGCACCACGGCGAGCTTGGCCCAGACGAGGTACTTTGCAATCAAATCATATTCCATCGGTGCCACGTGTTGAAGAATCGACGCAACGGCCGACGAATCGAACAACGCCACTCGAAGGCAAAGCGCGTGGAACGAGCAGCTGAGACGAGGTCCACATGCGACATGGTCGGCCTGGCTCAAGCAGAACGTCCGCTCCGACGGCTCCAGTTCAGACGTCACGAAATGGACGATCGCGTCGCTGACGGCGGCCAGCGATGCCATCGACACATACGGGCCGGGAGGGATGGGCGTCGAGGATACGGAAGAGGAGTTGCTTGTGTCGTTGCTCCACAACGAATGCAGAGAATGGAGACCCCATCGTGCGGGAGTGACCACGGCTGTCCGAAATAGCCACCTGGGTGAATGGAAATAGCATTAGGAACTTGACGAGATTGCAATCGAAGGTTGAGGGACACACACACCTCGAGAACGACACGTGCTCGCACATGGCCTGAAACTCGTTGAGGTGAAGCAAATCCTTGTCCCGAATCATACTCGACTGCATGTGCGGTGAAACGCCACGGCATGCAGAGACGGACGACTTACCACGACATGGTTGATCACTAATGGCACGGGCTCCACGCCTTTGCGGACGAAGCGACGAGCGAGGGACTCGTGATGGATCAATAAGGACGGTTTGAGCGTAGAGACCTTCGAGCTGTCGGTTGTTTGGCCGCTACAACACGTGTGAGTACAGTGGCTACGGTACATGCCAGTACCCACCGAACAGTCCAATGCACGGCGGGCTTCCCTTGGAAGGCCATATGAATGGTGAGATAGACAGGATAGGATATGACTCACATGTGTGAAGCATCTTGTCGTCGAACACTGCGCTAGAGCTGTACAGTGCCTCCATGCACTCATCGTCATCCCATTGCGGGAAAAACGCCATCGTCGAAATCTGAAGAAAGGTAAAGTGGGTGAAGCGATGTGATTGGGTGCGACAATCCTCGCTTTGGATTGGTCCGTCAATTCCAATACTATTATTCTGGGCAACACATGAAACGGCTGACGTCGCCGACGGTTGGTGTGATCGACTTGCCATTGCCACGGACAATCCAAGCATGGCCGAGCGCTCACCAAGCAGCCTCAATGGGCCTACTTCGAGGAAGTTGTCCTCTTTGGCGCACACAGAGTACGAGGACAGCGCGGACAAGCCATCGTCGTCATTGCGGTCTGATCGATCGGTGCGTTGGCTCGCCCTACGAATGTCGGGTTCTAAGCTGGTAGCTGATGCTACATGGCCGACGTTAGGTTTCTCTACTGGATAACCGTGATGCCAAAGTGAAGAAAGCTAGTCCTTCCGACGACGCCATCTTGAAAGAAAGCCTCCAAGTCCACAACAGCTCCAAGACTTGTGTGACGACGGCAACGACGCAGCTTAAGGTCCTTTGTCGCAAGTTTGCCGTGCTCTCTGAAAAAGTTAAAGTAAGTAAGACTTGGTTTTGATGACGAGTATAACGCGCTTCTAGCAAGAAGCCAAGATGCGTGAAGACGCCGAAAAGGAAATTCGACGGCTCAACGACATCATCCAAGGTACTTCAGCAACCAAAGCTTGGCGACTCAGCGTGTATCGTCTACAGATGCAACGAATCCACTGATCACGTCAACGCGCACTGATGCCCAGGTACGCATAACGACAGCCAATTGTCAGGAATGCTATGGACAATTGAGGCCATTAATAGCAATATCTCCGTGCGCAGAAGGACGAGTTGGCCGACGTACGGGACCAATTGCATCGAACCCAAGACGAGTTATACCACGTCACACAAGCATACGACCGCCTTCGTGCAGAGCTCGAGCACCACCACCACGCATCCCTGCAGCCGCCATCGCATCCACTGCAGCAGCAGCACCAAGGGATGGTGGACCATCAGATCCAGTGGGACCGGGAGCAAGCCAGTCGCATTCAAGACACATTGTCGAGTACTATCACAGAATTACACGAAGAGCTCAACGTCAAAGAGGTAAAGTGCACACTGCTGAAGGTTGTTCATGGATGATTCGTCAGGTTGAAATCGAATCCCTTCGAGCTTCCCTGCAGCGAGGTACTCGGACATAAAGACAATGGCAATATACCAGTATCATACTATGTAGAAAAGACCAAGCAACGGGAAATGGAGCAAACGACCGTGGCCTACGAAGAGCAGAATCGACAGGACAAGGACCAATTGACGAAAGTGACCCAACATCTCCGGGACGTGACCATGAGTCATGCTAACGAGCTAGAGAAGCTTCATGTACGCGTTGGTTTAGGATGTTGCCATCGTGACATTCTGTGTTGAGGCAATAGGCGGCCCAGGAAAGTGCCAAAGAGGAGAGGACTGTGAAGGAAGCTCTCCAACATCAAATCTCCACTTTGCACCAAGTCAACGACGCGTTGCAGAAACGCTGCGACGCGCTCGTTCGTCGGCTCCAGCTCAACTCGAACTGCATGTCAGAAGTCAGTACATTCATGCACAAGACTCGAGGCCTTATCATTTGCACGGGTTTAGTCACAAGGACTCAAGAGCCAATTGGAACACATGGAAGCCCAGCATGAGATTCTGGCCAAGGCGGTGCGTGTGATGACAATGTATCGATGAAGGCATCCAACTTATTTGGTGTAGATGCGCGACGCCAAACAATCGCATTATCAAGACATGGAGGCACTCAAGGCAGCACTATACGAAAGTCAATCTGCCACCCACGAGGCTGAAAAGCGGGCGTTGGAACTGCAAGGCGAACTCACGGCTGTGGTGCGTCCGCTGTTGCCTCTTGCTGTCTGTCCACTCATTCTATGTACAAACAGCGCGTCCAAAACAACACCATGTCCGAGTACATGATGTACGGCCCCAAGCGAGTGCAACCAATCGCTGCCATTGGCTCGGACAATCACAGGTATGTGCTAAGGACTATTGCTACCTTGTTACATCCTTTCGATTACACTATCTCTAACGTCGTATTAGCATTTGTAGCCACCAGTCTTCTCCACGCATATCCCCTACCTACGGTCGGCAACAAGCCCCTCAACCACCGCCTCCACCCCCACTCCCATCCTCGCTACATTATCACACTTCTCCTCTTCCTCGTTTCCACACCCACTCGATTCATCAACCGACAAGTCAATTGCCCCATCAAGACGCTTTGCTTACGAGCACGCCCGCTCAACCGCCTCACTCGAGCCCCCACTACTCCAGTACCTATCACAACCCAAATGGTCACCTACAATTACCACGTCGCCAAGGATACGTCGACCACCCCACGCGAGCTGGTTCTGACCCCACGATCGTACGAACTTTTGTGTGTGCTTGTCTGTCACATTTCCCTCGTACTGATTGGAGCACGTAGAGGGCAGCTCCACCTGCTGGCGCGTTATACAGTGACGAAACATACAGGCCAGAATTGGAGCGCCGTCCAGTCGTGGGAGGCAAACCTTATGAGCCTGAAAGCGAACAGCCCAAGACGGTGATTCATATATCGTCCACACCTCATCAACCACCACCACCATCGACCGCTTCGACCACTCCCATCGCAGCTCGAACAAACCCTCCGCCCCTCCAGTGTCGCACCACCAGCACCACCAATTCCAGACAAAGCAATGCATCGTCCAACGGATCAGACCACAGCATCTTGCGCGCGTTGAAGAACCGCAACAAGCAACTGCAGGAGCGACTGCAGCAGGAAGCCGACGCAACATTTCAATTGGAGGAAGAGATCAACATGATCACGTCATCGTACCACACGCTGTTGAACCCCCACGACTAAGCCATTAGTAGTACCTCGCAAACAAAATATAGACTTTCGTTGTATGCGTTCGTTCATGGTGGGGTGTCTGTCGCATGTTATCGTAAAGGAGATGATTGTTGCTAGTGTTTCAATCGCATCGTGTCCAACTCGGAGGACCGCGTGGGGCGCTGACCTAAAAAACAAAAACAATGTGGCCACCATCTATCATCAACACTTGTCGCACCGTTTTCCAATCGCGCGAGGTTATCTCTCGTAATTTGGTCTTCTAATTCGTCGGTTTGGATCTCGTTCAAGCTTTTGACACTTTCTTCCACCGTATCCCAACTCTTGGACCGACTCGACGTGGATGATGCTCGACACTTTTGCGAGTACACTGCAAATATCTTGCCGAATATGTGGCGGACGTCGTTCACCACTTGGGGGTCCCACGACAAGTTGGCGGCCTCCTTGGCGTGGTGAAGCTCGCCTGCCACTAGAGCTTCAAACTGCGCCCGGACGTCCGTGTCACGCCGTTGAAGGGCCGCGAGGCACTGCTCGTCTTCGTCGATCCGTGCCGACAAGTCAGTGATTTGGCCCTCCAAGTCATCGCTCAGTGCATTCGCGCCCAACGAAACGTACGCGTCCAGCTCGACCCGCGCTTTGTGTCGCTTCATTTCAGCATCCACGATGCGATTCTTCATGAACTGCACACAAATGGCTTGGGCAGACGCATACCGACGCACTCCGTTCAAATGCTGCTGGACACTCGCAGCGACATTTTGCAGCAACGACGTGGACGACAATGTGTCCAAGGTCGACCGCAGGTCACGGAAGGTGGTGACAATACCCTGCTGCTTCTCCAATCCTTGCAACGAGGCAATCGCGATGCTGTGGTCCGAGCCAAACTGACTAACTTCGTCGTCGAAGGTGCCTTCCACAGACGCAATGTCACCCACGACCTACATCGGACTTGAAACATGCCCCATTCGAAATACCCAAAGAAACATCAACATACCTCGGCTTGGAGCTGCGTCAGAATAGTCATACGAGTCTCCACGTCGGCCAAAAGGACGCTCAATTCGTCGTGCCGTTGCTTCAACGCAGACAACTCGTGGGCAAATTTCTCCTTGCGTTCGTGCAACGGCGCGAGTTGCCCTTGACGTTGTTGGTGCACCTCTGCGAGTCGAGGTCCCATCGTCGATGATGCGTCCGTTTCCACTGGGCCATTCAAGGCCAAACTGATCACGCCACTGGCATCGCCCTTGGTGGATCCCAACGCCGGACTGGGTGTGGAAAACCTTTGGTCTGCGGCGGGTGCCACCAACGCCAAGAGCGTCCCCAATTTCTTGGCGCTCACCGCGATGGATTCGCTACGCAGGTCTCGTCGCCGGAACGTGTCGCGGATAGATTGACCGCGGATGGTGTTTTCGTTGGCCAGCATGACTTTGAGCTGGTCGTCCATGGTCGAAATGTCCGTCGCGAGGTCGCACGCTTTGCCGATACTGTCGAGGGAGAGTCGGCGCGTGTGGGCGTCGACAATCAGGTCGTGCAACGCGCTGGCGACTCGCGGAATCAATTGCGTCGCGACGGATGACGTCTTGTCGTCATGTTTGAGTTTCTTGAGCACACGGATCGAGTCAACAATCGACCGAATGCTCTGCACGACGATGCGCGCCGCGTCGTCTTTGGAGGACGATGTCGTTGAAGTGCCTGTACTGAAGGGAAAGGTTCCCACGAGCAGATTCGACAGCAGCAACGTCAAGCTGTCGTACAGGGAGTCGTGGACGGGACAGACGCGGAAAAAGTTCTCCAAGAGAAGCGTTAACGCGCGGCTTTCAAAGAACAGCGTGAGCACATCAGGGCTTAAACCCAAGCGGCTCCAATCCACTAGCCCCAAGAGGCCTGACTTTAGGTTGGAGTGGCTCGCCGCTTTCTCGAGCCGCGCTGACAGTGGAAGGGACATGACGTCGTTCGCCACACCGCCTTTCTGTCCTTCCATTGCAGCCGGGGAGGATGCGTCGTATCGGCGTTGGATTTCCACCTCCACGCTGTTGGAACGCTCACTTCGCACGACCGTTACCGCATTGGTATCAGCAGCGTCGTCGTTGTCTGCGTTGTCGTCTTCGAGAATCGCGGACTCGATGTCCGAGTCCTCGTCGTCGTCGATGCCACCAATGGAGCCTGTCACAGACGCGGCGTCAACGTCTGTTCCCGCCTTCTTCTTCTTCTTTTTCTTCTTCTTCTTCTTCTTGCCCACGGACAGGCCCTCTGTCTGCGTCGCCACGGACTCCATCATGACTGGTGGTGCTTTGCTCCCTTTCGGGCCTCCATCGTTCCTACACACACATGTTGACTTAGCATCATCCTTCGAAGTATATACACGGCATCATCGTCGTCATTCAGCGGGATGCGTACCCATTGCGCAGTTTGCCGCTCATACTGGTGTCGTCGACGAGGTGCGCGCGAATAATGACTTCAACAACTGGCAACAATCCCCATTTGTTTCGATTTTGGAGTACTAGTATACAAAAACACTGTTGTCGATATAATAAAATGCCGCCATAAACGTTGTGGCCAGTTATTGTGGATTCGATACGAATTTCCAGTCTCCGCCGAATCGAATCACGAATCGACGCTATTGGCTAATCCTTTTTTTCGTGGATTGGATTGGCTCTTGCAGAAAGCACAAGTATATTCAACCAATCAGAACTCCAGCGTTCATTCAATATTGATTACTCCGTAGTAGATAAACCACGCGAATTTTGGAAGTTCAAAATATTTAAATTCCTTCATTTTTTGAAAAACAACACTTATCCGGATACGTATCTTGAACAGCCGTGGTCGAACAGTTTTGAACCCGATGGACGAGTTTTCGCGTCAGGTCCGCACGCGCATCCGACTGCATTACACGTTAAAGGACGCCAAGTTACCAGCTCAAACGTACACGGGTGTATGAACCTGAACTTGACCTACGTAGTACATATCACAAGGCGTTCCCGTAGTTGTCGGATGCGACGGTGCATTCGGCGGGACAATCTGGCTGCTACTGTCGGGACTGCCTCATCTTTCGCAAGCATGAATGGCGCATTGGAGACATGAACGCTGCCGTTGTGGGACCCCGTGACGAGGTAGATTCGCATTGGATTGATTGGATTGAATTATTGCGACATGGTGACGTGGACGTGCAGTGGCTCATGTATTGCTGGGGGGATGGGGAGCGAGGGCCGTTGTGTTCACGAACAACAGACGCCATCGCCGAGCCCTACCTTATTCCGCCCATCGTGGAGAACATTACTGTCCAAGATGCATCGAAACGGAGGTGGAAAATTGAACGAGAAGCGAAATTCACAGCAGTATGTACATACTTTGCGGATTCAGATTCATTCTACGTTGGGTTCAACGGTTGACTTGTCAGGTTGCGTCAGGAAAGTACCATACATTGCTGCTTGCGGGTATATGTAAATCCATCCAGTCCTTTCTTGAGGGTGATGACTGGATGCTCAGAATCGCACCAATTGTTTGCGTGTGGCGACAACTCGTACTTCAATTTGAGCACTCCATTGGAACCTGGATCTGACCCGTGCGACAATTTCACGACGACCCCGACGGCCGTGGTCGACAGCTTCAAAGGGTTGGGGCATTCTCGCATCTTGTCCATCGCGTGTTCGGACTTTGCATCGTTTGCACTTGTGGGTATGTCGTTGCTTACAGTAGTGCAACATTGCTCACAATGGTCTATTAGACAAACCCATCGACGATGACAGCGACAGCGACAGTGTGTTCAAGCAACGACCTAACGAACTGGTGCAATCTCATTCCCTCCCACATGTATTTACAGTCTAACGGAACCCAAACACATTTCATTACTTCATAGCACATCAAGTCTGCGAAGAAACGCCAAAAGGACAACGAGCCAAAAGAAGTCAACGAATTTAACCACGGTACCATCCTACGTACTAGATTGGTTGTATAAGACGGGGGTGGTGTAGTGTATTCGTGGGGGCGGGGGGAGAGGGGGGTGTTGGGTCATGGCACCACCGAGTCGCAGCCTGTGCCTCGTATCATTGACGCGTTGAACTACTACAAGGTGACCCAGCTGGCCGCGGGTCGTCAGCACGTGCTGGCGCTGACGGAATCCCACGGCGTGTTTGCGTTTGGGAACGGGGGGCACGGCCAGCTTGGTCTGGGTAAACTCCTAAACTCTTCCGTTCGAAACAGGCACGTGATACAAATGTAGGCACCACGTCCGACTGCCTTGTTCCTACCCACGTCGACACTTTGGAGGGCATCCACGTGACGTTTGTCGCTGCAGGAGACGAGTTCTCCGCTGCACTCACAGGTAGACAAACCACGCCCCATCGTAGTATCCTCCGAACCGATACATATCAAGGAGGTCCTCTTTCTGTGGCCGTGCTGTATGATGTAGATACTGCGGGAAGTCGCCAAGTGTTTATGTGGGGATGTGGGAAGCATGGGTAACCTCACACCATCTACTTGATTTTTGCACTGTCACGAGTTGGTTGATTCCAAAGGTTGGCTATGTGTAGTGTTCTTGGCAACGGTAACGACGACGACAAGCTCAAACCCACGCGAGTCCAAGCTTTGCGTGGCACAGTCAGTCCATCTCCTAATTCACTGGCGTTTTTGTGTCTTTCATGGCTTTGATTTGTTTAGAAAGTCCGAAAGTTGGCATGCGGGGGCTCACACACCCTCGTGGTCACTGGTACTTTCATCGCAGGTTGGTTTCCTCTAACATGAAAAGAATAGAGCCAGCGGGGGCCAAGCTCAAAGGCACGACAGTCGTCATGTCGTGGGGCTGGGGTTTGTATGGCCAACTCGGCCACCGCGACAACTGGGACGTCGCCACCCCCAAACTCGTCGATGAGATCCTCCACGAGCGAATTGTGAGCGTCAGTGGGGGCGCCAGGCACTCCCTCGCGCTCTCCGGTACGATCCCCCCCCCGAACGATTAAATTCTGACAATGCAAGAGTAGAGTCTGGAAACGTTTGGGTATGGGGTCAGGGCATCCACGCCCACCAGCCAGCCGTTGGCCAACCCAAAGACTGGACTAGCTCCGCCTTGCTCTTCCCTCGCAAGGTGCGTACGTGGCAACCACCCCTCTGGAACCACCAAAACTAACTTCCGTGATCCAGGTCTACCTGCCAAACATCCACGTCGTTGGCGGCGTCGCAGGGCGAGGTCGAACGTTTGTATGGGGCGATCGAGGTTGCACGTCACATTTTCACAAAGGAACCGAGGACTTGTGTATGCATACTTACAGATACACCTTTGATGTAGCCACGACGAGCGCAAAGGAACATCGCCAAGTGTCTGGCATCGACACCCTTTCCAGTACTGACATGATTCCTTGTTAGCTTGGCCCCATGTGTTTTGTCTAGGTGAAAGCCACTGCAGCATGTCGTCGGCTAGCACCGTGCTGAGCTCCAACAGCCTGCGGGTCCTGTATGCATGTGGCTCGTGTCAGATGGGGACGGTGTGCGTCGTGTGCGCCGCGCGATGTCACGGCGGCCACTGCCTGACGTTGCGATGGACGTTGGACAACTGCTTGTCGAGAGACTGCGATTGCCATGACACTGGGAAATGCCAAGCGATGGCGGGCGATCGTAGTTTTCCAGGGAAAGACGAGTAAACGCTAGCATATATATGTATATATATTCGTCCCCTACTATATATATATATGTACGTTGTATGTGTGTGCCGTGGTTGTCTACGTAAAACTGAGCAACTCCCGCAGCAATTGCTCGTCTTCCTTCTTCACAAACCGGCCCTTGACGCGTAATCTTGAATCGGCAAAGTTCTTGCGCACGTCGTACTTGACTTCTTTCCGCCACACCCGTTTCTGTCGCTTGTCCAGAAACTTCTCCACCCGCTTCCGGCGCGAGTCGGGCGAGTACGCGCCGACAAATGCCGCCTTCTTGTCCGCGTCCGACAGCCCCCCCGCCGTCGTGTTGAGCGTGCCGCTGAGGAAGGCCGACGCGTTGAGTCTCGCGGCGCCGGGGATGCCGATGGGGCGGGACGTGAGTCCGTCCGACGGCTCGTGCTTGATCTTGACGCCATCCGCCCCCAACTAGCCATAGTTTGGTCAAAACGAGCCCCGAATGGTAGGGGCGTACCTTGGACGACTGGTCGAGGAAATCGTGTTCGGCAAAGCTGAACGAGCTCGGGGGGGTCATCCCCCCCAATCCCATGGACGGCAGCGAGTTGGGCAACGAATTCCCAAGCGACGAGCCCAAGTATTCCCCTAATGCAGCAACATTGAGATCAAGATTTCAATGCATGGCGTGGCACGCGGACGGACGTACCTTCCATGAGATCCCGGCTGGAAATATCGGCAAAGGCAGAATCAAAACCGATCTCGTCCCACTCATCGAGCGTCTGTCGAGACGTGTACTATAGCCATGTTGTATAAGTCGGCGACACAATAGATATATATATGGCGTACATCTTCCTTGGGGGTGTCTCCTAAAGAGCCTACGTTGAGAAACCCCAGGTCCAAATCGTCTAGCAAGTCCACGGACGACTTGCGATTCAACGCGCCGCTGTCCAAGAGTGCTACCATATTGGCCATGAGCTCACAGAGGTGTGGATGATTGAGAGAGGATCGAAGGCAAAGTGGCGTACCTTCCAGTGCGGTCGGGTCACCTTGTTCAAATGTCTCCAGCGCTTTCTGTAACTTCTCGTCGCCGCTGATGATCAAGTCCTACGCCCGACATACGCAACCACATTGTGAGAACGCGTGAGGAGAAGCTAGTACTTGGTGCTCGTAACGTTACCTTGAGAACGCCCTTTTGGTATCGATCGATGAACCCCTTTTCCTCCAAGTCGGATGCGCTCAGCAGTCGACCTGATATACTTCCGCTTCGATTTCTCTTTGTCGAAGGCAATGTCAAACTTCCCGGCGAGAAGGCAGGCGGTGTGTGTGTGATCATGCCCATGAGGTCGTCCGACATCCAGCCGATGCTTTCCTTGCGGGCACTTGTCGGCCCTTGTGGCTCTTTCTTGATCTGAATACTCTCAGACACTGCTGTCGGCGGCGCCACGGACAATGCGAGCTTCGCTGGAGGGCTTTCTGCCATGATGTATCTGCGGCCGTAGCTGGCGCCTCCTCCTTTGTCACTGGGGACCTGAAATAGGTAGTTTCCTACTGTAGTATGAGCCTCCGAAATCGGCCGAAGGTAATCGCATCGAAGTTTACGATACAAACATCAAGTGAAATTCCGCATGAGACAGCTGGGCAAAGCGACAACTGTTCCTTTCATTCGCAAAGTGGGAAGTTGTAGCCGATAAACTGGGAAATTTCCCCATGTGCGATCGCTCCAACAAGGAATAACTAGCACGCGTAATTCGGAGTCCTTCCTCGATGTTTTCATTCCATGTCAAGATGAACCACACCCCCTCGGCGCTGAAGCATCGACTGCACCTGCAACCTTTCCGATTGCATTGCCAAAGCAAGAGGAATTTGCCCCCATTATACCGTTTACGCTACTGTAGGAATTCCCACCATCACAGGTGAAAATGCAAAACACTTGGTGAATGATGGATGACCAGATGACTAGAGTGGACTAATTCCCCATAACAGGGGTATAACCCACCTGTTGACTATGAGATAACTCAAACAGCCAATCAAAGCGTACAAAATTTGCACAAATAAGTACAGTCATATGGACTACCATTGTGAAAACAACACCACCCCCCATGTCAGCTAGGGGTTACGTGGTTAGCTATCGCTAACCACTGGAGATGCAATTAACCCTGGGAATAACAGTATACCTCGAAGAACGTACCCACCGGGGGTATGACGCAGTCCCAGCTTACAAGTTCATTTGTTTTGTGTATGTATTATGGATGATGGATTGCATGTGCCGTTGTCTTATCTAAGCAATTCCCCTACGGCAGGGTTTTTGTGGGTCTTTAGCAGGGGTTATACCCCTACTGTGAGGAATACTTCAAGGATGTTCGTTGGTGATGTCTCATATACTACCCTTACTGTAGTGCGAGTACCGGTATAAGTCACTTCCAACCTGAGCCCACGGCGAAGTCAGCTGGCCGCGTTTTCGCCCCCCCCTCAGCGGCTCAGGTGTCTGCAACCTCCCACGTTTGACCCCCGTACGCTCCTGCTGGAGGAGCGCACCGCGCACGCCGCGTGCCCTGTCGCTTCTCCTCGTTCCTCACCTCGTGTGAAAGAGTGAACTGAACGTTCGGGTAACTTTGCCTTCGAACTTCGCATGGGACGAACGAAGTCCTGATCGAAGTTCATGGATTATCGAAGTTCGAAGTCGTCAACCATCTTCGCCGACGGATCTTGTGTGATGACCGACGCAGCTGCGTACGATGTCGTGGACGTCGACGGCGACAAGTCGTACCGAGGGATCAAGAAGGCAGAGCGCGTGCTATCGAGTATTGCGCTCAATGCAGCGACGCCGACGCTGTACGTTGGAGACTCCTCGTCGAGTCTTCATGCCTTCACAGTCCACGCCGACAAGGCTGTGCGGTTCCACCAACAGTTGAAGAAAGTCTATCATGACAGCGGCACGCAAATCCTCGACTCGTGGGGCGTGTGTGCAACAATCATTGACGGCAAACTCGCCACGTTGCCACTTCCCCTCGACAAGGATTCCCTGACCGCCACCACCACTTTCTTGGATGAAACCAAAGGAGTCACCCAGCTCCACGCACACGAACTCAGTCGCGTGTTGTGCTGCTTGGTCAAGCAGAACCTCATGGTGTACGATTGGAGCGTACAGGGCAAGCTGCAGCTCCGCTCGTCGCACGACCTCACAACGGACAAGTCGAATGTCGCAACGTCGGTGCTCTGTCTTGGGGGCAGCATCGCCGTCGTGCAGTTCAAGAAGAAAGGTTTGGTGCTGCTGGACCTCGACACCGGTGTGCCGCTCAGCGCGAGTCTCCCCAGCGCCGATGCATCGCTCTTCGTCTCCCGCGCGACTGGCACCCACAAGAGTTTGGACAACCTCCTCGTCACGACCAAGGACCACGGCATCATCTTTGCTTGGGATTCCGGTCGTCGCTTGATGGGGGAAGTGGGTCGGCTGGCGTGGCCGCCGTCGTCGGTCCCCAAGGCCGCCCCCGTGGCGCACCACCCGTTCGTGCTCGTGCCCTTCGTGGACCGCGTGGACGTGTTCAATGCCGCGTCCTTCCACGTCGCCCAGTCCATCCCCATCAAGTCCGTCAGTCAGTTCAGCGTCGTCACGACGCTCGCGACAGCCGACCACCACCGCCCGGTGCTGCTCTTGCTCGCGCCGCCATTTCACCTCACGCTTCTGCGCATGAAGCCCATCGCCGATCAGTTGAAATACGCCATGCATACCCTGCGGTACGACTGATCGTGTCTTGCAGTTGTCTTGGGTACGATGTTGTGCAATAAATAGGTACGCCGACGCTGTGGGGCTCTGCACCCTGTGCCCCGACGAAGGCCACCTCCCACCTGCAGACCTCCACCAGCTGCACCTAAACTACGCGCTGCACCTGTTCCAACAGCAACACTTCGACTTGGCGTTTCGCCAGTTTGTCCTTGGCGCAACCCCCCTCCGTCATGTCTTGACTCTGTTCCCGGAAGAACTGCTGCCTCGCAGTGTTGCCGCCGTAACCCCCCCAGTGTACCCCCACGTGTCGGTTCTAACAGGCGAAGCTCTCGCGTCGGCACTGGCGGCACTACCGGCCTATCTCACGGCCATTCGCAGCGCCTCCTTGACAGGTACCCCGCTCATCCCGTCCTCGTTCTCAATCGATCTATTCATCATGACTGAACGACAGAAAGAGACAGTCTCGAGTTATGTGACACGGTCCTCCTCAAAGCGTACGCCCTCAACAACGCCGACGCCGACCTCACGTCGTTCTGCGCGTCGCCCAATGCGGCCGATCTGGGCGAGTCGGAGCTCTTCCTTCGCGTGCACAGCCAGTGGCCCGCGCTCTTGGCGCTGTACAAACTCCATGCGCTGCACCGCAAGGCGCTGGACGTCCTCGACGAGCTGTACACGGCGGACGCAGTGGCGTACGAGCAGCCGCTGGCCGAGTACCTGACGCAACTGTCGGACGGACCGTTGGTGTTTGAGTACTCGCGCCGGCTACTCACGACACGCCCGGACGTCGGCCTCGCGGTCTTTACTCACCGCCACCATCACCACCAAGTACCTGATTTGGACCCATCGTTGGTCCTCCGCCATTTAAAGTCCATTGATGCCACCGCCCCTTCGACCCGCCCTTCGTCGGACTTGCCGCTCTCGGACGGTCGGTACCTGGCCATTGCGTACCTGAGCCAACTCATCTACACCAACGACGTGGAGCTTCCATTGACGCTGCACGACGAGCTCGTGTACCTCCTCCTGGACGCCATCGACGCCGCCGCCACTTCCCTCCGAAAGCCGCACCAAAACAAGAAAGACTCTACGTTTCACGTCCGCGTGCATCTGCAGCGCGACCCGGAGCTCGGTCCTCTGCGTCGGCACCTGCTAACGTTTCTGCAGTCGCCGTTGGCCATGTACCACCCGGAGCGGCTGCTCAGCCGCGTGCCCGTGGACATGCTCGAGGAGCGCGCGGTGCTCTTGGCCAACATGGGGCGCCACGAAGAAGTGCTCCAGCTGTACCTGCATGACATCCGCGACGCCGCGCTCGCGGAAACGTACTGCAACGAATGCTTTGCCCATCGCATCACGGACGCGTCGATTTACACGTTGTTCCTTCAGACGTACTTGCGTCCGCCAGTGGTGGCAGGGCGACCGCCGCCGCTCCGCAGCTTGACCGGTGGCATCGGCATGCATTTCGTCGCCGCATTCATGCTTCGTCATGCGCAGTGCATTGATGTCGCGACGGCGCTGGCGCTGCTGCCGCCATCCGTCGAGGTAGGGGGTTATTATGGATGGCATAAATGTGACGATGGGTGTGTGTAGGCGTCGGCGGTGGCGGCCTACTTGGAGCGCGTGCTCGAGCTGAAAGTGGAGCAGAAGCGCCACGTTCAAGTCCAAAAGCAACTGCTCAAGATTGAAAACTTGCACGTCCGCAGTGCGCTCAACGTGGCCAAGCAGGCCAGCGTCGACGTCGACGTCCACTCGACCTGCGACGTGTGCGCGCGGCCAGTGGAGCGAGGACCTGTGCTGTGCCACCCCAACGGAACGTTGCTGCATTATGCATGCCAAACCAGTTTGTAGACGAGCAGCGATAGATAGATATGGGGTACACAAGATGAACGAAACTCAAATTCGGAGCACTGTATGGGGTTCTGTAGTTAGTTGACGTTTAAATGGGCCAGGAGTTTGTCTAATTTGGCTTCGATACGATTCAACTGGTCGGCGAATTCGCCCGATGACGTGGCGGCAACAGGGAGGGATTGTCGGAACGAAGACGGCTGCAGCACGGGACTGGTCGATCCGCCGGCGTTGCTGCTCGTGGTTGTGATGGAAGTCTCGGTGTTTCCAGCGCGCTTCGCTGCCGCCTCCCGATTCTTTCGCATGATGTCAGCAAATCCCCCACTGGAAGAAGAAGCGTCGGTGGGACTGGGCTGTTCGCTGGCCCGCATCGACGGCGTCCGATGAGTCGACTTCTTTAGTCCTGCGGCCCCTTGCGCGATGGCTGCAAACAGGGGATTGCCACCTCCACTGCTGCTGCTACTTGGGTCACTGGACGAAGTCGACGTGGAGGGCTTGACAGCGTCCAGCGGGGAGCTTTCCCGTGTGATGGTCTTTTTCAACTTTTTGCCTTGGGCAATCTGCGCCAAGAGCCCACCTCGATCACCACCACCTCCTCCAGATGCGGGTGGAGTAGACACCGGCTCGGACGATGCCGTCTTTGCTGTGGACGATCTGGTTGAGGAGGTGGTTGCTTTAGGTCGGTTCCACTGGGTGACTTTGGATTGTGCGTGGTAGTAGTACTCCTAAAGGACAACAGTGACAGTGGAATGCGCGCATCAGGGAGGTCTACCTTGCCGTCTGCCGTCTTGTACGCCATCCATCCCACGGGCAGTGCGCTGCTCATGCTGGGCAGCCGTTGAGTGTTCTGAACCACTTTGTGGTAATACTGACCATCACTCCAGCCTCGTGTTTTGGATTTGTTTGTTTATGAAAATGCTTTAAATTTCCAAAATTCGCCTGGTTTGTCTCATCAATGTTGAATCACGCCGGAGTTCTGATTGGTTGAATATATTTGTCCTTTTCTGCAAGCGCCAATCAAATCCACTCAAAAATGGATTAGCCAATCGCGTCGATTCTTGATTCGATTCTCCAGCGAGGTTCGATTCTGGAAATTCGTATCGAATCCACAATACGTACTAGTATACTAATTTCAAATAATTCAAGGTTTGCCTTTTTCGGAATGTATGTGTGAGTACTTATCAGCCAGTTGCACTTACTTCGAAGTATAAGCAGAAACAAACTGTATTATGTACCACATGATGCTTATCAACTTGACGTCCACGGCACTCCTCATTCTGCTATCGTAGCTTACTTATCCCCAGTGGAAGTGGAAGTTCCCTCCTTGATGGAACGGGTTCTGTTGCTGGTTCTGCGGGTTGCCCGTCACGTCTTCGCCTCGGTCGTACCTCGCTCGGGTGTCTACAGCCATCCATTAACACAGGACGACCTCCCTTTTCCACTGCGTACCTTCGTTCGAGAGGATCTCGTACGCTTCCGCCGCCTCCTGGAACTTCTTGGTTGCTTCTTCTGACGCCGCGTCCTACAACCAGACCAGTCAGTCAACATCTCTACCTCCTCAACCTTGTGGTCATACATACCCCACGGTCCGCATGCTTGTCGGGATGCCACTCCAGCGCTTTCTTCCTGTACGCTTTCTTGATAGCTTGGCTGGAAGCATCTCGAGGAATGTCTAGCCAAAACGTCATCAAGTCGGTGGAATTCTCCGCAACGAGAAACCCCACCCAAGATTTTGTAGTAGTTCTTTGTCTTGCTCTGCTTCAGCGCGGCTTCCGCACGTCGAAGGCCTTCGTGGAACTGTACGCCGCCATGAGCACATGCTTGAGCATGTACATGTCTTACCGATCGGTCGTTCTCGTCCAGCTCGACGGCGCGGCGGTGGTGGCGCACGGCCTCGTCGTACTCTTCCAAGTTGATCAGCACGTCGCCCAGCTTGGCGTGGACGTCGGCACTCTCTTCATGCACGTGCAACGACTAAACACACACCTCGGCCATGATCATCCATTTCGAATAACGCGTGGTGTGTGCATTGTCCATTTGGAAAAACGTGGTGGGATGCGAACGAGTAAAACGTACGGCAGCGCACGCGGCTTTCGCTTGGACATGCTTTTGCAAGTGCGCATATGCGTCGCACAGCTTGAAGTTGAGGTCCTTGTTCAAGGCGCTGTGGCTCGGGTCCAGCCCCACAGCCACCTCCAAGTCGTCCACCGCTTCCGCATATCTACATGTTTCTTTGTCGGCAAGTTGCTCTGCGTAAGAATGGTCTTTCGCCTTACTGGTGGGATTCAGCCGCCACGCGGGCGTGTTCGATCAGTTTGAGCAATTTCTTGGTCCTCTTATACAAGGCTTTCATGGCCTTGTGCTCTGGGTCGAACTGAAGCCCCTGGCGAAAGTGTGTCACGGCTGCCTCCAACGACTGGATGTCGCCGAGCGAGTAGTACGCTTCGCCGCGCAGGTTGAGCGCCGAGAGGCTGCCCGGCTCGATGCGTAGAATGCTGCCGGTGTCGGCGATCAAGTCGAACGTTTTGCCGAGGAATCCGCTGGAAACAAGATATATACTGTGAAATAGTGTGACGAGGACGCGCCAGTCGTACTTGAGTTCGGCTCGTTGAAGGAGAAGTGACGGACTCGACACGGCGTAGTTGTCGATGGCGTGGGTGAGGGACTGCACTGCCTTGTCAAAGTTGCCAGTTGCCTGCAGTGAAGGGATGCAATGGTTAGAAAAGTGTGAGAGATGGCTAGCTACACATGGCGACAGACCTGCGCTTCTGCGGCATGCGTGAGGTGATGCGCGCAGTCGTGGCTCTTGGCCAGGTTGTCGTTGCCGCCAACATTATTAGGGTCCAATCTATAGAGCGTCGTGGTATATTTCGGATGATGCTGGTGACTCTTACGCGACGACTTTGGTGAAATCCTCGACAGCGTCCGCGCAGTTGCCCGTCATCAAGTTCAACCGGCCACGTTGCAGGTATCCCTGGAGGACCACATGAAGCCAACGGTACAGCCTGGATGAGGTAGACTCACCTGGGTGTACGTGGGCTTGAATTTGACCGCGGACGTGAGGTCCGCCAGGGCCGAGGCATATTTGCGTTCAGCGAGGTACGCACGGTACCGCTTGTAGTACAACCGTTCGTTCGGGTCCACTTCAAGGACTTGCGAGTAGAGCGAGATGGCCTGTGCATGCATTGATTACAAGATGCAGCACTAGTGCACTTTACCTTTTTCATGTCACCGCTGGCAAATGCGTTTTCTGCCGCAATGGTTACTTTGCCGACTTCGGCCTTGGGCAACGCAGCTGCATCCGCAGACTAGTCACATGCATGAGACAGGTAGTTGTGGTGGAAGAGGTGGCGGTGGTAGACGGAGCGTACCAAGACTGCCGCCGCACTCGCCAGCGCCAAGCACAAGACGCGCATAACGTGAATGTGAGGAACACGTCACGACACCTTGGTTGTGCAACTTCGAATCTTTCGAAACTTCGAACTACGACTTCGATTTCCCATACAAACTGAGAGTAGAAAAAGTGACCACCATCAGACACGTGGCCAAAACCACAACAGGTGACGTGGCAGCGACGCAAGCCGCAGGAAGTGGCGGCGATCGAGGGTGGATCAACAAGTCGACTGATGAGGAGCGTCTTTGTACGAGTATAATGCCCTACATCATCCAGGGCATATAAGGATGCAGGCTGCCCGCATTGATGGGAGTTCCCAACCCAAAGCGCGTTGTGTAGATGCTTTGACAACCTTTTGTTCACTGTCAGTTGTAGCACTCACTGCCTTCACATAAAGACCCAACTTTCTATGATGGGACCTTGTTTACATACGAAGGCAGTGCTACATATAGCTAGCTAGCTACCTGTGAACACGGCGATATACAGTAGTGATGGACCCCACCTCAGCATTCTCTCTGAGACGGAGCACGATGAACACTTTTGCACCGTTGTAGTCTTTGTTGTAGTGGATGCAGGCAGCAATGATGCTTAGCGTTACAGTAGACCAAAGTCACCATCTTCGACAACGTCACCGGTAGTGTTAATAGGGAGATGCGGGAACTGGACATGAAAACTCAGGCTTCCGTCAACCATGAATGCCTTGCATGAACTTCGAGTAATGAGTTTTCGCCCAGTTCCCGCATCTCCCTATTTTTTAAGTTACTCTGGAGTTTAGTCACAGTGATCCACCTTGTTGGACATTGGTTGCTCTAGCACGTACGTACGCACGCTTACCGTACGTGTATGTGTCTATGTGCTGAGCTGGCATTATTGGTTGCTCTAGCACGTACGTACACTTTATGTCTCTCGCTGCATGTGCTGAGCTGGCATTCCAACCATGAAACATGTTTATATTTTATACCTGTCAAACACGATGATACTACTAACGTTAATATGAAGTTAAAGGCAGCCTCGTAGTATTACTTTTGCGTGGTCAAGAACGTCAGGGTCCGCGTGAGTCCATGCACCACGGCCTTGGGCGTGTTGTACGCAAAGCAGATGCGGTAGAAGCCTGGTGTCGGCGCGTGCTGGGCCTCGCCCGGGGTCATGATGAACTTGCACTTGTCAAACATGACATCCGTCAACGCCCGCTCGCCGTGCCACGTGGGGGTGTCCAGGAACGCCGAAAAGTCCACCCACACAAACATGCCAGCGGGGGCCGGCACGAACGGCACTTTGAACTTGGTCAAGACAGACGCCACTTGAGTGTACGAGTGGCGAAGGTCGCGGTTGTTGTCGGCAATGTACGATGTGGACCACGGCAAGTCGCTTAGGACGAGCGCGAGGCCGTCCAGGAGGTAGTTGGACACGCCTGAAAAGTACAAGACGTTCGACAGCGCTCGGAGGAGGTCGGGGTTGCCGGTGTACACGACGCCGACGCGGAGGCCGGACGCGGCCCAGTCTTTCGACAGCCCCCACAGAATGTGCACGTGCGGAGGCAGTTGCACGAACGAGGCCGAGGCCACGGACGTGTCGAAGATGGTCGCGCCAGACTCAAACGCATGGGGACTCTGCTCGGGCGAGTGGATCGAGTTGGCATAGATTTCGTCCACGATGAGGTGCAAGTGGTGGTGTTCGCACCAGGTGGAGATCGCCCGCAGCGTCTGGCTGCTTCGGATGATGCCGAGGGGGTTTTCGGGGTTGAGGAGAAGCACAGACTTGGGGGTGTGGCCGGCGAGGACCGCTTGGTCGTACCCCGCTTGCAACGCATCGGTGGTGATGTCGAACGTGGGCGTCATTGGCACGTCGATCACTTTCGTGCCCGACGACACGAAGAAGTCGTTGTAGAGGGCGCCGTAGGCGGGCGTGGGTAGGAGCACCGCATCGCCTTCGTCGTGAAGCAGAGAGCTCAAGTGCGCCAAGAGTGACCCCACGCCGCTGGAGATGGCCAAGTGGGTTGGGTCGATGGCTTTCGTGGTGCTGTGAGGCTTCAGAAGCGTCTCCTTGACGAAGGAAGCATACGCTTGTTTAAAGGCTATCCATAACGTTACAACAATGAGACTGGTGACCTGGCAATCGTTGTACAATCCATTTAGTACTTACCTAGTCGACCGGTAAAGTCGTCGTAGCCCAATCCCGACTTCTGCGACGCCGCGGCACAGCTTTCGTTCAATTTCGTGAGCATCTACATAGCGTCAATTGATATGCTTTCGTGTTGGACTGCATGCAAACCTACCTTGTTGGCATCGAGAATCCGATTCTCCGAGATGGCGACCGACACATACCCGTCCAAGTCGTCATCTGTTGCTTCATGGGCGAGGGCATCGAGGGCAAGTTGAAAGTACGACAAAGCAGGCTGCAATGCGCGTCTACCTCGCGCGGAAAGAGTCGCGGCGACTGATGCATTGATGACTGGCATGGCGTTCGAAGAGGGCAAGATGTTTGAAATAACAATCCAGAATTAATTAAGCTTGCTCCGAGTATTAATATCACTGAACTTTTTTATACTTCGAGGTAAATAGAAGTCAAAATAAGTCAGTTTTACAGTTAAGAGCTGAAAATCTGGTTACACATCCGAAACCGCTTCAATCATGTCGAACCAAAACCGCGACACCGCATCCAAGTTGCCAGCATGGGAGCGGGAAAAGCTGGTTCGACTCGAAAGCAAGCTACGTCGCGAGTAAATCCGTCTCCACATCAGCTACAACGCCCAAGTCACTTGTTCGTTGTAGAAAATTCGCAACTAACCAAGTTCCCGACCGAGGCGACAGTGGACGGAGGCGACTGCCTTCAGACAAGTCCACGGTGCAGAAGAAACGGAGTGCCGTGGATGTAAAGCTATCCGACGACAACCCAGAAACCACGGGGCCTGTGAAAAGGTCTGCAGATGACGATGCGACCGACCATCAGAATTCAATGTAAGCAATGCACAATCTCAACAACTCTCGACATCTCAACGCATTGTGAAGGATTCACAAGAGGGCGCCCGTGACCACTGTGGCAATGAAGCCCCCCATGGTGCACAAGTTGGCCCCACCGACGTTGACCTCGTTCGCGGCGCGGACAATTCATCCGCCACAGTTGGACGACGATGCATCCAGTGATACGAATTCCGATGAAGACGAGAAGCTCCTTGATAGTTTGGAGTTCTCCATCGCCATGTCGCCAAAGAAAGCCAACAAGGCAGCGCCACGCCAATGGATGCCACAATCAGCCCCACAAGAAACAAAGCCATGCAACAACACTCCAGAGCGCCACGCGTTATCACAACTACAAAGCCAGCCAATGGCACTCACGAGACTGCCACAAAGTCAAGTTCAATCGAAGACGGCAATTCCAGAAAGCAAATTCAACGGACAACGGGCCAGCAGCGTGAGCACAACTGGTAGACTGCCCAGCCCGGTCACCCCGGAGCTAGAACGAGAGTCCAAGCCCACTCCATTCAACGGCGGGGAAGTCAAACCAATTCCAACGATCAAAGCAAAGGTGATACCACCACCAACGAAAGAAACACGACCGATCGATACGCATGATCCCCCGCCTCCCCGAGCTGGAGTTCCCAGTGAAGCCAAACCCAAAGAAGCATCCTCTACAATCCCCCAAACTTCCAAAGCAACGTCAAAATCCGCCGCCGTTCGAGATGCCACATGGGACATTTTCGACCTGTCTAAGGCAGTTGCTGTTCCCCGGCACGCGACAGCCGAGCCAAAACCGAGATCGGATGTCGTAAGAGTGGCCCAAGTGACTTGTTCGTGGCATTCTCATCATACTGGGTTGCACCTAGGTGCAAGCAAGAGGACGCCCGAATGCCTTGACGTTGTCGATGGAGGAAGAACACCTGCAGCGCGAAATTTCGTCGTTGAATTCAAAGCTGGAAAAGGTTCGAGTGTCAACCGATTCTCACGACGAAGGCGACGATACGAAGAACGAACCCGACAGTAGAAATGACGACGACAGTGTTGAAACGCTACAGGCGTATGGAGGGGGTGCGCACTACAAAGCAGGCACGCGCACGGCCCCCGTCGACCGCTGCTCGATGGAGAAGCGCATGCAAATGAGCGGAGTCCATCAGACTCGCGTGCGCAAGGGCGTGCAAGTGCACGTGCAAGACGACAGCAAGGCCGACGGCAAGAAACCAGACAAAGTTGTGGTCAAGAAAGACTTGGCGTTGAAAATGTTGTTGTCGTAGCCGGTTCAGAGTGTCCAGCTTATTCCTACTTCTAACAACCTCAATGGAAGTTTGAACGATACGTGAGCATTCCAGACATTTCAATTGCGAGTACATTTTTCCTAGCAGAATCCCAAGGTCGGGTTTTCCAGTGTTAGTAGGACTTGGTTGGGTGGGCCGACTGGGGGCGACGTCTTGCGTACAGTTTGGTTTGAGCCATTGAATTGACTGGTCGCGGTTGAGTTGTCTGCTTCGGTTTGCTACTGCGGGGCCGTTGGAGGGGCTTCAACGGCGACAGATCTTTGGCTTTTTGAGGACCGGCGCCCACACTTACACCGCAAGGAATGTAAATGCGTGGCCCTTGGTCATCGACTACAGTCGTCGTGGTCGGCTCCACTTGGTTGGACGCTTCCGATTCTCCCGTAGCAGGGACGACTGGTAGATCCGGCAGGCTCTGCGACGCCTGCATCCCCCCTCGACCCTCAACTCCCCCGCCCTTTCGAAGACGCTTGGCTGCGTCGGCTTCCAACACTCCATTCCGCACCTGTAGCTCATGGTTTCGCTGGGCCATCACGTTGAGTTCTTGAAGTAGCTTGGTGTTATCTGTCGAAAAGACCGACACGAGCTTTTGTCGCTCATGGGTCATTGCGTCCAGCCGCGTGCGAAGTTTGCGCTGCTGGTCCTCGACACATTTGTTCTGCCTCGTCAGCTCCTGGATCACCGCCTCATCCGACGCCATCTCCCGCCGCACCACGCGGTTGTTGTTTGTGCGGAAATCGTACTTGTGGTACAATTTCACAATGTCGTCGATACTCACGCGGGTGCCGTGCTGCTCGCGCTCGATGAGAATGCCCAAGTCCCGACAGCACGCCGTCGTCACCGCCTTGGCGTCCACCAGCTGCCGCTTCAACTCGGTCACCGACCGCTCAAAGAACGCCACCCTGCGCTTCATCTGCCCGTGCGCCTCGTCCATCTCATTGGCATCTTCGACCACGGCGCTGTTCTCCGCGTGCAGCTCCTCCACAAACCGGCGCATGCCGTGGATATCCTGCTCCTTTGTGGCTATGGCTGACTGCATCGTTTTCAGCTTGCACAGCCTGGCATTATTCATCTCGTCCAGCCCTTCAATCTGCCGCGCTTGGTCGGCAACGCGAGCCTCCAATACCGAGCACGCGGCCACCGCCTTGGCTGCGGTCTTTCGCTCCAGGGCGATCTCGTAGTTCAAAGCGTCCACGGCCAAATGCAACCGGTTCGCTTCCAAAGTGGCTTGTTTGACGCGGTCGTCTTTCGTCGTCAATGCATTCAGCATCATGCGCAGTTGCTGCTGCAGACTCGAAATCTTCGCTTTGGTCTCTTCCTGCTGCGATACTTGGGCCGCTACCATCCAAAACTCAATAATGCACATATTCCAACCCCCCTTAAATCCATGCATCAGACACAACAACCCAAACTTCGCCACCATGCATGCGCGCACAGTCGCTACCTTTTCCATTGTCCACCGCCGCTTGCATCGCACCCAAGTGAATGAGCGAGTCGTCATTCATTTGCGACAACAGTTCGTCGTATTCTTTCTGCTTTCTGTCCAACGAGTGAGTCAGCGCCGCCACTTTGGCATCGTATGTAGCGACTGTCGACGCCATCGCCGCCTCCCACTCGCCTCGCAGCACCATCTGCCTCTCATCTCCGCCAAATCGGGCATCGTCCACCCGCTGCCTCTCAGTTACCACCTGTCGCTCCAGCTGTCGACACACGTCGGTCATAGCGCTCAACTTGGTCGTGAAGATGCTCTGCATTGTCTGCAAGCTCCGTTCGTGCTCTTGTTTCATTTCCAACATAGCCGTGTGTGCGTCGTGTGACTTGGTGTGCATGTCCCCCTCCACGGCCTTCATCTTGGCTTCCCACGCCGCCTTGGCCTGTCGAAGCTCTGATTGCCGCTCGCGGTCAAGCAAGCTCAATTGGTCGGCGCTGAGCTTGGACAGGATTTCCTTCTCCATCTTGAGCTGTTCCTTTTCCGTCTCCAAGTCGGTGATGCGCAGGCTGCGCTCCGCCACACTCGCTCGATCCACCTACACATTCGCCCGATGCAATTAATCTGAATCGATGGCATAAGCAGCATATAAAACACGAACCAAACACAAGTCGTCCGTGACCAAGGCCGCGGAAAACTGCGTTTCGGGCGCGGCTTGCAATACATGCAACGCTTTGGTGTGTGCAGGAAGCAGAGTGTCCGCGTGAAAGCGCGGGCTTGGCGCGGGGATGTCCACCGTGTACGATATCACAGTCCCGTCGACGGTGGCGGCCAGCAGCACGCGGTCGTTCAAGCAACTCCGCAACGACAAGATGGACGCCACGCTCAAATCAAACCAGGCGGGAGTTGCCGACAGCACACTCAACCCACCACCCGACGCTTCCCTGTTCGGACACAATGTAAACGAATATCTGGCGGTCAAGGGCGGAAGAAGTACCACGAAAATACCAATACACTGCCGTGGGCCGTGCCGGCACACACGACGCACGCGGGGCCGAACTCGAGCACGGTGATCTTGGCGTCGATGCCGGCAGATTTCAACGGCGGCGTGTTGAGGCGGCCGTCACACCACACGTGCACCACGGACACGTCCGCGTCTGACGTGCAGCTGGCCGCCAAAAGCGCATGGCTGGTCGACGGATGGCGCGTCACCGCGAGCGACGAAAACACGAGCGCGCGGTCGTACACACTTGTGGAAGCAGCAGTTGACGGGCCTGTGGACGTGGCTTGGGTGGCGGAAAACGATCCGTCAGAACCCATGCCCCACTCCAACAGGGCACCGCAGTCGTCGGAACTGTAAAAGCGAGCGTCGTCCAGGCCCCACCGGAGGCACAACACGTTGGCTTCCCGTCCTTCCAAATACCAAAAATACGTCAAACTCCGCTTCAAAGACAGTGTATAACGCTGACAAGTGTGCAGTATATACCGGAACACACGGCGACGAGGGACGGCTCGAGGCCGCCAAAGTTGCGGTACACGTAGATGCTCTTGTCGTCAACCAACGCGACAAAGTAGTTGCCTCCGCCGCTGTACGCGACCGTGGATGCATGCTTGACGTCCACTTCGAACGCCAGGCGAATCGAATCGTACAGCACGTGGTAAATGTGGAGCTGCGCACTGCAGCCAGTCATTTTTAAGGTCATCATACACCAGGATATCTACGAAAGTGCTGACGTGTGTACCTAACGCTGAGGAGCAGTTCAAATCCCGACGGGTGAAAGTCTATGCACGTGGGGACGACGTGCACAAACGTGTGGTGCAAGAGGCCGCGGGTGTCCGCCTGTCCGTACACACACGCGAGAGTGGCGCCCGTCGACCGCTTGCCCGTGACCGCCACCACATGCTTGCGGCTGGAAGTGGCCAGCGTCGTGACCGAAACCAGGCGAGGCAGCGCCGTAAACGTCATAAGAGTCACAAACTACGACCACCCAAAGAAACATGCAAAGTAGGTCAACGATAGCTTGATGTTATGAGGGGGATGTATGTTGGCGTACGTACTTCGTCGTCTTCGCGCAAGAGGCACAAGTTGGACAAGTCATACGCGCCATAGTAGCTGGGCGTGGCACACATAAAGCCCGTGCCAGCTGCGTCCATGGACAGCGCCAGCACCGGCTCCCTACCCCAATGATGAACATATGCACAATCAAATATATGAGTGGACTCTACTTGGAGTCGATTCGCATGCGTTTGACCATGTGGATGTCGGCGCCATTGAAAGCGTCCACTTCGAGCACGGACAGCCACCCGCGATCACCGCCCACCACAACACTACCCAACCTTTCCTTCAGGATCCATCAAGAAAGCTGCAAAGTACCTCGTTTTGAACGACTGGACACACTGCAGTACGTGTCCATGGTGTAGCATTGGAATCGTGCGCAGGAGCTCACCATTGCGAAAGAACTGGACGTCGCCGTTGTCGAGCACGGCCACGATGCCGTCGGTGGTCCCCACCCACGTGTGGTCCACATATCGAATGGCCGAGTTGGCCGAGTTGAAGGTCGCGAACGGCCGACACGTGGGCTCTGTGAGTCGCCACAGCCGCAAATGCACGCCGCCAGAAGTTGAGATCTGCGCCACGTCCACAGGGTTGAAGCAGATGCGCGTGACCTTTCGGTGGTTTATGTGAACAAGTTCCAAGAGTAGATTTCGATTTGCTTATTCTTACTTTGGAATGCGCTTCGGCCACGGCCACTTGGCGGGCGCGGGTCCAATCCCACAACGCAAACGTCCATTCTGACGTTGTCGACTGTGCGACCACGAACTTGCCATCATGGGAAAACGCCACTGACGTGAAGCTGTGGGTGTCGTACGTGAGGGTTCGGATAGGTGTGAGACGGGACCATCGGGCAGAATCGTCACCCTGGAGGAAGCAACATGACGACATGGAGTGAAACAAGACGATGTGTACACCTCTTTCGGGGCCTTGAGGCAGTAGATTGAGATGGAGCTCTCCGTACGCCGCAGACTCGAGTGCGCGCTCCGTCCGATCGCAACGTAGTTGCGTTTGACTGTGATTGCCAAGGCGCAAATGTCCCCCAGACGAACCGACGACGTCGAGTCGTGGTCCTTGGAAGGCGGTGGCTCGAAGAATGACATCTTTTGGCTGTGGATGTTCTGCAGCGCCACGTATTTGCCAATGGCGTAGATCACTTCGTTTTTGTTCACGTACAGAAGCATGTCGCGCAAGTTGGTGTTGAACCCGATTCCTGACGCTGGCGTGAGTCGGACGGGCGGTGGTGCGCCGTCTCCAATGATACCCGCCGGCTTGTCCGTCGTCCGGCTGTCCGAGGTAGTCTTGGCCGTCGCTGTGGTTGCTGCCCGTAGAGTCTGCATCGTACTGGTGTCACTTGCATCTACCCGTGATACCTTGCCTTTAGCCATGGTGAGAAACGATGATGCTGCGTTGCCCAGGCGTTTCAAAGCGTCAGTTACACAGGGAATTTTCCGCTGAATCGGTCACACTATTTTGAATTCAAGTTGCACCCCGACCCCTACATTGCGCAATCAAATTGTACTGTATGTTTGTATGATTCATACACTATTTAAAGTGTATCCAACACCGATTTGCGCAATCACCTTTTGCTACAGCGAGCTTTGTCCACATTTCCATTTTTTCATTGCCATGCCCAACACTACTTCGGCCAACATGGCGGCGACGAAGAAGCGTCCGATGACGCTGCCAGAGAAGATCCTCACGCACTCTGCCGTGGGCTTGAAGCACCCATTCGTCGAACCGGGACAGATGATCTGTGTCAAGACTCAGTGGACGCTCGCGTGTGAAATCACATGGAAATCCATGGACAAGACGTACTCGGTAATTCTCAACCCTGCTTTTCTTCGTCACGGGGTTCCCATATTCTCACAATGCATAACTAGGACATGGGACGACCGCGCATTTGGCGCAACGATCGCTTCTGGCTTGCCGTCGACCATACCGTCGACCCGCGCGTGAACCACTTGCCGCGCCAACAAATGATGATCCAAGCGTCCACGGATTTCGCGGCCGAAGCCAAGTTGACGAACTTCCAGAAACCAAACACGACGATTTTGCACACCGAATTCTACCGCCAACGCGCGCAGCCGGGCCAAGTGGTCGTGGGGGCCGACAGTCACTCATGCTCCACTGGTGGATTGGGCGCGTTTGCCATCGGGCTGGGCGCCGCGGACGTCGTGATGCCGCTGGTGACGGGGGAAACATGGATTCAAGTGCCGGAAACCGTGAAAATCGAGTTTGTCAACGCTCCGCCGTTCGGGTTGGGCGGCAAGGACATCATGTTGTACACGCTGGGTCAGCTCAAGTGCAACACCGTCGCCATCGGCCGCTGCGTCGAGTGGTCGGGCAATATTGCGCCGCTGTCGTGCGACGCCCGCTTTGCCATTGCGAACATGACTGCAGAATTCGGCGGCATTGCCGGCATCTTTCCCGCGGACGAGCGCACCCAAGCGTACATTGCCGGCCGCGACTCGCACAACCAAGACGCGCTCTACTTCCGAGCCGATCCCGACGCCACCTACGCCGACGTGTTTCAGATCGACTTGGCGAATTTGGAGCCGCAGATCGCGCTGTTTCCGTCCCCGGACAACGTCCAGCCAGTCAGCGCCGTCTTGGACACTCCGCTCCACGGTTGCTTCATCGGCGCGTGCACCACCGCCGAAGAGGACCTGATTTTGGGCGCGCTGGTGCTGGAGCAGTGCTTGAAGCAGGGGCTGACCCCCGTGGCCCACGGCGAGCGCCGCGTGACGCCTGGCAGCCAGGTGATCATCGACCACTTGCGCGCCGAGGGCCTGCTGGCGTTTTATGAGCAGGCGGGCTTCACGGTGGGCGCCCCCGGCTGCAGCTTTTGCCTCGGGATTGCCGCGGACGTGGCCAAGGAGGGCCACGTGTGGCTCACGAGTCAGAACCGGAACTACCGCAACCGCATGGGCAAAGGCAGCATCGGCCACCTCGCGTCCGCGGTGACAGTGGCCGCGTCCAGCTTTGGCATGGCGATCGCAGATCCCACTCCGTTCCTCAAGCTCATCACTCCTGAAAGATTGCAGTCGTACCTGCCAGCAAACATCAGTTTGCCGCCGCTGGTCGTGGCCGTCCCGGCGCCGGAATTGCCGGAACCAGCAGTCAAATCGACCGGGGAGGCGGCGGCGGCTTCGTCCCCCGAACACGCCGCGGGGGTGCTGGAAGGTCGCGCCCAAGTGTTTGGCGACAACATCGACACGGACGCGATCTTGCCTGGCGAGTACTTGTGCGAGAACGACGTCCAAGCACTTGGCAAAGTGGCGTTTCTGCACACAAACCCCGACTTTCGGTATATATATATATATATTATTGAAAACGGTTTGTAAATTGGTATATGTCGTAGGGACAAAGTGGCTCAAGGGCAGTCGATCGTCGTGGCCGGTCACGGGTTTGGCTGCGGGTCATCGCGGGAGCAGGCGGTGACCTGTCTCAAGGGCGCCGGGGTCAAAGCTGTGATCGCCAAGTCATTTGGGTACATTTTCTCTCGCAACGTGCAAATGTTTGCTTTGGTCGGCATCGTCATCACGGACGACACGTTCTACCAACTGGCCCAGCCCAACGTGCCGATTCGCATCGAGATGCGCGGGCGCACGATCCACGTTGAGGGTCAAGTGTTTCGGTTTCAAATGTCCCTCTTTGAAGAAAAGCTGCTCAACGGCGGCGGCATCATCCCGCTGTACAAAAAGTTTGGCAACCGCCTCTTTCGTGTGGCTGTGGAGGACGCCGAGGCGGACGACGGGGCGGCTTCGTGCGCGACAGCGTCGACGGACTGCGGGTCGGCCGGCAAGGCTGTGGATGTGGCGTGGTAGTTAGTAGTGCTACGAGTTGTGTGCACACACTTATAATATATTATGGGAAATGTGAGTGACTACTAGTATTCTTTGACACGAACGGTTACATGCAAACTCCCCCTGAATGAAGAAAAAAGTCAATTTCGTATGACTGTCTCAACTATTGCTAGAGATAGGGTCCACGGAACAGTTTACTGTAGTTGGCGAGGCCTGGACTACTACTAGCGAGTTGATTTACTTTGAGGTATGTTGGCTCCCTCTGGATTTACTCGGCCTTTTTCGACGGGGAAGTGCGTCGTCCGGCAGGATGTAGGGACTGGTCCAACGCTTTCTTTTCCGCGGCAGAGTCATGGAACCGCATGGCCGCGCAGCCCCAGACCAAGAAGAACCCGACCAAGCCCATGGGCACGAGCCATAGCAGCGACCATGGGGACTCGCGCACCATGTACCTGTAGATCTTGATAAAGTAGTTGCCTTGGGCGATCGCAGGCTCCTTTCCGGCGAGCACATTGGTCAAGAACGCCGCTATAGCGTCGACGTCGTCGGTAGGACGGCCTTCGTAATTGTAAAACACTTGGTCCTACCAGGGTTAGTCGATTATATCAAAGTTCGATTGACACTAGTGATGTGCTTGCTTACTTGCATGTTCCACACAAACAGCGTCGGCGCTTGCTCGGGGTAGACAAAGAACTTGGTGAGGTAGTGCTCATACCGTTCCGAGTTGAGCCATCCAAAGGCGAAGTGGTCCTGGTGGGCGCGAGACAGCGGCGACGTCGTGTACGATGCCAGCGACTGCATGGTCGATTCAAACCCAGGGTGCTTCTCAGGCACGTAGCACCCGATCACGAGGATGCGAAACCACCCAATGTGTTTAACGTTGGACGCTTCGAACGCCGCGTAGCTTGGGTATCGATTCTTCTCCACCCACTGCCATATACGATCAGCAATGGAACTAAGAAATTGTACAGTCGAAGACGAACCGAGGGGAAGGGCAGGTCGCCGTCGTAGTAGAACGGCTCGTCTTGATTGGCATCAACGCGGGCAATGAATGGAGCAGGTCTAACTTCAGACTTAGTAAGCAACCAAGGAACGGGTGTAGGTACCTGGCGAACTTGGACAAGATCGCGGGCTCGTTGCTTGATACAAAGACCTGCTCACACACACATGTGTTAGTCATGAATCTATGGCCCTCAAAGCGGAAGGACGTACGTGGTGCTTATGGAACTGCGACGCTTCCCGATGGAACTTGGCCACGAGGTCCGACGGCGGTGCGTTGTCTTCGTGCTAGCATGGCGCATGTGGTTTCTTTGCGCAACATACAGACTCGAAAGACTGACTGATCGAATATATGCACCTGGAAGCCCAAGAACAGCATCGAGCCATCCACCGACAAGAACCGCTGCCAATCTGCTTTCGTGCTCACAGTGCTCACGACGTCGGCCGACAACCGCTTGCCAAACTTGACGAGCGAGGACACGGTGCGGTCCCCAGGGTACGATTTGAGCTCGACTTGGTTCAGCCGCGAGTTCCATCGACCGTACATGAGAGTGGGGTAGCGCACGATTTCGTATCGTGCTTGCAGGGCCGGATTCGCGTCCACGTTCACCTTTGCTGCTCAATGATCTTTGGATGAGGCCGAGTACATGGTGATGCCACGTACCCACGCGAAGGAAGCCACTGGCTTCTACTGCCGCTTCCTCCAAGAGAGGCTCCAGCTGAATACATGACGAGCACCATGGCTATCATCACAAGACAGTCAAATCGATATGTCGAGCTAGCCGTGGTTGTAGGCTTACAGCGTAAAAGTCAATCAGCCAGACAGAATTGGATTCCTGGATTGTGGAAGAGAACGAATCATCGCCAAGATTCTCAATGGCATCGCTGGATGCCTGCGCTCGAAAGAGGACGCACGCCGTGGCCAGAAGCCACACTAGCACCGCCATGTTGACGTACTACGATTTTGAACTTTTGACATACTTTTATTCAATATTAATAGTCGTAAGAATACAGAGTTACAAGTACTATTATAATTAGATTTATTTATTTATTTATTGGTACCCTGAAATAAAAATAACTGTTTGCCCATACTTAAACAGCTTAAAACAAGCGGTCCAATTTAAGGTGCACCATTTTCAGCTTAGTCTTTGTATATATATCAATTTGCATACTAGTATTTTTTGGGCGGTTAGGTTAAAAACTGCCTTTGTAGGAATTGATTGGCTAACTCGCGTGCACCTTAAATTGGATTGAGCACATCGAGCACCTTAAATTGGACTATTACGTTAACACAGCAATTATACGTAACTGCAATTCTTGCGTTAACGTAAAAGTCCAATTTAAGAACACTTTTTCCGAGACGCTGCCGTGGAAGGAATGTAACTCGACTCGTAGGCATCGGATTATAATTCTACAATATGTTACATAAACGCAAAATCCAGGCCTATTTGGGAGTTATGAATGCGATATTATTTCTGTTATAATTCATTATCATTCACTCCACGTTCGCGTTATTCCTCTGGGAGTACTTGTTTGTTGCTTTTTCATTGGACGTATTCTGAAACTGTCAAGTTGATGCCAGGTCGCCGCGACAGCAGCCATGGGACTGTTCAAAGGATGCAGGTCACCACGTAAAGTAGCCTTGCAAGTTCACGCTGACGATCCACATGCGCCACCGGCTACGTCGGGCAGCACTGTCCTGCGTGATGCGGCGGACACGTCGGTGACCAAGAAACTCGTCAACGATATGGATTTGTTTGGCGAAGACAGCGACGCCAGTGACGACGACGCGGCCATTGAACGATACGACCGAGACGATGTGTCCGAAGATGACGAGGTGTACAAATCGCGCAACGTCGACGCGTTATTGTCCAAAGTACGTGAGAATAGGATGCTCACTTGGACTAATCCGTCCTCTGATGACACGTTTGTAGATGACACCCGAAGAAATGTTCGTCAAGTTTGACGAAGATCATTCCGGCATGATTTCCACCGACGAGTTTCTGAAAATGGTACCATCCCGGTCAAGACAAAATGATGTTAAGTGCTGTGATTTGCATGTGGTAGCTGCCCCAACTCGGCATCAAATTAAGCGATGCCAAGGCCATTCGCATCTTCGACACGTGCGACAAAGATGGCAGCGGTGAAATCGACATGGAAGAGTTCAAGATGGCCATGTTTATGGTGGACCCGACGACGGGCAACTCGCTCGGGTAGAATCGACCACTTTCCAAATGATATTTTACTGCAGTCCTGGTGGTATCAGGTTCTCGCCGTCGTCACTCCTAACCCCCAAAGACGCATTCCACTTGTTTGATTCGAACGGGTCGGGGCAGCTGGACGAGCTTGAATTCGCCGACGCCCTCGAGTACTTTGGCTTTAGCGTCACGGACGCCAAGCAAGAGCGGTTGTTTCTCAAGTATGACACAGACAAAAGCGGGTTTATAGAGGTACGACGACCGAACGTTCGTCTTAAAGTGCAATTTGCACTTCAATTCGCCCGCGGTAGTACTCGGAATTTCGAGCCATGTGGCTGCAGTGCGCCAATATCAAGCACGAACTGGTGTCACGAGGCGTGGACGTGCCGAAATACGCCACGCGGAAAACGCACATGCAAATTCTGGAGAAAGCTCTGGATGAAGAAGAGCGGCGCGAAGATGAAGCAATGGACGAAGCCAAGTGGTTCCACGAGTGGCAGCTCGAAAAGATCCGCCGACGCACGTTGGCCGCCAAGGCCGCGTTGCGCGCGCAAGATGAACTGGCGGCGGCGTTGGATGCCGCTGGACAAGTGTACGTCCTTGGCTCCGGGCAACATGGTAACCATTACGAGAAAACATTTGCATCCAAGTGGTAGTACCTGCCAACGAAAGTCATTTCACAGGACAATTCAATGGCGACCCAGCTGCAAGGGATGCACTCGTGTACGATGGCTACACGCACGTGAGCGAAATCTGGTACTTGTACCTCAAACAGCAACTACTACTACGACATGTATTCAACAATGGGATCTCGGTAGGCAGTCGCGCGTGCTGCCGACGTATGTGCCTCCGGATTTAAAGCTGAAGACGTCAACCATCCATCCTCCCTCATCCCTTTCGTCACATGAGCAACCACAACGACTTGTCACGCCCGACTACATTCAGAAACGAAAGGAAAAATTGGCCGAGGCCAAGTCCGCAGCAGCGGCTGCCGCCGCCCCTGCCGTTCCAACGGTCGAGCAAAACAAACTACCAATGATGAGAAGGCGGCCGGAAAACGTCACGTATGACGAGAATCGTGTGAGTCCCCCCAAGCTGATCCGGGCGGCGTGGCACGCCAAGCAAACGACGGATGACAGAGGCGGGTCGACCTCGAGGACCGAAGACGACGAGAACAAGGACGACGACGCTGAAGAGTCGGAACTGGAGCTCCTGAACCAGAAGTTCCTGGACGATCGAGCGTTTATTCGGAGCTTGCGCTTCAAGGACATCCACCCGATGACCAACACTGGCTGGTTGTGGGGGCGTCAAGTCGTGCAGGTGGCTTGGCTTACAAACATTGCATCGGCATATTGAGCACTTGTATCCTAGGCGGCGATATCAGACAATGTTGCGTACGCTGTGACGGCATCCGGTCAAATCTATTGTTGGGGTCCGATGCATTGCTACCACCACTGGGAAGGCGTGGGCAAAACAAATGTCATGTATAGGAGGTCAAAACAAGTGGTGGAAAGGCATTGAAGCCGACGACGACGACGACGCAACGACAGTCGTCGACGAGAGCGAAGCCACGCGCAAGGAAGTGGAGCGCATGCGGATGCTCACGAGCCGATCCGAGTTGATTAAGATGGCGGCGCCGAGATTTGTACGACCACAACGTTTCGTGTTGTTTTGATGGAAAAGTATAAGGTGGCCGAGGCCGTGGCAGTGGAAGTCGAAGCTCAAACCAAGAAACTCGAGGACAAGCGGGTACGAGAGCTCGCAGAAGACGCGCAGTATGAAAAGTACGTCTTAGTCGTGTAGTGTTCCACGGGAAGTAAGACTCGAGTAGGCACAAACGGGTGGTGCTGTACTACGACAAGTGGGACCCGCCACCGAGTTACTCGACCCGCATCATCTACATGCACCAAGTGTTGCTACCGAAACTCGACCACAAGAACCTCCACAGCTCCATTACTGTACGACAGCAACATGCGACGAATGAAAACTAAGGATAACGTCATTGGGAAGGCTCGGGGGGTTGTGTGTGAGAGGGCAACCAAGCAAGAGCTGGTCGATCTCATGGGCGACTTGTTACTCATTGAAGCAGACATGTGCACAGAGGAAGCCCAACGCGGGATTAAGCAAATGGACTTCTTCATTCAAGCAAGAAACAAACATGAGCGATGCAATAGCCTCAAATAATTCTACGTAGGACACGAACGAGTTGCGCGCCAAGAAGAAGACGAAATCATTTGAAGAGGTGTCATTAATTCGCTCTTCTATCACACCCCACAACTAACATGAGTCGAGTTGTAGATCCCCGAAAAGGCTATTCTGTTGGACTCTGTACGAAGCAAACCATATCAATGTGATATTTAGCTTCATATATACGCCGCGCGTGTAGTACCTGCCTCTGAAACGGGAGCTCGAGCGACGAGAAGCTGCAAGAAAGGCCCAAGCGATCGAGAACAAGCTAAACGAAGCGCGATTGAAGGTGCAGAGAGGTGCTGATCATGTCTGTCTGGTCTTAACGCTGTGCAGGAGGACACATTCGAGGCATGCGTGGCGCGTAAACGAGTGCAACTGGAAGACATGTGCCCCGAATACACCCCCCGAAGTACTTCCACAGTCATCGACTTGAACGGCGTCACATCCAGGTCACTTCTGGAACCGACAACGTGCTCGGATGTACATATACATACTGACATTGTGTTTCTTCTTGTAGGGGCCCCCCGCTGCATCCCCCTCGAGGCTCTTCCGTACTCGTGTCCATTCTAATTGACCATATTTCGTCACCATAGATGCACTAGGCGGTGTGGAAAATCGCCGCGGGGGAATCCTACGCGTGCGCAGTGTCCCAAAACGGGTAGCCAACGCACTCTAAACCCACCTATCCAGAGATGGGGGATGTGTACAAACGAACGTCAATTCTGTCGTAGGTCGTTGTACTCGTGGGGCGTGGGCATCAGCGGTCGCTTGGGCCATGGCAAGTCCCTCGAAGGAATCATCAACGCGGACGCCGACCACCCCAGCCGAGTGATGGCCCTCCAGGTTATAGCAGTCTGATGACAATGACAGTGTGAAGCTTCACTGGTTCTCCTCAGTCGGTGTTCGTGAAAGACGTGGCGTGTGCGTTCGACCACAGCGCCGCCGTCAGTGTCGACGGACACGTGTACTCGTGGGGCTCGGCGTCCACGGGCAAATTGGGTGTGGGGCTGTTGGATGACTCGTATGAGCAGTTCGCCATGTACCCCATGCTAGTGCCCTTCCCGAACCGCAAGCGCTTTCGGTAAGCCATTTTGCTGAAGCTCTGTTGAAATGCATGGGGGGCGGCGGTAGACAAGTGTCGTGTGGGCGGGCGCACACGGGCGCAGTGAGCACGGACGGGGACCTGTACATGTGGGGCTGTGCCAATGGCGGGCGCCTGGGGCTCGGCGAGCGAGTGCAAGACATGGTCGTGGTGCCAACGCTCGTAGTGTCGTTGGCTCGGGTATTGGTCGCCCAGGTAGGTACCCCACTTGCTGTCATCCATTCATTTGGGTTTACTAAACACGACTATAGGTTTCGTGTGGGAATTCGCATTCTGCGTTGACCACTGAGATTCGGGTGGACGTGGACGGCAATGTGGAAACAATCTCGGGTTTGAATCAATAGTATCTGCACTTAGTAGGTGATCATGTTGGTGTGCAGGGGGTGATGTATATGTGTGTGGAAGCTCCGGACCGTTGATGCACTTCACCCCCACGTGGTCGATCGTGTCCAAGCTACGCGGCACCCCCGTGCGAGACGTGTGCTGTGGCTTCGGGCACACGGCCGCCGTGACTCTGTCGGGGGAGCTCTACACGTGGGGTCAAAACACGAACGAGTGCACGGGGCATGCTGCCGACGTAAGTTGACCTTGTGTCGACCATCTTAGGTATATGACATGCGTCTGCGGTAGAGGAGAGTGATTGAAGCGCCGGAATTGCTGCGGGCGTTCCATGTGGCCCCGTACAACTTGGCGGTGGGGAAGCGTGCCCGACAGAGCAGCGTGTACAACCAACAAGACGCAGACCTCGCCGTCGACGGCAATCGCAGCGGCACCCTGCACACGTGCATGCATACCCAGGTACAAAAAAGATTCCCTGCTTTGGTGACTCAACTCTGGTTCTAGTACGACGACCATCCGTGGTGGGAGGTGGACTTGGGGCAAGCGTCTGTTTTGGAACGCATCAAGGTATATTTATATATAAATATATTTCACCATGTCAACGGGCTAGCATTTTTGGTTGGGATGGCATGAGGCTGATGGAGGATGGCGGCGGGTAGGTGTGGAATCGAACGGATCAGCCGGTGGACACATCCCGACGGCGCGACGAATTCACGAGTCGTCTGTTTCCGTTTTGGATTCTCGTGAGCGAAGTCCCTTTCGACGACTCTGTGGGCAGTGCCAGGTACTATAATATACGACCTATTTGGTGTTAGTTGTTGGGGATTTGACAACTTGCGTAGCCTCAAAGCTGGCCGCGCCCAGAGCAATGCCAGTGCGCAATTCGCAGACAACCACCGACTCACAGAGTGGGTCTTGCCGTCTACGGGCACGGTTGGCAGGTGTGTGTGTGTCGTTATGACGTTTCACGTATCTGGTTGCCCTCGTCCTTCTCAAAGCAGCATACCAAATGTAGGTACATTCGCATCCAAGTCAAGGGAAAGCGCTATTTGCACTTGGCTCAAGTACGACATGCAATATGCCAGTCGAAGGTGCATCCCCTAACCTTGGAAGACAACAGGTCGACGTATTTGGGGTGTACAACGCGTTCAACTACGTTGGCCACGTGTCGACCGTGCAATGCGCCAAGAACGTCACTCTGGTGGTCATGCGGCCCCTGCCGAGTGCCACGTCCGTCCCACTTCATCGCTGATGAATTGTCCTCATTTCGTTTCTAAGGTCTACCCACGACCACTACCTCAAAGCCATACAAGCCGACCCCGATAACGCCACGATCCTTCGCCAGTACGACGCGTACGCCAAGTGCTTTCAACTGTACGTCTCAACTATACCAACAGCCCTAACATAACGACGTTGTTTGTTGCCTAGCTACGGACGGGGGGAAGCGCTGACGCATGAGAAGTGCCGCCTCTGCCGCGCCATTCGGCAGTGCGAAGTGTGTGAATTCTACACGAGCACCCCGTCTTCGGACTTGCCACTCACGACGCTGGGGGAAAAGTTGGGCTTGGCCGTACGTAGCTCTCTTTTCTTTCCATTGTGATGATGGCATGGTCTCTTGCAGGAAGCCACCGACGTGATCCTTAGTCGCGAACCCCCGCGCCTGACGTTTGACAAGCGCGCGTCCACCCCGGCGGTCGTATCCGAGTCCATCGTGCGTCAAGTTCCAATCTGAGTATTCACTCAAATTACTCTGGTAGACGCACAAGTTCGCCAAAGTGTTCACCTTGTCGCCCAAGAAACTGGGGCTGCCGTTCAAGCTATCACCGTCTAAGAAGGACCCTCCCCGTTCGTAAACACATTGGATTGTGCGAACAAACCCCCAGTTGTCGTTAATTTAGTTTCAGAATTTTTGATCCACATGCTGATGTTCTACAGTCGTTAGCCTACGGGCTCACTCACCACGAGTGAGGATATGGTTGCCGCGGCCAGTTTTGAAGCACTTTGGGCTGGACTCAACGATGCGGTCGCTTGGTTGGTCGTGTCGTCGTTGTCTAAGACAATCGTGTCCTTCAGCACCACCACAACGGGGTGCTTGGATCCTTCTGGAGGGGTCGCCCCCCCTCCACTCTTTACAAACGACGAGCGTGGAGACGGATTCTGAGACGAGTGCGAAGCTGTGGGCTTGGGTGCAGAGGGAACTTCTTGTGGGGAGCTGACTCCTGCCTTTACATGCGGTGTGTGGTCGTCCGTGGCCTTGTCAGGACTAGCCAACGTCGGCAACGAGATGCGCTCATGCTTTTGCATCCCTTGACCCAATTTACTAGATCCAAATCCCCATCATATATCATTTTTTCGACAAAGGCAAGGTCGTAATTTGTACACGTACTTGGCCATGACCAGAGCCTTGATCTTTTGATGCAATCGCTCGTACAAATGAATGGGCGAAATCGCCGAGATCATGCTCTCCGGGGTCAGCGAAATCGGCTCCATAGTGACTACACTCGCAACCCGATTAAACATCGCTTGGGTCCATTTGTGGGCCTGCACAAAATGGACATTCCAATGAGATCTTTAGGAGGCGACAATGGCTTCTTTCAGTACCCGAATTCCACTGGTGGTCAGCCGTGTGTCGGGGTCTCGATGCAGGATCTACAGAATCAGTAGCATGTTACGTTTTGACGTAAATGCGAGGCACTTACGCCTTTTAACAGGTCGATCAAATCGGCGTCCACTAGGCGACCGTTAACGTCCGTGGGGTAGGCCACGGGATGGCTCTACTCCAACTGTTCGGTGGCAACGAAAATCAAAAACGCGCAGACTCACCTTGATTTTGTCATACAAGTCGGGGAGGCTGTCAGCTTGGAACGGTAAGTGCCCGTACACAAACATATACAAGGTCACGCCACAAGCCCAAATGTCCACGGGCTACGACGACCAATCGTTAATTGGTGGGGTGTTTCGTACTAACGTTCGTGCATATGGAGAGACTTACCCTTCCTTTGAACTTGCCACCAGTGAGCATTTCCGGCGCTAGTCGCAGTTTATTCATCCTGAAGGAATTGAATGGCGTACGTACCAAGGAACGGTCCGGTGCCGACGGTCTGTCGGAAGTCGTCGTTTTCGTCCTCAAACACATGCGACATGCCAAAGTCGGTGATCTTGAGCACGCCGTCGCTTCCGCAGAGCAAGTTGCTGGGCTTGACGTCTCGGTGGATGATTTTGTGAAAGTGCAAAAAGTCGATGCCTTCAATCTACACAACCCCCAAACGTGGTGAACGTCCACATGGACAGGGATCATATGTCGCCCTCACGAGTTGGCAAAAGAAGCGTTTCGCTTGCTCTTCCTCGAGAGGTGTACAAGTTCTACAGCAATTTGTCAAGCGCCATGTGACCACGTTATGAATACGAACGTCTCGCCGTCGACCACACAACCCCCTTCAATCAATTCGCTGACCATGTACATCTTTTCGCTTTCTACCACGAAGCAATTGAGACTTGTTGGTTTAGTGTGAATTGGCTCGTACGCGGGGCGTCGATGACTTCTTTGAGTTTGACAATGTTTGGGTGGACAAGTTGTTTCCAAATGGCAAACTCCTTGCGAATGGTTTCAAGCCCGTCGCCCCCTGGCCCCCTCTTCGATCGCGACAACCGGCGCACGTGCTACACCCAGATACACTATGAGAACTCAACTGTGGTTTCGTTGTGTGGGGCCCCACCTTTTTGTTGATGATCTTGACCGCGTAGTACTTTTCACGCTCGGGCCAGTACGCTTTTCGGACCTTGCCAAACGCTCCTTGCCCAATGACGTCGTAGAGGATGCTACCATGCAAGAGGCATCAAAGTCAAGTCAATTCGAAGTAGGCATCGTCGTACTATTGATTCAGGCGCTTGTGGCCAGCTTCGTCGTGCTTCTTGTTCACGGTGGACGTCTCAAAGAACGACGAGTGGCGGAAATTCGGGGCTTCTTTCAACGACTTGAGCATGGGCATGATGGGTTTGGTGATCGTGATGTTGGCAAACGTCTTCATGTGCGTGAGCGAGTCCCGCCGGCCGTGGGAGGTGGCGGCCTTGAGCGGGGCGTGCACGTCATCGCCTGCCTCCTCGTCGTGGGGATTCTTGGCGGACGGGGGATTTGGAGTCAATGGCTTGAGAGGAGCTTCGTCGGTCATGACGCCTCGTTTTAAGCAACACAAGCAGACAAGTGTTTGGGCTATTAATATCGTTCCTAGCACTTGAAAACGGATGATCGTTTTGATGTCTTTCGGGCATGGCACATGTTGGTCCTACACACTTGCAATTCCGGAAACGGTTGTGCGAGTACGCCGACAAAATTGAGAGCATCGGCAGCAGCAAACGGGAGGGATCTGTGGAACGGGATGTGAGTCGGTGGTGGCGTTCGTAATGTGATATGGTTGCCCAGCATCGGGGTGTAACAAGTAAGGACCCGACAAAGTGCGACGAGTTTGGTGCCACTGCGAAGCACGGCTGCGACTATCGACATTTAGACACACATTGATATACAATACGAATTGCCTGTGAAGTCGATGCTGAAGTAATACTAGTACTAGTACTGTACGACACCTTACAATATGGTGGTGCTCGTCGACCGACAGAACTGCAGGATCGACGGACGATATACATTGAACCACACATTGAACATCGCGGCCTTTATCGAATGGCAAGTTGCTCATCATGGGGACTGCAACCAACCCAAAAACTAACGTTACTGGCGACGTTGAAGTGACCTGCTGCAGCCCTAAAAATAGATATTTCCCCTTCCCCTCCAAAGTGTGTGTTGACTGTGAACTGAACGCCAAGGTTGTTCCTGGTAAAGCTATTGCTTTACCCATGACAACAATTGCAGTGAATTTATGGTATTAGTAGTGAGTTGGCTAACAATTGCCCGAGATAACATGACGATGTTTTCATAGGAAGCGACTGTGCGTTGATGTGTTTATTCACGGTAGTGAAATGGCGTCTTGATGTATTTCCGTTTACGTCCACATGACGACACAATGCGGAAACGATTGCTTGATGATGCTAGCATACATCGCGGTGGTGGCCAAATCGGCGCACGCCCCAATGACCAACCTCTCGAGCGCCACTTCACTTTGTCGACTCGCCAGCGTGGTAAACGACGTTTCGTGCAGCAAGTTGCACGCCTTCACGTTGATATGCGTCAGTCGGAGGCAGTTCTGGACTAGGGTGCAGAACCCTCGGTCAGAGATGTTGTAGCAAAACTCGAGCGACAGCGACTTCAAGTCGCGGCAGTGCGACGCCAACGCCGTCAACGCAACGTCCGTAACGTGGACGCACCCTTGAAGGGACACGCTCTCGAGTCGCGGGCACCCCGCAGCGATGATGGCCACCTCCGTGTCGGTCACAGTTCGACACATTGAAAGGTTGAGGGACACGAGCCCATCACAAACAGCGACACGGTGCAGCGAAGTGGGTAGCAAGTGAATCAGTCCGGTCAGGTCGAGATAACGGAGGGTTTTGCTGTGCCGTTGCAGAAATTGACTGAAACCACCCAGCTGTTCGTGTGGTGGTGGGACGTCGTCGATGGACGCACATCCCATCAAGTTGACATGTGTCAGACTTGACGGCGATCCGGACATTGGGGCAATGTGTAGCGCATGGTGGAGCTTGGGGCAGTTTGCCACAGACAAGTACGTGAGGTTGTGCTGTCTGTGCAATAGGTGGGCCACCGACACGTCAGAGATCTAATTGTACATGTGAATGAAACATGCCAGCATAGTTCGGTTGGTACTTTGAGGCATTTGTTCATGGTCACCGACTTGAGTGTGGGCGCATGGAGCGCCATCGCATGCAATCCGTGGTCGGTCATGCGGATGCACATGGACGCATCCAGCACTTGCAACTTGGGGCAACTCATTGCGATGGCCACGAGGCCGTCGTCACCGATTCGTGAGCACCCTGCCACGTCGAGTTCCACCAGTTCTGTACAGGCCACAGCAATTTGCACCAGAACTAGAAACATATTGAGCAAACAGTGGCACAACGGTTTTCGGTGTGTGTATGATGGAAGGCTCCAATGCACGTACCGTCGTCCGTGAGTTTAATGCAGTTCAGATGCAGCGTGTGCAAGTGACGGCAGAGCGTGACAAGCTGCAACTCCGGAACGTCCGCTTGCTTGCTTTCGATGTCGATTCGCCGGAACTGAAGGGGTCCTACGCCACAGAGCAGCCGCGCTAGTGTTGGCTTGATCACGCGAGGTCCGTACAGTCGAATGGACGACACTTGGACGCGGGTCGAGGCGGCCACAAGTAAACTGTGGTCGTCGCCTTTCAGCGGCAACAACAGCATGCGAATCTATCGTCAAGGCGTTCTTATTACAAGGCAAGACATCACTAGAAATCGTGGGTACCGCTTGCTCGAGTTGGTCTTCTCCGCGGCACCATGTCTATCCCGTTGTTGTGAGCAAATCTCTCGAACGACTTTGATAGATTCGCAATGTATCGTCGTACCAAATCCAAGTGGCTGTGGGCCTTCACCGATGCCAACGCGGCAACGCGCCACGCCCGCGACACTAGCGCGAGGTGCTGCCAGCGATCCTTCACATCTACAAAGCCAAAGCACGCGCTGTACCACACGTCCAGCGGCACCACCGCCGCCTTGTGGCATTCCATGGTCGAACGCAATTCACGTGACCTTTCACAAATTCGAACTTCAAACGGATAGATTTGGACATTTCAACGCCAGAAGTATAATAATATATCACATTTATTCCGTGGAATATTTCGAACAAAATCTAAGAAATGTACGAGTATACTAGTACTACTACAGTATTACTACTCTGGTCCATAATAGTTGTTGGGTACTTTTTGACTTGATCAAAGTATATTGTGACACCACGGGAGAACTTGATATTTGTATGCAAGTCCAAAAACTCATACTTGGGACCAAAAATACTAGTACTATTTTAATAGTACTAGTATTTTTGGTCCCAAGTATGAGTAATTTTATATGTACTATTACTATTAAAATAGTAATAGTACATATAAAATTGGTCCAAGGGGAGTTAATATTTAATAGTAATAGGGTACGTTAACGCTACTTGGAGTGCTAATCACAACCGCAATAAACGAGCGAACACATGATTTTATCCTTGGCTTAAATGTCCTTGTAGTTTCCACCGGGAGCAGGTGGCGCGACAGACGCGACAAACGGAAGGGGAGGAGGGGGCACCACCGCCGCGGAAGCCGCCGCCGCATCGGGGACGGGGAAAAGCGGCGCCGCGATGTCCCCCGATTGTCTCGTGGGGCTCTTCAACCGCTTCTCGTCTTCGACTTTGATCTGGGTCTTGACTTCGTCCACGGCGTGCGACGCCAAGGTCATCACGGACGAGAACATGCTCCCGAGCTTCTTGACGCCCGTCGACACGACGGGGTTGGCCATCGCCGACTTGGCCGTCCCGATCGCAAAGTTTGTGGCTTTGGTCGCCTTTTCCGACACGTGGTACTTCTCGTCCACTAACGGCATCGCAGATTCGTCATCGTACGAGTATTATATCATGGAGGGGTGGGGTCATTGATTACCTTCAGAGATCTTTTCCGAAACTTTGAACTGCGAGTCGAGTTCTTTGGCCTTCAACTTGGCGACTTCAGCCGCGCTTTTGACAGACAACGAGATCTTGTGGTGTTCTACGCCGCTTTGGACATTGAGATGCATAGGAACACCAACGTTACGGTACCGTCGAAGCCCTTGGCCGAAGAAATGCCACCGGCAAACACTTTTGCGATGGACTTGACAGCTAGGCGCACACATTGGACGACGAAGACATTGCATATACGAGTATGTACCAGCCCCAGATCGAGAAGGGTGGGGGGCATCTGCAGACAAGGTATTGGCAGCCACCACAGTGATGACGCCATTCAACAAGGTCGCGCCTGAATGATGCAACGAAATGCTCGCGGCTTCGGGGGACGCAAACACGATGACAGCGTGCTGGTACACATTGTCTCCATCCCTAGGATAATGTGGGAGCCGATTTACACAACATACTTGTAATGATGATACTCTTGCAAGATGAGGCGTTTGATCGGTCCGCTCTTGGTAAAGAGAGCAGCGACAGCATGTTCAGTGGCAATCTACGATGCGGTTTGTTAAACGAGCATTGCTTCGAGGGGTCATCTGTACCTTGTCCGCAATAGGAATGTTCGTGACGATGATGGTGCTGGACATTTCGTCAGAAGTCACAGATTCTGCATCCTCATGATGACCCAAAGAAGGCGACCTACACAACGCAACAACGTCATGGGGATACAGGCACGGGTCGGATCGTTCGTACGCTTGCAAGAACACGGTAGATCCATCATCAATCCCAGCTGCCGCCAGTGCGCCAGTCGTAATTTCTCGTCCCTCTATCGCCATGGAAACACAAGAGGAATTCCCACAAAGATCGCGTTGTTGGGAAAGTCTTACCTGGGAACTCGAGCTTCACGTCTGCCAAGTTGATCGAGGGACGTACGGCAGCGATAGCTTGAACGAGGGCTTCCACGGTCGCTTCACGCGGTACCTCGACCACGTAGCGCTCCTTGGCAAGCTCTTGGACCGTGATGAACATCTCAATGAAGTTTGAGAAGAGACTTTGTGATTGATGGAATTGAAATCAAATCAAGTAGGGCTAACTTGGTATACTAAAATCAAATATGGAACAGAGTAGTAGTACTATAATATAATAGTAATTAAATTGAACACGTTATAACATATGGTTCACGGATTACAAAAACTAGTAATACTAAAACAAATTCGTAGTATGTAGTAGGTACTAATATTAATAGTATTGATATTATGAAGTTTAACGTACAGTACTTGATTGTTAACTTATCAACCAACGGAAACCGGATAAGTGTATCCGGATATACTTTCACACAACATTATTGTTTGCTTTGCGATGAACCCTCCTCCGCCGCCGCTTCCTCCTGGTGGTCCTCCTTCGATGGTACCTTTCGGCGGCGCGCCGCCAATGATTCAGCTGGGAAGCCGCCCAATGCCTCCACCCATGCAGCATCACATGATTATGCAGCCGCCCATGCCTAGATTTCGTGTTCCTCTTGAAATTGGACCATTGAATGTGTTTGTCGGGAAGCTGCCGCCCGATCTGCACGACAATTACGTTCGAAATTTGCTCGAGGTGAGTCTTGCTGTATGATGCGCCCTTGGTCGAACTCACCTGCTGGTACAATCTAGCGCGTGGGCACAGTGGTGCAATGGAAGCGCACGACGGATCCAATCTCGGGTAAGCCGAAAGCGTTTGGGTATTGCACGTACGCTACTGCATTGGACTGCATTCGCGCGCTCAAGTTGTTGAACGGGTTTTCGTTGGATTCGAAGAACATCTTGTTGAAGGTGGACACGACAACCCAGACGAAACTGGACGAGTACACGGCGCAGATGCCGCCACAGTTGCAATTTGAAGAAGACCACAAGAACGAACGTGTCGCGGCGATGCTGCAGCGCTTGTTCGAGGAGCGCAGTGGGCTGCATGGCGGGTACAACAATGACATTGCGTCCTGGGGTGATCTCATGGAGAACGTCGACTCGGGTACCTGTCCCCTTCCCTCGTTCAATTCCGTCCCCAGCAGCTTCTCATCATGTTTCAGGGGCAAAGGAAGTGGTTCGAGGTGGCATGATCATGAACGAAGTGGAAAAGTTCCGATTGGCGCAAGAAGAGCGGGCGGCTCAACTCGAAGCCAAACGCTTGGCGTTGATCCAGGAAAAGCTCCGTCGCGATAAAGAAGATGCTGAACGAGGGTAGTTCGCTCTCCTGAATCCTCCAGCGTTGCCTTGTTCGGTGCTCATCGAACTGATGTTGGTAGGGCTTCCGACAGTGCCACCAAAGGACAAGACCCGCCGACGGCGGCTGTATCCTCCTCGTCCCCCAACAAGGACGACTCTCGTCGGTCGTCACCTTCGCGCCGCAGCGACCGACGTCGCCGTAGCCGGAGTCGGAGTCGGGATAGAGAGCGCCGGTACCGCGACTCTCGTCGCCGGAGAAGCCGCAGTCGCAGCGGCGACCGAGGCAGCCGACACGCCCGGACCAGTCCGGACACATCGGCGAGAGGTTCCGAGGCGACGCGGCCGTCGGCTCCCCCTGCCCCCACGACCTCATCGTTGGCGGCGACTCCAGCGACCCACGAATCGGCAGCGACTCCCCCGCCGCTGCCCCCTCCTCGTGTCATGGCCAAGATTGAACTCAAGTTGCAAAAGAAGGACAAGGCGGATGGCAAACCTGCCACGTAAGATGCCAACATATATATCGTAGGCTCTCTTGTGATGATCATTGGGTTAGGACGTCGGCGCCGTCGGGGGTGACCGTGTTTGGTGTGGACGACGACGACACCGCCAAGCCGCAGCGAAAGTTCGTCCCGTTGGACTACACGGACGAAGAGAAGCTGGCGGCGTCCGTCGAAGCCCAGGTCGGGATGCTCCTTGTGAATGTTGTTATCCACCAATGTGGATTAGGTGGCGAGAACGGTCGCGCGCATCAACAGTCGGTCCGATGTACGTCCATATGGAGTGTATCGATGGATGGATGGAGATTCAGGGGACATTTTTGTAGGGCGTGGAAGGCATCATTCGAAGCATCCCCACCGACAAGAAGGGATTGTTTCGGTTTCCTGTGGACTGGACGGCTGTGGACAAGGTATGATGGCACAACCGTCGAGAGGATAGAGAGATATATGTGTGTAGTTGAAACTCGTGGAACTCAAGATGAAGCCATGGGTCAACAAGAAGATCGTCGAGTACTTGGGCGAAGAAGAAGAGTCGTTGATTGGGTTTGTACTGCGCCAGCTGAACCAACACACGGCCGCGCAGGCCATCGTGGACGAATTGGTGCCCGTGCTCGAGCATGACGCCGAGATCTTTGTCGTGACCATGTGGCGCAAGTTGATCTTTGAAATGCTTCGGGCCGCGGCCGGCAACTGACAAAGTAAGACTGAGAACAAGCGCATGTCTCTTTATGCTCGAATATGAAAGGGGGTGTTTCTTGTGCACAAACCAACGTGGGAGTGAGTTTCGGATGATGGTATATTTCAAAGTCTGCGTGTCGAGGAGGTAGGAGACGACGATATCTCCTGAGGCAGTAGACGCTATTTGAATCTCCTAAGGTCCTTCTGGAACTCTTCCTTCAGTGCCTGCCCAAACTCTTTGATGTGCTTGAACGCAGGAAGGGCTTCCTCCGGCTTGATATCCTTTTGCGCCATCTCCGCCACCGTCTTCTTGGTCTGTTCCACGTGCAAGTGCGTGCGCAAGGCAAAGTTCTGGAACGCTTTGTTGTTGGCCAATGTCTTGACTGCTTGTTCGTTCAGCAAGTTACTCAGCGCGCGACGGAAGAACTCGGCCATGGCTCCTGTCTCTCGGATGTTGCGATTGTGGCTGACGACACATCCAAGCCGATTCCTTTCCCTGGCCAGTGATTGGCTGCCCATTTAAGGCCACTATTCCAACAACATCCGGCATCCAATCAGCAGGAGGCCGTTATCCGGATGCCTGAACGGTTCAACCAAATGCTCAAAAACCTGCATTCTCGCACATTCAATGCAGAGGCATGAGGATGAGCGCACTTTCTTAGCTTGGGCCATGTACACACATGAATACAGTATGTACTTGTGTGCCTTGAGTGTTTGGCTAGTCTAACGTGATTTGCATATACGACGTAACAGTTACTACTACGTAGTAGGCTGAAGCACAAGTACTGTAACCAGGGGCAAGGCGGAATGTTGGTCGTTCTAGAAACGGGATAATATCCTATTTAGGACGCATTTCGGTCTTGATGACGTCGAACTTCAAGGCCAAGTCGCTGGGTGTCATTTGTCACCCTCTGCCGACCGAACCCGTCGCGAACCCGTCGCTGTTGAAAGCAAGATGAGTTGGATCTGGGGAAGCGATGCCACTGCCGAGCAAGCCAACATGGTCGTAATGTCGTTGCAAGGAGAATTGGACGAACGGCAGGCTACGATTGAGGTGTTGGTGAAGGCTCTGAAGAAGGAAAAGGAGGAGTACAAGCAAGCGCTCGTCGACGAAGTCCACGACCTTCGCGAACGCAAACAAGCACTCCAGGACGAACTCGCACATATCGACGCGCTCATCAGTGCCAAAACGCAGCAGATCACACTTGGCGACAAGCCCAAACCCAAGGTCCGTGCCACCGTGGCCGTCGGGTCCACTGCCTCACCAGCACAAGCAGCTGCTACGTCATCATCCTCGTCCCAGCCTACTAGCGCGCCGGTCGACAAGCCAAGGAAGAAGAAGGCCGCCCCCATCACGTACGATATCGACTGCAGACATCCCTCCATCACTCATGTGTGTACGTTGATCCAGAAAGAACACTGGAGAACCCGAGGCAGAAGCGTCCGTCCAAGGTGTTAGCAGCACCATCATGCTCCCCACACACCCAGAGTTGCTCAAAGTGCGAGGCATCGATGCGCACTCGGCATTCATTATCCAGCGCAGCAACGTACGTGGACAGCGCCCTTTCAAAGTCCAAACTTATCGAATGGTAGAACGCCAACACGGTCGTGTACAAGGGCAACGTCGTCGCCCCGTCCAACTTGCTGGACCCCAAGACCCCTCTGCACATTTACTGGATCATGTTTGCCCTGCCCGGCCATCCCACGGAAGAGCTCAATGTCATCGAGCGCAACACCGCGTACGGCGCGACGGCGACGGCGACCTCGTCCGGGGAATTTGACGTGGCGTTGGCATCCCTCAAAGACCGCCGCATCGCCATCTTCGTCGACGCGAGTGGTCACGTCCGTGCGCGCACAACAGTCGACGGCAAGCCCAACGTGTACCTGGAGCGGGTGTTTGTGCAATCGACGACCAGTTGGGGGCTGCCCAAGGTCGAATACGTGGAGATCTTTGCAGTCGATCCAGTCACCCACGAGCAAGTGTATGAGAAGAAATTCCCGTAATTTTACTTAGATAACGAGCGATTTCGTCATATGAGACCAAGATCTTGTGGTTACGATGAGTCCGTGCCAAAGACGATGGATGGATGGAGGAGGGTGAGGTTCGATTAGGCCTTTTTGAGCATCACGATGGCCGACATGGCCAGCGTCGAGCCGAGAATGAGGCGCAGGTTCTCCTGGGACATTTGAAGCGTGATAAATTTGGACGTGAGGGCGACCCCCGCGACGAGCCCGACGCCAATCTTGAGGGCCGTGGGAAGATGCAGCGACTGTTTCTTCATGTTGTGGTACGTCGAGGACAGGCCCACGGGGACTATTCCCAGCAACGACGTCCCAATGATGTGGGATTGGGGCATGTCGCTCGCAGCCGTCAAATACGTTGTCATCTACACCGCACGGAAGTTGGTAATTATCCCAACAGAACCAAGGGACGAACCAAAATGCCGCCTCCAAGCCCACAGAGGCCGGAAATGAACCCCGACAGCGCCCCCGCGACCAAGTACTTGGCGTTCACGGCAGCAAACCCACGTTTGTCGGTGGATACGGCGTCCACGTAGGATGAAAGCGACGGGTGGTCGTTAAAGAACTGCAAATCGAGCTTGTCCGACAGCTCATGTGGCACTGCGGGGCCGTTCGATCGTTTGAGTTCTTGCAGGTGGTCCTTGAAGTAGATGAACGGCACGCTGATGAGCATGGCCGTGCCCACAACACGTCGTAAGTGCACTTGACTCAACCTGTATGCGATACAGTTAGATTGGACAAACATGATGCAAGGGTTCGTTACTTGTGCGCGAGCTGGACACCGAGTTTGGTAAAAAACACAGACGAGCACGAGACTAGGACTGCCATGGGCACGTTGCAAGCTCCAGCTGAGAGGTAGTTGGCGGAACCCACGGAGGCGCTCACGGTGACAGCGGCGATGGACGTGCCGTTGATGGTCTGCTGGGTCAGGTTTGTCCATTTCGCCAATGTCTGACGAGTTCATCAGACCATATACACGGACGAAAACCTACCGGAAGGATAATGATACCTCCACCCACGCCCGTGAGAGCGGAGACCACCCCTGCAAAGCCACCAGTCGCACACGCCGTAACCCATGAAATGGCATTCCCTGATGGCTTGGTAGCGACAGAACTGGTGGGACGGCACGACACGCGACCAGCATGACTTGTTTGAATGTTGAAAGGCTTCATGGGCTTCACGGAAGTCCGCACGATTGCGCTTGGGACGCGTGAGTGCAGCATGCTGCGGGAAACTCGGAGTGCCGAGCTGGACCACATCGAAGCTGCACTGTCGTTTCAGTCGTGCTAGCAATGCAATACCTGTAACATTTAATACACCATTCAGGTGAGATTATAGTATTTGTACAAAATATATTCATAATTTATCCTAATTTATGTAATATGAAATTAAGTAACCTCGTACTATCGAGTATTGCAATACAAGAAGGCTAAGAAATGCAATTTCGTATCTCACATTCGTGGAGATATTTGTTTGTAGCCTCACCCCACGAATCCTCATGGCGCTCCTTCGGCCGCTGCGATTGACTCATGTCTTGTGGAGCTTTGGGGTATACTTGGTCGTGTGGGTGGCAATTAGCATATCCATCTTGCATGTGCTGGACGTGGACTACCATTCAACATTCAGCTCCATCCTCCCGTCGAAGAACCATGCCGTGTCAAACTCGCTCCACCGTCATCGCAAGCCCAAGCAATCCGTGGACCAAGAGTACGCTGCATACTACAACTTTACGCAATGCTACCGACAAGTTGATTATGGTCTTCTCGACTCGATTGTCCCGACTGTCGTATGTCAGTCGTCCAAGTCGTCGCCGCAATCGACAACCATCACGCACTTGACCAGCCTAGGGTGGAACGACGGGTCGCGGTGGCAGAATTTCGCCCTCGACTTCTCGTCTGCACCCGTGGTCTCCTCCATCCGCAATGCGAGCGAAGAAGGGGGCCATCATGATCCCCGCTACCGTCTGACGTCGTCGCGGCTGCGCTGTCAGTGCGACTTGTCCCCGAACGCCAGCTCGTTCCTCGTCGAGAAATTCTTCCCTTCGAATGACACGTCCATGTCTTGGCAATGCGATGATTCCTCCATTCTCCCCCCAGCGCCCCCTGTAGTTGTAGTTAAGCCCACTGCGCTTCTCGTGGCCCGGAAGGATGACCACAACCCGTTCTTTCAACTGGCGGCCACGTTGAATGCGTGGGCGTTACTGAAACATCTCCAAATCGACTCGACCACCACTCAGCTCTTTGTTCTGGACGACGGTGAGCCCATGCCCACGGACGTCCTCATGCAGACGCTCTTGGCCCCGCGGCACCCCGTCACTTATGGTCGCGATGTTGTCGGCCAAACCATAGCGTTCCACCAAGCAGTGTTCCTACCGTTCGAGTTTGCCGGTCCCCTCGTCGAACACTTGAACGACGAGCAATTGTGCCACGACAGCCGTCTCGTGGCCGACTTCCGCGCCGACGTCTTTCGGGCGTTCGGCCTCCCCTTGGTGCCGCACTCGACCACGTTCAATGCCACCACTGGTGACAAAAGGGATTGCATCATCACGATCGTGTCGCGAAGGGACTATGGCGGCCGGCGCATTGCGCGCATGTGGCTCAACGAACACGAGATGGTTCTGAAAATGCAAGCCAAGTACCCCATGTGCACAGTGCAGTCGGTGGACTTTGCCACCAAGACGATGGCTGAGCAGATTCAGCTCGTGGCCGCCAGTCGCGTCGTGGTGGGCATGCATGGGGCGGGCATGGCCAACGTCATGTTTGCATCTCCGAACACGTTTGTCGTCGAGATCTTTCCGCTGTCGACGTTTCGGTATGGATACCGCAACTTGTGCCAGTACTTGGGGCTCGAGTACGTGGAATTCCGCGACGGCGCCGACACCCCCTGGCCAGAATCCCATAAGTTCATTCCCGAAGCGGATTGGTTCAAAACGTTTGATTTGATCATGAACGTCGTGCTGAACGACAACGAACGGGTCAAGTACGACGCGCGACAACACGTCCAGCGGAAGATCCACCGCCAACACATCCTCGACATGGAGTTTGATTAACAAAGATCGCGACCTTTGGACATCCTGTGTTTGCATTGGTTAAAATTGTGTATTTTGAGCCAATGGGTGGCACCAGGTTGGGCCACCAATAGCAGACGACCATGGTCATTTCAAAATCTGATGGCGCGCCGCTTGCCCAACATCCTCGTGACGGGAACCCCTGGCACGGGGAAGACGACGTTGTGTCAGCTACTGGCGGTACATTTACATCGACATCATGTGGATTCACATGCACAAGCCAGTCTGAAAGTGTCGATGCATATAGGAACGAACTCCGTTGCGAAATGTGAACGTGGGCGACTTGGTACAGACACCGAATTGCCTGTCGCCTTTGGTCGATGGCCACTCATCGCCATTCCGTCTTGTAGGTGAAGGAGCACGAATTACATGCAGGGCGTGATGAAGACTTTGATTGCTTCATTCTGGACGAAGACAAAGTGGTCGATGACATGGACGACATGATGAGTTCCGCGGACGGCGGCATCGTTGTGGACTTTCACACGTGTGACTTTTTCCCCGAGCGGTGGTTCGACCTGGTACTTTGAATGCGTGAACATGGTACCAGTATATTGCTACACAATCTAAAGTGTTGGTACAGGTGGTCGTGCTACGAACGGACAACACGACGCTGTTCGACCGCCTCACGAACCGCGGGTACACAGCGAAGAAGGTGTCGGAGAATGTCGAGTGCGAGATCATGCAAGTGGTGCTACAGGACGCCCAGGAGAGCTACGTCCCAGAAATCGTCCAAGAGCTGACCAGTGTCACGGTGGCCGACATGGAAACCAACGTTGACCGCATTGTGAGCTGGATGAACCACTGGGTGGCTACCCAACAACAACAACAATAGCAAGGACGGCATACGTACAGTAGCGTTAACTTAAGCCATGTTTTTTGATTGCCAAGTCCACGGACGCATTCGCGTTCCAGTGCAATATCCGATCCACGTCGATGTGGTCAAAGCCGCTCGCGCGTACCGTGGACGCAGGTGCCGACGTGACTGCTTTCGAATACGTGGGCTGTAGCACTTGGGCCTCCACGCGGGCACTGGACGAGCCTACGTTTGCATAATCGTCAGTCTTGCAGCGTTGTTCGCGATGACGTCTACCTCGCGCCGCCTTTCGCGCGTTCAACGCCAGTCGTTTCGACGCACAGTCCGCCAACAGTTTGTTTGTGGCTTTCGCAGATCTGTCGATAGCATGTGGATTGACCTAGCCACGAATATGAGACACAGATCATATACCCCCGACTAAATGCACCGGGGGAGTCGGCACACGTTGTGGCAAGCCCTTGATCCGGTCTTCGCGGAACAGCTTGTCTTTGGTGAAGCTACTGTCCAGTGGCCCTTTGAACTTTAAGTCGTACTATTTTCAAATACTCCAAGCATGAACCCAAGAGCATACACACCAACCGCTGCACTTACTTTGTCCATGAGCTCGGCGTTTTCGGTCGGTGTTCTGGAAAACTGAATGATCGCGTTGGTCCACTTGACGTTGTGTGGCACGCGCGCGCCGGCTGTGGACGGCCGAAATGTCGTCTGCGTGATTTTGCCTGGAATTTGGCTACACTTGGCTCGCTTCTCCAGCAGCTCCTCAACCTACCCAGGTGGTGGTTGCTCGATGCCCAAGAATGGTTGGTTCTACCGTCACTGTCCTGGTCTTGCTTCCGTCAAACTTGAGTTCGTGGCTAGTGCTTTTGCGCACGCGATGCGACGCTGCGACCATCCCTGACGGGTCCTCAACATAGCCAGGCTCCCTCTTCCACCACTCGATCGCGGCCGTCCTCGCTTGGGCTTCGACGACAACTGGAGCTTGTGCCAGCAGCGCTTGGTAAATCTGATTGATGCTTACTCTTTCCTGAGCGCGTTCGGCTTGGATGTTGGTGCGCGTGCGACCGGCGCGGTCTTTCAATCGCTGCGCCTTGTCTGCTTTGGACATTTTTATCGACTCTAACGGGGGAGAGGTTTGCTGGGGTTCCCCACTGCCTGCGCTGCGATACACCGACTGGAGCTGCCTCAAGTCGGCTTCCCGCCTGCTGTGATGCAACTCGGACCTCGTCTTGGTCGGCGTTCGGTCCTCGTCGTCGTCGAACACGATGTGGTCCACCTGTCCACGCTCTAGCGTAGAAATATGCGGACGTGGGTGCATGGCGCCACTCATGACATAGCGCCGGCCGTTGCTTTTGGCCTTGGTCCCCCCATGTTCGGTGGAAAACTTGGATGCCACGCGCAGATTTTCTTTCCGTCGCCCCTGCAACAGCTCGCCCTTGGTTCGAAATGCTGGCTGTTCAGTGGTCAAGCTTGCGTGAATAGTAGTACCCTTTGGGGTGATATGAGGGGGAGTGGCGTGGCAACTGTACCTGGTGAGCCCACGACATTGGCGGCATGGCCACGAGCGGGGCGGTGTCGACGCCCATCTCAAACACACTTCAAATGTATTTTTAGCCTCCCCCAGTGTATTCATTCACCTATCTAGGTTGTGCCGTCGGAAACTAGTGTTTCCCTCCATTGCATTCCCAAGTGGGTGATGTGAACATGTACAACGTTTAGCTTCGGACAACCGCGGCTAAGCAGCGTACTAGGACTACCAGTAGCAACAGGTTCGTTAAACTCTCGAGAACGCTGGCTGGAAATTCGGACATTTATTCGTTTAAATCATTTGATTGGTGGAAATCCCCGTGAGATTTGTCGGAAGATGGCAGCAAATGGAAGGAGATGGTGTGGATATAACGTGACATTCGGCCCCTAAAGGCGTTTTATCGTATACTCAGCTTGGAATACAACTTCTATGAAACATCGGGTGGATAGTGGGATGTTTCGGCATTCAAAGAAAGTCACGGCTACAGCAACGGAAGGATGTACAGTACTACGTCTTACAGTACAGGAATAGTAGTATGCTCGCATTTGATGGTTGATGATGCAGCCCATGCATTTGCGCCTATCTCCTCCATCTGGCTATTTTGACACGTCACGAACACAACGCTTTTTGCACTCCTGGCATTGCTAGCCCAACTAATTGAGCTTTGTCTGAGATCCAATGGCCTACTAGTACTACATTGTATGTTGTACCGGTACTCATGTAGTACTGTAGTACTCTTCTACGGTAACGTTATGCGCACAATCAGAGGTGGTACACTCGGAAAAGTCTCTTGGAAGTCGAGTTTGAAAACGCTGCCCCCCACCCTTGTACTTGTGGCGTCGCTCCCGGTGCATGAGTTATCTCGACGAAACACTACAGTATGTACCGGTAAATTCGGTTGAGTGCACGTTCGTCGTGTGCCCCCCCCGTGGTTTCCACGACAATAGGCAGACTAACTGTAAAATAATAGCAAGGCTGGTTGTGGAATTCTTACCACAAACTGTTAATAGTAGCTAGTAGCAGATACCACTGACATTTGAGCCAACGACTTCACATTGAAATTATCGCAACGACTGTCCAAAACTGAGCACATTTGACTGACTGTGAATGAATAAAAATTGCGGCGCTGATAGTGGTGAGGGCAAGGAAGGAGCAACGTGGAAGCGTAAGTGGTTATATATACTACTAGTTCGTAGGATGTAATATCTGCTTTCCGTATTGCAACAAGATATGAAAGAGGAATGACTGGTTGCGACTACTTTACCAGTGCACAAAAAAGGATTTTAAATCAACCGCCAAGAACATCCCAATACTGACTTGACGAGACCATCTGCCTGACATTCCATATTTCATCCATTGCTTGCTAGGTCCTAAATAGGAACTCTATTTCGTTTACTGGAAATGTCGAGTTTGGCCACTTTTGATCGACAAGCCTTGCAGCAATTACCAGTACTGCACAGTAAACTGCTGGTGAATGTAAATTAGGTAACCCAAAGTCCTATTTTAATCCTGCGTGTGAGTTGTGGTTCCACGTCATTGTCAATGCAAATATGGTTTCACGATTTCGACCATAGAATGTAGGTCTATAATGTAACTCTTTAAAAGAATGCACTGTATGTATACATTTTGCATCGTATCAAATTGAATATTAGTACACCAGTGCACCACTCTATAAATGAATACACTGTATAACTCTGTTGTTGTCGATACATCTGGTGTATACATCGACCGATTGAAATAAGTCGTACGGTATCATCAATGTAAAGCAACTGTCACGAATCGAGTAAAGGACTCATGTGTTCAATGACTTTTTACGTGTGTACAGTACTTGCACCAATGTACTGTACAGTAGATGAAATCACCAACTACAAGGCACATTCTTCTTATTACTGAGTGTTTCCTGTGTGTGCTAACAGTACATTTGACACTACAGTACTGCAAGAGAGAATTTCATGCCACCCTTGACAAACAGGATTGATTTTTTTGGTGGCTTACCTGCAGACTTTCTTGGTCGCGAGGCGCACATCATACCACTGTTCGTGGTGTAAACTCGCACAGAAGCCATCTACAATTGCATATGGAAGACATTGTCACCATCTGTCCATATGATAAAATGACACCCTGCTTGATCATCCATGTCACCCCGTCAAGCGAAAATGACGGAATACTTGTTCGAGGCTTACATGAGCGAGTTGTCATTGCTAACACGCTGCAGTGAGTATTGTCACATGTACTGGCGTGCCCTGTCTCGAGCCCTCCCTGCCGTAGAAATGACCACAATAATGTACACTGACTCGTCGTCCCACTTCAACATTGCTGTTTGGAATTACCGTTATCCAGATGGCAACACCTGCTGAGCACAGTTGGCCGGGCCACATGTGAGTGCTTGCAATTCAGACGTTGGCCGTCGCGGGTCACGTTATTCATAATGTCATTCAGATAAAGTATGGTGGCCTTGTAATAATAAAAAATGGCGTGCCACCCAACACCCATCTCCACGGTTCCACTGTGTGGTAAAAGCAGGGCCTACAATATTAATAATACAAGTAGCCTACCATAAACAAACGTGCAAGGTGCTCAAAGCTCAATTTCCTTTCGCCCTCACACAACATGGTTGCTGTATCCAAGACCCTCATAGTATGCTCGTCCAACGACATGAACGACAGTGGCAAATGCCGCTACAAGACGGGCAAGTGCCTCAACGACCGATCGTTCAAACGCAACGGCCAATTCCATCAACTGTGTCTGTTTCACCGCGAGAAGGCCAACCGCATCCAGCGCAAGTTTGACCGCCAAAAGCGATCCGTCGCCAAGGAAACCAAGTCCACACACAAACATGGCAAGGTCGAGATCCTCTTGTCCGGCCACTCGTTCGGTGGCCACCGCGACTGTGGCGAGTTCTTCTCGGACACCGACTCGTACGACGGACGATTGTCGGTCGACAGCTGCGACGGCATTTTCAAAGACGACCTGTGGAGCAGCACCAGCTTCGTGTCTGGCATGTCCATCAAGCTCGAGCACGTGTGCGACCCCGAACCCGTGCCAGTCAACTCCCCCGTCGCCCACCAAGGGCGGCTGTCTGTCGACGAGATCGATTTCCTCTGCTCAGCCATGTTTTAAGCTCGAGTTTGTACCATAGATAGTTGTTTAGTGTGATGCGTTGTAGCGTCGTGTGATTTTAAGTTAAAAAGTGTCGTGGTTGTCATCAAGAACATACTACTAGTACTGTATGCATGTCTTCACGTCCATGGATCCTGCTGCTCATCGCTCCATTTCTTTGTGAGGATCCAACGAACATTGAAGTCGTTTTGGAGAACCCAGCGAAATTCGCCCACACAAAATGGCAATCTCTCGAATGGTGTAGATATATGGACGACGTACCGGAGTGGATCATCAATGACTAGGAACAGTGCACTGTGAACATCCACCGAGGCAACGTCGGCATGACGAAGTTGGCGTGTATTTCGGCTAACACATCATTTTTTGTCGTTCATGAGTTGGGTCGTCAAGTGAGTGTCAGTGTCTACGCGGTGAAAGATACTTTTCAAATGGTAGATATGTACAGTAAGTACAGTATATGAATGTAATCGAAGTCCAAGTAGCAATTCGTGATCCGGTCCACCCAACAACCCACCAACGCGCGACGGTCCACAAAGATTGCACGAGTTCTCAGGACAAAGAGCTACAGTAGTTACTGCCTTGACCGTGGTACTGTACTTGGAAAACCAAACCGGCGTCCTTTGCTTTGTGGTGCTTGAAGTACTGGTAATTAGTTAACTAAGTTTGAAGTTTATTTACCCATTCTTCACAGTTACAGTACCGGTAAGCTGTAAGCGCAGTATTTCAACCGAATACATTAATGTCAACCAGTAAACACAGCCAGCTGCAATGTCAGACCGCTTCCCGTGGGACTAATGTCCCAAACAACATTTTGCGTAACGTCACCCAAGTGACATAGTCTGTCAGGAGAAGTTGATTACCAAAGCTTAAGTTCGTCGAATGCAATGAATGCTAGGGCCACAAGGAGGGCACTGAGGGCACAGTCTTTCAAGAACGCAGACGCTGCAACCTTTGGTCGGTGACCGTGACTTTGCACGTGAATGTGCTGTGGCGCCCCTGCATGTTGCGTTTTAAATTTGTAAAACGCACGTTTCTTTCGCCCCACGTTGACAGGGGACGAGCTGCGGTTAGCCTTGAGGGCTTCGAACGATTGAAACTTGGACGCCAACTCTTTCATGGGGGGGTCGTGGGGGCGGTGATAACGGGGGGCCGTCAATTGACGTTTGGGGGGACTCATTGGCTCCATGGGCATTTGGCGCTTGAATTCAGCAAACACGAGGCGTTTTTGGGCGAGGTCCTGGGCATGTTGGTGCAATTTGGAGAAAGCATGTTGCAAGCACTCGTCGCTCTCGCACTCACTCGAGCACGTCGACGCATGGGCCGACGAAGCGTAGTCAAAGTGTTGGCGCAGCACGCGGCGAAATCTCATGGCTACATCGGCGGGGGGCGACGAGGTACGAGCGTTCGGCTGCGACGAGCAACTCGACAGCGTTTCTGAGTAGTCGACGTTGGGCAAATGGACGTGGAGGACGCGGGGGGGATTTAGGGGCGTCACGGGGCGCAGCGCCAAGTCTTTGAACTCATCCGAGTCAACGCACGTCTCGGCGTAGTCAAAAGACGGGTCGTTCTCGTCTAAGTCTACGATTTCGTTGGCGCAAGCCAGGATGAAGGCGCGACACGAGTGCGGGTTCAGACACCGCGTGCGACCGCTCGTCCGTCCTGGCTTGGTCGGGTGGACGTCGTGGAGCTGGGCGAGGAAGGCCGTGCGCATGGTGGCGTCCTGCAGCGGCAGCGTTGACACTTTGTCCACGAGGGAGGCGACGAAGTCCACGACCGAGGCGTCTTGGTCGAGGAGTTGCAGCACTTTATGAAGCAATTCCGTGCGGAGTTGGGACGTGTCGCGCGTGCTTTCCGCTGAGTCTTCGCCTTCAGACTGCGCATCCCAGTGCTTGAGAAGAGCCTTCTTCACAGGGCTCTTATTGCTGGGCGACGCGGGGCGATGCATCGCTTTGTCCAGAGCCAGCTTGGTCGGCGATCGGGTGGCCATGGTCTCGGCAATGCAACAATGTACGTGCACGCACGATGACTGAGGAGACGCCACGTTTTAGGTCGTTGTTGCCGTTGATGCAAGTGCGTTGAATATGACCGTCGTGGATTTCACAGGCTTTGATTGGACCACACGACTTCTGATGCCCCCAAAATAGCTCGATAGGAAAACACGATGCTAGATCGACCTCATTGCCCGTGACCAGCATGGCCGCAGACCTCGCTGCTGACTTCCTCGAGTCCGTCGGGCGCCATGCAGGCGAAGGCTGTTCAACGTTGGACCTGATGAAGCGGCTGGAACCGCCGAGCTTCCCCCCCGACACGATGAAGGAGATGGAGCACATTATGCTGGCCGACAAGCAGCGCAAACATGTCCAACGCGTTCGTGAATGCTCTCATTTCGTCATACCCTCTCATATCACCCCCTCCTCTCCCGATAGATTCGACGTGGAGATGCCTTGATTGCTGATATCACCAAGCTCGGCGACGTCGAAGAAGCCCGCAACAAACTGCGTCCGGTGTTCATTCCGGACAAACCTCTCCGAGTACGTTCAGTCGTCAGCGTGCGGTGATATTACGGTATCAAGGATCCTCATGTCGTATATTTTGTCGGTAGCGAGTGTTGCGACGGTGTAAACTCGTGGGGGAAGACGCCGACAAGAAGATCATCACGTCCCTCGTGCGGCCGCTGTCCCCGACCGGGGAAAGTCTCTGCAGCGTGGCCACTAGCAGCGACACCAGTAGCAGGACCACAGGTCGAAACACAGCAAAACGCATGGGCAAACTGAAAGGTCACCACCCAGTCACCACATCAACACCCCTCCTCAAGCCCAACCCCGACCAAGCACCCCCCCCCACCAAATCCAACGACGACATCCACCTCGACGCGCTGAAAGCCGCGCGAAGTCACCTCGAAAACGACCTCATGCAAGTGACAAGAAAGCTGTACCGAAAGTACGAGCGCAAAGTGTTCCCGGGCATCCACGCCAAAGCCAACACGTACCAGACGCTGCACAAGAAGTGGTCCGAGCCCGACCTGACGGACGCAGACAAGTACCACGCGTACATGGACGGCCGGTTCGCGACCCGCAACGACTTGGAATATTACAAGAAATCAGCCGACCCGCGCGACGACACCAACAATTTTCACCGGATACACCGGCAGCACACCAAGTACGGCGACTCGCTCGCGTTTGCCAAGCACAGCTTGCGCGATACGTTTTAACGTTACTGTACGTCATATTAGCGATAATAGGACCCGACTCGGTCGCGGTCGAGAAGCCCCTTGAGGCGCACGTCGTCGGCCGAGTTTTTGGCAATATCGGGCGTAAACGCGATGATTTCTGCAAACCGCGGCGACAGCATCCGAGCAATGTTCATCGCTTCGATGGACGACGGTTGGTTCAGAATTAGCACTTCGACGCCGTCGTCCTACACCCAAGCATCATAGAGATGTAGTAGCGATGGGCAGAACAAGAAGAAGCAGGGAGGATGTGCGTACGAGCGCTTTCAGTTCCCTGCGTTTCTTGGCTTTGATGCGCTCGGTGGCAGTATGCGCAGCACGCAACGACACCTACCGACCAACCATTTTAGTCATATGTGACACAGGTCCTGGCATACCTCGTAGTTTTTGGCCTTCTTGGACTCGGTCTCTTCCATAACGCGATTCCTCAATGCCAAATCGTGCATGATGCGTTGGTTCACACGTCGCTGGCACATGACTTGCTAGCAATATGGTGTTCATGACCAGTCAAAAACATATCCAAGTCGTGAACGCACCGTCGCGGCGGCATCGCGCGGACTTGTGGGCGTGGTCTGCATGCAAACAACAGCATGAGGCACACGAAGTAGAGGCATACGTCGAACAGAGGAACTAGACCTCGTTGGACTGCCGCACTTCGCTGAGTCGTTTGGCCTCGACGCCCGTGATATGTCGGATAGACGTCCTGTCGCCTATACTGAGCTGTGAGCTGTGGAATGCTTGGCGCATGCAAGATTGTGGACGAAGAACACACCCATGGCGGCGTCAAAGCGGTAACAAACAATGAAAATATTTGGCAGTTTCATAGCCGTTTCATTATGCACCGTCTACGAAACAGGCTCGAAGTACTCGACAAGGAGCTTGATAACGTCGGCATCCAAGACCGTTTGGTCGAGAAAGTCTTGTTCAGACACGCGAGACAGACCGGCAATGGAACCTGTCGTCGTCTGTCTTTGAGGTTGGACCATTGGACTTGACAGATGTGCCTACCAAACACGTCGAGAAGCATTTCACACTCGTCTTCATGGAGAAAAGGCATGTTGGACTGAAAAATGCGGACGGTGTGCGCTTTGGACTCGACCTGTGCCCACAACTACGAGTGCCAGGCACAAATCAGACCTGAATGACACTGTCACCGTACACGAGCATAGAATTCGGCCGTGCGTTCTTGTGCTTGGAATGACTGCTTGGATCGAACTGACAGCATAAAGTGCACTGCGGTTTCGATGGACGACGCAGGAACGATCTGTATCTTGTCGGAGAGGTCTTGGTTGAGATGAATGGATTGAAGCTCACGAAATGTTCGCGGGGGAAGGGCCGAGGGAAACAGGATGATGGCGTGCACGAACGGAAACAGAGTCGTAGCGTGCCGCGCACGCTCTTTGGTGACGGCGACGACGTCACTTGTAGCAGAAGTGATAAACATGAACGGAATGGCAGGGAACGTCCGCGCTTGTGCACAAAACATCAAATCCACAGGACATTTGTCAACTTGCTTGCACGTGAATGGTCCACACGACGACAAGAACGACATGACTTCTGCTGCATTGGGGCTCTTCTTCACAAGGACTACTTGCGCTAGACCATCATCATCATGAGGATATCGCATAAGTATACGCGTCACCTTTCTCAGCATAGCGCGGCGGGTTCGTGGAACAGGTCGCCATTGCGCGCGCGCGTTTTCCTTCAAATGTTTGAACTGTCCAAGTAGCAATACTCCTACTAATAGTATTACTAAATTTAGGTAATAGTATTACTAGATAAATGTAATAGTATTACTAGGTATATGAAATACAATTAATATTAATAGTATTGATTAACGTTGAATACTCATCACAATCATTTTTGGGACGTTAAATTATTATAAAGAGGCAAAACCCGGGACGGGGAAATGCAAAAACGTATTGCCCCAGGATAAGTTTTTTCGATTTAGTCCTACCAAAAGTATGCGTTAATCGTTTAACGTAGTGCCTCGTAGGTTTTATTGCACGGTTCACCAACATTCCGGACCGGTCCACTGTTTGCCTGGCAGTGACCATTGATTGACTCCAAGCAAACAATGCTGTCGCGCGCGTTCGTCGTGGTCGCTCGACCTCGCGGAGTGATGATGAAGCGAATGTTCTCCGTAGCAGAGTCCAATGCACCTACCGACGCTCCGAAGCTGGTGCTCCGCGAACTGAAGGAGATTCCCCGTGATATGCGCCGGAAATTGCGCCAACAAGCGGAGGCTGCCAACGAAGGCTCGACGATCAAGACCAGCCGCACTCCTGTGTCCAGAGTAGCCCTGCGACTCTTCCTGCTTACCTCAGGCGCAGGCATTGCAGGTTGGAACTTCTACCTTGAGGAAAGCGTCCGCGCCACCGTTCGCGAGACCGTTCACAGCACTTTCCTGGGGACTGCCTACGATTGGCTCGTGGTCCAGATCAAGGAAATATGCCGCCCTTTCACGGAACCTTCCCGCGACAAACTTCTCCCCGATTGGCCCATGCCTGGATATGGCATCCCCGAAGGTTTCCCGCCTCTGCCGACGCTAGTCCTAGCCGTCGAAGACGTGTTGCTCCATTCCGAATGGGATGTACGTGTGTGACCATTGTCGCCCATGCAAGCATCAGACCATGCTTAACATGTCCATAGCGCAAATACGGATGGCGACATGCCAAGCGGCCTCATGTGGACGAATTCATGGAGACGCTGTCTCGCGTACGTGATCTATGCCAAGTGCCTCCATGTTTACTGACGGTGACGTGGCTAGCATTATGAAATCGTGCTGTATTCCAGCGAATCGCAAGGACTGGTCGAAGAAGTGCTGGCCAAGTTGAACCAAAAGGTCCGTCGTCGCCATTGTCACCACTATTGTCACCGTTTGGCTGGCTAGGGCTGCGCATTCCACTACTTGTTTCGTGACGCCACACATTTCATCAACAACGCCCACGTCAAGGTACCGTCCGTCCGGCCATTCATCCATCCAACGACGGACGTAGGACTTGGCGCCCATGAACCGAGACATCAAGCGCATCATTCTCATCGACACGAAGCCCGAGAACTTTCAGCTGCAGGTACGTACACTAACTACTACTCCTTCCACCACGCCTCACAAGTCTGTCTAGCCTGAAAACGCCATCTGCATCCCGCCCTACACGGACGGTCAGGACCGGTCCGACCGCCAGCTCAAGGACCTGATCCCGTTCCTTGTGGCCGTGGCCGAGGGCAAAGTGCAGGACGTGCCCAAGGTCCTCGCCGACTTCCGCGACTCGGACGGCGTCGTCCGCGACGTCCCATCCAAGTACAACGCCAAGGTGCATGCTTTGGATGAACGCAAGCGCCAGGCCGAAGCGCGCGGCCTCGGCGGGTTTGTGCGCGGTCGGCTGCATTCCAGTCGCCCCCCGACTGCGCTCAAGCCACTCAAGTGATCAAGACGATGAACCAAGTCGGGAGATAAATTAGCCCCAAGTTAACTCCATGACAAATCCAGATACTGCACAATGTCCTACAAAGGTACACGTGGGGACGATATTCAGCATGCTTCATTCGTACCTCGACGAACGCCTGGTGCGATCCGTGGGGAAGGTCCAAATCCTTGGCGTACTCGCGCAACGACTGGCGAATCTTGTCCAGTTTGTTCATCTACATATATATATATCAAGAGATATCGTACAATCGTGGCATTCGGTACTCGGACCTTTTTGAACCACGGGTCCTTCAAGTTGACTCGCCGGTCAAATGTGCGGTAGTAGTCGACCAGCTGCAGCACCTGCTCGACGCAGTCCAGCACGCCGCGGCCGTACTTGGTGCGCAGTCGGTCGCGACTGGCGTCTGCCGCGTGCTACGTACGTCCACGTCACATCTTTGTCTGCACAATGAGCCCGTACCAGTTGCGGCGGACGGTGGATGGCCACGCGGAGGGGACTGAACGACAGCACGCGACCGCGGAGCTCGCCGCCGGTGCGGGTGGTCCCGCGCGTAAACTCGTCGAAAAAGTCGGCAATCGCGTCCGACGACTTGGACGGAATCACCATCGAGTCGACGGGATCGCCGCGCACGTACGCGCGTTGGAACTGCCGCTGCTCTTCCACGCTCCATACAACCACCTCGTCTTGGTCGTCAAAATCTGACGTCGTCACGGGGCCTTGATGCCCGGCAGCCCCTTGCTTGCACTCGTCCCGTGACACCGCATCCACCAACGCCAGCAGCATGTCCTCC